ATTGAGGAGGGCCAGCAGGGAGAGGGCTCTCAGACCATTGAGGAGAGAAGGAGATACCTTTGAGGAGAGCTAGCAGAGACCATTGAGGAGGGCGAGGCAGAGATCATTGAGGAGGACTTGCAGTGACCATTTGGGAGGCTAGAAGAGACCATTGAAGAGTGATAACAGATCCCATTGGCGATAAAAACGTGATTCAGAATCCAAGAAAATTTGCATAAGTCTTCGAAGGAGCTCCAGTGCCGAATCCCCATCATTTCTACTTTTTCTCTAGACTCTAAGGTTCGTCGAGATTTTATCCAAAATTTTGACATTTCCTTTGCAGATCTCAATGATGATTTTCCGTCTGTTCTTACTGCTCAGCGCCGGGGTATTGCTGTTGACTGGAGGGGATCAAGGCGAGGATTTCGATTTTTTCACTTCGATTCTTCGGATCTTCTGGACTACTGTAACTGGGTCACTTTTTAGGCAGCTGCCATGCCGGTGACATCCCATGCGAGGGGAAGGGCGGCCAGCTGGTGTGTTTGAGCGGTGCCAGCGCCCAGAAGGACACCAAGACGTGCGTGGCGGCAGGTACAGTAGCTGGGCGCAGAATAGAATCACGCGCTGGTTGGGATGGGCAGGCTAGCGGAGACCAGTGAGGAATCGAATTTTCAGATTGCGCGAGTGGCCAAGTGCCGATCAGCTTGAATGGGATTGATACTTGTGTCCCTGTTGATCTACTCGGCAACATTGAAGGAAATCACGCGACACCCGTCGTTTGGAGATTTGCGAGTGGGTCTCGTAGCGACAATAGCATAGACCTATACATTTAGATTGCTCGATCATGAACATCAACTGCGGCAAGAGGGGGCTGGAAGTGTGTGTGTCGAACACGAAGTTGCATGGATACGACGGTCAAACGCAGAGCTGTATATGGAAGAAAAGTGAGAGAGAGAGAGAGAGAGAGAGAGAGAGAGAGCAAACGCCTTTTTAGAATGCACCGACAAGCCCGGCCATCACCCGTGCAAAGCGATCAACACCAGCCATCCGGACATCTGCACGCCGTACACGACGATCAAATCGATCCGAGACGACGGACTGTGTACATTGTATTCAAAGGCCGAGCAGCAGGCATGGGAGCAAGAGGGGAAAAAGAAGAATGGAACCACGGAAAAAGGTTGGATCTTCAGAATCTCTCTCTCTCTATCTCTCTACTCTCTCTCTCTCTCTCTCTCTCTCTCTCTCTCTCCTTCTCTCTCTATTTCTCGCGCTCTCGCTCTCCCTACTGTCCTCTTTTTAGCTCTCCCGACCGAAGACAAAGGCCACATCCTCCTCATCATCATCATCGTCGTGTGCGGCTTGGTCGGCTGTTTGGTGCTGATCATCGTCGTCACACGTATGGGCGAATATTGTCGAGAAACTGAAACGATTTAGTCATCTACTGCATGACGCACCGAAGCAAGAAGAAGAAGAACAAGTCGACCTCGTCGAAAAAGCCGGACAAGAAGTCAGCCAAAAAGTCTACGAAGTCGTCCAAGTCGTCCAAGTCAAGTCACACAGGAAGTAGGCAATCTTTCCTGGGGGTTTAAAGGGGTTGTGAAGGCAAGAATCGATGGATTTCGGATCTTAAAGGAAGCTGGACTTTCCAAACGAATTCCTTCCAGGTGAGAATCCGAAGGTGTCGAAGAAGCCGAAGCCCCCGCCCGTCAACCCGAACGAGGCGCACGACAACATGTTCCAACAGACAAAGGTATCAACTAGCCAACTAGCAGTGACCATTAGGGACTCTCTCTAGCATTGATAACATCCCGTAAATGAATCGTTCACCTCCCATTAATGCGTCCTTTTTGCAGCAATTCCCCGAGGAAGAGGACAATGGTGGCGGCGATCCGATGATGCGCGTCTAGAGCAACGACGACTCCGAGCCGTTCAGCCATTCCCTTTTGCTCCCACCATCCATTACTGTGCAATAAATTTGGCTACAATACTGTACTATTTACACAATACAAAACACACCAAATGACTTATCGGAACTGTGCCGTCTGCCTAATAAAGAGGAGCGTAGACGAGGTTTTGGCTTTCAATTAAGAAGCCAGGCGGTTAAGCAGACAAGCGCGTCATTAAGAAGCTGGGTGCGTCAGTAAGAAGCCATAAACAGCCATATTGCCGACTCTCGCAACTAGCAGCATCGAAAAAGGTTCTTCCTACCGGAAAAATCCGGAAAATCCCCGTTTTTCTCACCGCAAAGATGGGAGGGCACGCTCGTGCTCCTTCCCCCCCTTCCCCCGCTCCTTCGCTGCCTCGTCGGTCACTCCGGCTGCTATACACCGAGGATGTGAAGAAACCTGCCCGTTCCCATCTCCGATGTCGTGTAGTGGATCAGGGCGCGATTAACGAAATATTTTTCTAGGCCAGAGAAACGGTCGTTGACGTACGCTCTCGCCCCGCAGGCTTAATCCGGGAGAGAAACCAGTAGGTAGCGCCGTAGGCTCAAAGATTCTAGCGCAACGCTGGCTCTGGGGCCGCAGACCAGAGAATGGTCCCTTGAGCCAGGCCCTTGCGCCGCTGTCTTAAAAAAGGCAAAGGAATTCATGGATCCACGACGGGGACCAGCGGAACAGGGCCGCGAAGCGACGTTTTTCCACTGGTCTTATATAGGAAGCAGAACGGGCCTCGGGCCGGCGTTTGCAGAGCGTTCGCCCGACAGTTGTCCACGGCTGTTGCGGGGGCCGTGGGTCTAGAAGCGTTCAGCAGGGTCGGGTCGTACAGCGGCCGGCGTGAGCTGCGTGCATCCGCCGGTGTTGTACAGCAGCCGGCGTGGGCGGCGGGGTAGCGGTAGAGCGCGGGATCGTATTTCTAGGGCTCCTGGGGCAGAAGCATGAGCGTGCCCTGACGTCTTTGCGGGGAGCAACAACGGGGGTTTTTCGGTCGTCCGGCAGAAAGATATTTGGTGAAAGAAAAGAATTTGGTGTATTTTGTATTGTGTAGACAGTAAAGTATCGTAGCGAAATTTATTACACGGTAACATGGATATCATTAATGGATCATGGGAACACAAGGAAAGTCGCTGAGCTGCTCGAAGTCGTCGCTGCTCGGAGTCGTCGCTGCTCGGAGTCGTCGCTGCTCTATGCGCGCATCATCGGATCGCTGCCACCATTGTCGTCTTCCTCGGGGAATTGCTGCAAAAGGCGCATTAATGGGAGGTAAACGACCCAATTATGACATGAATTTACAGTTAGAAAGAGTCCCTAATGGTCACTGCTAGTTGGCTAGTTGATACCTTTGTCTGTTGGAACATGTTGTCGTGTGCCTCGTTCGGGTAGACGGGTGGGAGCTTCGGCTTCTTCGACACCTTCGGGTTCTCACCTGGAAGGAATTCGTTTGGCAAGTCCAGCTTCCTTTAAGATCCGAAATCCACAGCCCTTCAACTTACTTCCGGTGTTACTCGACTTGGACGACTTGTTCTTCTTCTTCTTGCTGCAGCACGTCATGCAGCAGATGACTAAATAGTTACAGGTTACGCGTCAATATTCGCCTAGACGTGTGACAACGATGATCAGCACCAGACAGCCGACACAGAGAAAGCGAGAGAAATTCAGAAGGTCCAACCTTTTTCCATGGCTCCATTCTTCTTTTTCCCCTCTTGCTCCCATGCCTGCTGCTCGGCCTTTGAATACAGTGTACACAGTCCGTCGTTTCGGATCGACTTGATCGTCGTGTACGGCGTGCAGATGTCCGGATGGCTGGTGTTGATCGCTTTGCACGGGTGATGGTCGGGCTTGTCGGTGCATTCTAAAAAAAGCGTTAGCGTTCTCTCTCACACGTTCACACATTATCTCATTCGGGTTGTTTTTGCCTCACAAACCCTTTAAACGCGCCAGGAAGCTGCACCCACTTCCGTTCTGAGTAGATTTGGATGACTTGGACGACTTGCTGCACATCTTCTCCCCAATCTTCGTCGTCGAGACCGACTTGTTCGCCTTGTCGGGGGAGTTCTTCTTCGTCTTCTTCGAGGAGGTCGACTTGTTGGACTTGTTGGTGATGTCGGGGGATTCCTTGTCCATCTTCTTCGAGCAGGTCGACTTGGTGGGCGATTTGTTGTCCTTCTTCTTCGTGACGGGCGACTTGCTGGACTTGCCGGTTTTGTTGAGGATGGTGGGGATAGTGCCGACGTTGAGGCAACCTAAAAAGCGTGTTTAGGGGATGGTGACAGGAGCATGAGCTTCTACGGGAACCTACCTTTCGCGGCGGCCGGCTCAGCCGTGAGGGCATCTTCATTGGAGGCAGCTGGTGGCGGGGGCGGAACTTCGGCCTGGGTGGATTTTTCGGGGAGGCGCTCAGCATCCGGTCGGCCGGCCTCTCCTTGAATATCCCTTCTGCCCTCAACTCCGGCGTCCACAATCTCCACCATGTCGCGGCCGACACTCAACGACTCGGGGCCGGGCACCTGAACGTCGGATGAATCAAAATATTGCTCGAGAAGGACTGGCATCCGACGCTCAAAACCCGGCACAAGCAAATTCTTACCTTGTCCTTCTTCTTCGAGGAGGTCGACTTGATGGGTGATTTTTTGTCCGTATTCTTCGAGGAGGTCGACTTGTTCGACTCGTCGGACTTGTTGGTGATGGTGGAGATAGTTCCGACGTTGAGGCTAACTAAAAAGCGTATTTAGCGGATGGTGTGACAGGCGCATGAGCTTCTACGGGAACCTACTTTTCGAGGCGGCCGGCTCAGCGGAGAGAGCTTCTTGATTGGTGGCAGCGGGTGGGGCGGTCAAGAACTCGGTGGCGGCCACCTGAATGTCGGATGAACGAAACGTCATTTTCGACGAAAAAGAAAAAAATATGCGCTTTTCACTATCTAAAGCGTGGTAAAATAGCATAAAAATTTTGCACTTCGCCATAGGATCGTACGTTTTTGACGGGAGAAACATTGGGGCCCCCCGCTAACAGCACAGTACCGAGGTTTTTTGTTATCGGGGCTGGGAAAGACGGTAAATGATGTTCCAACCATTTGGTCACAGGCGCACGGCGGCCTTCGCAGCGCTTCCTCGACTTCAGACGTGGTGTTTTCGGTGTCGGAGTCGTCGGGCATCCTGTAGTACGGTCCGAAGTCAAAGTCCCGCTTCTTGTAGTACGGTTTGAAGTCGACGGCCGAAGGCACCTGAAATGAATATGAGATTAACCGTATGGCCAGGGGTTTTTGAATTTTTTAATGCCATTTTACGCCCCTTTCTATGGCAAATAGAAAGTTTCAAAAAAATATTTAAAACTTCGAAAATTCCAGATAAATAATACATACCTGCGCGAGACGGGCAACGGTCCTGGGCTTTTTCCCATAATTAGCCTTTTCGAAACGCCTGACGAGCTGCTCCTTTGTCTCCACCTGCCCTAACGTCTGCGCCATAGCCGCCGAGGCCTGAAACCTTTTGCATTATCGGGGGATACGAACATTTCCTATCAGCCACGTAAGTGCTAATCTTAGGCTTTGGCTCAGGCTTTGGCTAGGCTTAGGCTAGCCTTAAGCTCAGACTTAAGCCTAAGCTCAGGCTTAGTCTTGGCTCAAGCTTAGGCTTAGTCTAGGCTCAGGTTCAGGCTTAATCTTAGCTTAGGCTTGGGCCACGAGCAGACCGAAACCCACCAGTTCCTCGTAGCGCTCGTATGAGGCCAACGTCTCTTTCCGGGCGTCGTCCCATCGTTCTTTGGCGTCGTCGACGCGCGCCCGCAGCGTCCTCTTGACCAACTGCAAAAGAGGTTCTAAGCTTTTTTCTACTTGAGATATAGTCAACGTTTAGTGAAAACACTATGAACTAGTTACTACTAAGTCAGTAAGCATTTCTGGCCATACAGCAAAAATCGCGAAAACACCAGGATTGAATTTCTTCGATAAATCGATCAAAGCTACCTTGGCGAGGTCTTTGACGGTGGCCTTCTGGTACTGCTCCCGGGCGTTACGTTCGGCATCCCGCATTGCCATCTGGAACCATTTGGGCAGCGCGGGCACATCATGTTCAGCGGATGTGAGCGTCTGCAAAATGTCGCTGGTAAATTATAAAAAAGGTTTTTTAAAGTGCCACAATGCGAAACTTTTGACACTTTTTGTAATTTTTCATATTTTTTGATCCAAGTCAGAAAATTCCTCCTGCACCCTTCTCGCCCCCCCCCCCGTTAAGCGGAAAGAACCCCACGTCGATGGTCGATGCCGGGCACGTCGCGTACTTCCCGTTCTTCAGCCGTTCCTTGTCCTGCTCCTTCCAGTCGAGGAGCAGCGCGTCAGCCTCTTCTTTTGTCACCAGCCGCAGGTATTTGTCGGCGCAGAGAAGATGGCCAGCCTGCAAAACCACGTAAGAATCGTCGTCCGGTGCGCGGGTTGTATAATGCAAGGTAAGAGTTTACTTAACCCCCCCCCCCTCCTCACAGCCAAAAGGTGTCAGAGTTTTCGGTATTTTCGCTTATTTTGTCGGGATTTTTGCAACGCCATTTGATAGAGCGTCGAAAAATATACCAAGAGTTTTAATTTCAGTCTACAATACTGTAAAATAAAAACGTTATAGCCAAAAAAAAGTCCCGGCTGGGGGGTAAACTAAACCGTAGCCTAATGCCATACCTCCGTCGCCAGATCCGACGTTGCAGCGCTTTCCTCGGCAGAGCACTTCCCGAAATCCAGGTAGGCGGCTTCAACCCGTCTCATCAGTTCACTTTCGTTCTAAAATACGGTAATTCAGGAACAACCCTGGACAAAGGTCTGACGATGAGAAAGAGCATAGCGTCACGTACCGTCAGTTCCGAAGTTGTCATCGTTTAGGGTAATTAGGGTTGTTGGGTTAAAAGTCAGTATATGAGCCTCAGCCTAAGCGCACGGCTTATATACCGGCACTCCCATGCTAATCGCCTCATTGTCGGATTCGAATTGATTATATGCAAATTCTGATTTTATGCGGATCAGAGCGCAAAGGAGAAGGCAGTCTAGCAGAGATTGTTGAGGAAGAGGAGAGGGCAGGCTAGCAGAGATTTTTGAGGAAGAGGAGAGGGCAGGCTAGCAGAGTTGTTGAGGAAGAGGAGAGGGCAGGCTAGCAGAGATTGTTGAGGAAGAGGAGAGGGCAGGCTAGCAGAGATTGTTGAGGAAGAGGAGAGGGCAGGCTAGCAGAGATTGTTGAGGAATAGGAGAGGGCAGGCAGCAGAGATTGTTGAGGAATAGGAGAGGGCAGGCTAGCAGAGATTGTTGAAGAATAGGAGAGGGCAGGCTAGCAGAGATTGTTGAGGAAGAGGAGAGGGCAGGCTAGTAGAGATTGTTGAGGAAGAGGAGAGGGCAGGCTGGCAGAGATTGTTGAGGCAGAGGGTATGTTTCTACATCGACGTATTTGCTATGCAGATTCGTGTAAATTGTATTGTGTAGACAGTAAATATTGTAGCGCGATTTATTACACAGTAACATGGATAGCATCAATGGATGGTGGGAGCACAAGTAACGTGGCTGAACGGCTCGGAGTCGTCGCTGCTCTAGACGCGCATCATCGGATCGGCGCCGCCGTTGTCGTCTTCCTCGGGGAATTGCTGCAAAAAGGACGCATTAATGGGAGGTGAACGATTCATTTACGGGATGTTATTAATGCTAGAGAGAATCCCTAATGATGACTGCTAGTTGGCTAGTTGATACCTTTGTCTGTTGGAACATGTTGTCGTGCGCCTCGTTCGGGTTGACGGGTGGGGGCTTCGGCTTCTTCGACACCTTCGGATTCTCACCTGGAAGGAATTCGGTTGGGGAGACAGACTTCCAGGCTCCTTTAAGATCCGAAATCTATCACAACCCCTTTAAAACTGCCACGAAGCTCCACCTACTTCCGGTGTGACTTGATTTGGACGACTTGGACGATTTGGAAGACTTTCGGGATGCCTTGTTGTCCGGCTTCTTCGAGGAGGTCGACTTGTTCTTCTTCTTCTTGCTGCAGCACGTCATGCAGCAGATGACTAAATAGTTTCAGTTTCTCGACAATATTCGCCCATACGTGTGACAACGATGATCAGCACCAAACAGCCGACCAAGCCGCACACGACGATGATGATGATGAGGAGGATGTGGCCTTTGTCTTCGGTCGGGAGAGCTAAAAAGAGGACAGTAGGGAGAGCGAGAGCGCGAGAAATAGAGAGAGAAGGAGAGAGAGAGAGAGATAGAGAGAGAGATAGAGAGATAGAGAGAGAGATTCTGAAGATCCAACCTTTTTCCGTGGTTCCATTCTTCTTTTTCCCCTCTTGCTCCCATGCCTGCTGCTCGGCCTTTGAATACAATGTACACAGTCCGTCGTCTCGGATCGACTTGATCGTCGTGTACGGCGTGCAGATGTCCGGATGGCTGGTGTTGATCGCTTTGCACGGGTGATGGCCGGGCTTGTCGGTGCATTCTAAAAAAAGCGTTTGCTCTCTCTCTCTCGTCTCTCTCTCTCTCGCTTTTCTTCCATATACAGCTCTGCTACGCCTGCTGACTCTACGACAAGGGTTGTTTTTGCCTGCACAAACCCTTTAAACCCGCCAGGAATCTGCACCCACTTCCGGTTCTGAGTAGATTTGGATGACTTGTACGACTTGCTGCCCATCTTCTCACCAATCTTCATCGACGAGGCCGACTTATTCGTCTTGTTGGGTTGTCCCTTGTCCGTCCTCTTCGGCTCGTCGGACTTCATCGACTTTTTGTTCGTCTTCTTCGAGGAGATCGACTTGACGGGTGATTCTTTGTCCTTCTTCTTCTTCGATGAGGTCGACTTGTTGGACTTGTTGGTGTTGTGGGGGGATTCCTTGTCCGCGTTCTTCGAGGAGGTCGACTTGTCGGACTTGCTGGTGTTGGAGATGGTGGGGATAGTGCCGACGTTGAGGCAACCTAAAAAGCCGGGTTTAGCGGATGGTGACAGGAGCATGAGCTTCTACGGGAACCTACTTTTTGCGGCTTCCGGCTCAGCCGAGAGGGCATCTTCATTGGAGACAGCGGGTGGCGAGGGCGGAACTTCGGCGCGAGCGGGTGGTTCGGCGACGCACTCAGCAACCGGTCGGCCGGCCTCTCCTTCAGCATCCCTTCCGCCCATAACTCCGGGGTCCACGATGCCCAACTTGTCGCGGCCGGCGATCAAAGACTCGGGGCCGGGCGCCTGAAGGTCGGATGAATCCAAATGGCTCGAGAAGAACTGGTATCCGATGCGGAAAAGCCGGCTCAAGCAAATTCTTACCTGCACCAAGCGGATCTTCGGCTTTGGAAGATACATCTCGTTGAAGTCGGGGTCCAGCTCCAGAGTGTCTTCGTGACAGTCGGCTTGCAACGGCTTGAACGTGTACTTCATCGTGGCATCCTTCTGAAAATGGCAGATGGCCACGATTAGTCGGACTTTTAGCTTTTAATAACGTTTTTGGCCAAATTTAACTAAATTCCAAATGAAGGACCTAAAACAAAAATACTTAGAAAAAATTTGCTTATTTGAAATTTTTGTCGAAAATCGACGATTTTTGCTGAAAAAAAATCGATATTTTTTGGCCCTGTTCAATAAAATTTTGTAAAGTTTTCTGTGTTTAGGAACCGAAACGGAAAAAAGCGAGAATATCAAGTTTAAGGAGATTTTTATTACATTGAATTTTATCAGTAAATGTCCCAACCTCTTCCGTGTTGTTGACCTGATTGGGGTTGGCAGCATCGGGTCTCTCTTCATCCTGTGCGGCACTTTCACCGGCGAGCTCGTCACGTTCCGGCCCGATAGCCTTTGCCATCCCTTCCGTCGTCGAATTCTCGCAGATCTGCAAAGCGGGAGCTCGCATAAAATTTTTGACGCGCTACCGAGTGGCACTTCCAAAAACAAACACCAAACCAAAAATGGCGGTACTGGACTGTTAACGGGGGGTGGTAGATATTTCTATTTTTGGCCTATTACCCGTTCCCGGCGGATACTATAATCCATTTTTATCGTTTTTAGTAGTTTTTGATTGCTAGCAAGCTATAAAAATATTGAGCGTTTTGTGAAACTTTAAATTTGACCTTGGGCGTCATTTTTGAGGAAAAAGACAAAAATACGTGCTTTTCTATATCTAATGCATGGTAAAATAGCATAAAAATTTGCATTTCGCTATAGGATCGTACGTGTTTGACGGCAGAAACATCGACCCCCCCCCCGCAAACAGTCCAGTACCGAGGTTTTGGTTACAGATTGCGTAGCATCGAAGGTGTGCGGTCCCGTCGTCGGCGGTCCCAGGCTTCTTCTCATCGGCGCGCTCCGGCTGCTCATCGGCACGCTCCGGCTTGTCGTCGGCCTGCTCGATGTTCTTCCAGAGAATCGGGGAGGAAGCTAAATGGAGGTGTTGTACGGTCCTTTCGCCTTATCGGGGGAAACTGGCTTTCTATGAACCCAGAAAGGCCTAGCGATTTAAAAATAGTTTTTAATTGTGCTTTTTTGGCAAATTTAACTGTGTTTGAATCTTTTTGAAAAATAAAATTTGAAAAATAAAATTTGAAAAATCGTAAGTCAATTTTTTCGTTTTTAATAAAAAAATGTAAAGTTTTTACGCGTGGGAATAGTAAAAAAATGGCTACGGTTTACTTTACCACCGCCCCCCCCCAGCCGCAAGTTTTTGGCTATAACTTTTTTATTTTACATTATTGTAGGCTCAAATTAAAACTCTTAGTATATTTTTCGACGCTCTATCGAATGGCGTTGCAAAAATCCCGACAAAATAAGCGAAAATACCGAAAGCTTTCAGACCCTTCGGCTGTGGGGGTAAGTAAACTCTTACCAAAAATAGCTTAGGAACACTTCCTATATTTATATTCTACAAATTGGATCCTTTGACCTACAGTCTTCGGCACCGGGACAACCAGCAGATCGCTGTCGTTGTTCTTGTAGTATCGTTCAGTGAGCTTCTTGAACACATCCGCATAATCCCGTGTATCCTCCTCGGTGCGCTCCGACTGAAATGCACATCAATCGTAAAATTTACTTGCAAAGTTTGTCGCTTTCTGATCAAAAATTTAAAACGCCTGAATTTAAAGCCCTACTCCTACGCTTTTTAGAAGCCAAACACTAATAAAAAACTTGAAAAATACACCTTGAGATACTAAAACATTTTTGCTGGATAGGAACAGGACAGAATAGAAAGCATTATAAAGAAGTACTACCATTTCCGAGTGTAGATCATGCGCTTCAAGTGTCGCATCTCGCGCCTCCTCCCATCGGGCTCGGGCCATCTTCACCGCAAAAGCTTGACGAACCATCAAATCCTGCAAAAAAAGAATATTCATTGAACTTTTTCAATCAAAACGTAAAATTTTTACGTTTACGAATAGTAGAAAATAGATAACAATGCTTAGAAAAAAGGTTTTGGTCTGTTAGCGGGGGGCCTTCAAATTTTCCTTTTTCGTCATTTTTCGGCTTAAGTGCATTTTCAAACCGAAAACCATGTAAAATGCTATAAAAAATGGTTTAGTTTTTGTTATAGGGACGTGTATACTCAGAGGGAAAAATTTGAGCGCAGCGCCGAAAAAATTTGGTTTGGCCCCACGTAAAATTTGGGAAATAGACAGAATAGAGCTTTGCCGAAATCGGGCAGTTTCAAACACCCACTTTCAGGATTCCGGACAGCGTATCCTTTTTGGCTTCAGCCGCGGCAAGAGCACCGGTGGCCAAGGCGTCGTCGAACCACACAGGCCAATCCACCTCTGGGCAATGTTCGGCCGAGTGAAGAGCCTGAAACAAGGGGCTGACGCTCACTACCATGTTTATATTTTTTTAAAAAATATAGATACATTTAAACTATCTAAATATCTAAAACCTGAACAAGCCGAATTTTGTTTGCAAATCGCTTATTTTTGTCAAAAAATCGATCGACTTTTGCGAATTTTTTAACAAAATTTTGTATAGTTTTGACGTTTAGGAATAGTACAAAAAGCATTTTGAAACACTTCCAGGATTTATCTTGAAAAATTAGATCCTAAGAAAAAAGTGACTACCACGAGCTTTGAGCGTGGGGGCAGCTTCGCTTGTCCGCGCTTTTTCCTCGACGCCCATTCTTTGAGCACCACAGATTCGCCAGCGACCGCGACGAGCCGGGCCAATTTAGTCAGGACCAGACGTTCGGCATACTGTAAACACAATTACAGAGGTATTCGGGAAAATTAGGGCCGTCGGCGAGAGAAATCACGTTCCGTTTTCCACCTGTGGATGTAATATCATGTTTTTAGAGTGGTTTTATTAGTTTTTAATTGCTAAAGGTATACAAAATATTTTTTTTAATTTTGAAAATTCGAAAATTTTTACCCTTTTTTTTGGGTCATTTTTCATACTTTGCAGTCCAAGAAGTCAAAAATTTTCGAAATACTATTTAACATGGTTATCTCTGGTGATAGGGCCGTAGAGAATCACAGAGAAAAGTTTGGTTTTCACCTCTCCCCCCGCTAAGAGCCCAGAACCGAAAAAAATTTGGTTTTAGTGTAGTATTTTAAGTCTTATATATATAAAAAAGCCCCAAAAAGAAGGCAAGGCCCTACAGCAGAGGCAAGATGAGCCGCAGCGATCTCCTCCTCGCGGTGCTTCTCCCCAATGACGATATAGCGACAGCTCCTCCAGTCAAGCGCCTCGTTTTCCGGCTAAAAACTGGGGTTCAGCTGATGAACGCTGCGCCACATAACGCTCGTTTGCCGGAAATAGAACCAAGCTACTCACTTCGATAAGGGTTTCACTATTCTTCATCGTTCAGCGAATAAATAGAAATCGTTAGTGTTGGACGTTAGTAGAGAATCAGTTTCTGGGCTAATTGCAGGGGCGAGCCGCTTTATACCAGCATTCGCTTGCTAATTGGAAAGAATTGATGTTTGTAGATTTCTGGGATGCAAATCGTGCTCTCTGTTTCTCTCTCTGTCTCTCTCTCTCTCTTCCTTAAAGTGTTTTTCTTAGTTTGCTAGTTGTTCTTGTTCTCTTTGCGCTGTTTCCCCAACTAGAAAAGGGTCGATTACGCAATTGAAAGACGTGCGTTGCTTGTCTCAGAATATGCTAAATAGAACCCTTGATCACAGTGTATTCCGTCTATTCATGGAGCAAAATGAAAAATTTGGTAGCCTCTATCGAAAACCCGTTGTGGAAGAGCCAGGGCAAGGGCTGGGCCAGCATCTTCAAGACGTTCAGCTGACGGTGTTGTGGCGCTCACATCTGAAATGTCATAAACTGGCGCTTAAGCGGCGAGGTGCGGTCGGCTCATTTGTAGGCTTTGGATCCCTTGGATTTTGCGGGCGATATCCGCTACATGCAACGGATGCTCCACTCCTTCGAGATGAAGAAGCACTAACCAATTACGCGATGCAAGGGCGCGCGTGTCCCTTGCGGGTCGCGACGGTGACAGCAATAGGTCGGGAAGAAAGCGCCCACTCACATTTTCCCCGGCTGCGGCCGTAGATGAACGCTGCCGCCACCCTGCAGTGAGCCGCGAGCCGATGAACGATGCCGTGAGAAGCGCGACACCGAGCGAGACAGCTAAAAGGCGCTATTTTGCCGTACCACGCATTCGCTTACGGTAGGAAACGTGCGGGCAAACGAGCGAAGACATTTTTGGCGGAAATGCTCGGAGGAGAGACAGAAGAGCACAAAGTTCAGGCTCTTCCCCATCACCACCAGGCTGTTCGTGATGCTGAAAATGAGCGGGAATGGTGCGTGAACGTCGCTACCAAACTGGCATACCTGGATATTTTGTAGAAAAATGGGCCGACGTTGTCAAAGCCGGCGACGAGTTCCCAGATTGCCATCACGGCCGATGGGCCCTAAAAGAATGGCTTTCGGGTTAGGTTAGGCGGTCGATCGAAGTTGCGGCATAGGTTTAGGCTGACAACTGGCTCAACGTAGACATAGGCTAGGCTTGTGCTTGGGCTTAAGTTTAAAATTTGGGTAGAGCGTAGTATTCGGCATAGGCTTAATGTTAGGAAACTTAAGCCTAGGCCTGACCTGGGTGATGGCAAAGCACAATCCGATTGCGGCAACGGTAGCAGTCACGCGACGGCGAGTCTTCTAAAATTTTCCGAGGTAAAATTTTCGAGCTGCCAAATCATCGCGCGAAGCCTTTGACGTACCTGTTGAGTCCGTGCTAGTGATGAGGTGAGAAGCCCGTTCTCTAGGGTTTGGTCATTCTTGTGCAGGACACGGAGAAGAGAAATGTTGATGACCACCACGAGGACCATGGGGAGAAGAACCACCTGGAAATGGGGCCCGTTGTCGCGAAGGAAAATTTCTGACAGTAGGCTCGCAGAGTCGCTTTGCAAATGCTCACCAGCACCGCATTAAAAAACGTAGATGATCGTATGTAGAGCTGGACCATCTTCGACGGGCGGTACTCGATTCGGGAGCCAAATCTGAGCGGAAATTTCGTATGGGTCAGTTCCAAAATCACAAACTCTGCCGGATGCGCTTCAGTTGTCGGATAGCAGAAATCCATCACCTGGGTCCCATTACAGAACGATACCATCTGACAGTCATACTCGAAGTGATGGTAGATCGTCAACACGCCTGAACTATTTTTGAAAGGTCTCTGCCGTACTTAATCGAGCCGGCAGTCTCTGGACTTAACTTAAGCCTAGCCTAAGTATAAGCCGAGCCCAAGCTCAATTCCCCATAAGCCGACTCCTGAACTTGCCGGTGATGAGGAAGACGCTGCCCAACACCAACGCCATCCGCCCCCTCTCCCAGTAGAGTTTCGAGCGCAACGGTGAGCGGACGATCAGAAAACGCTCCAAAGACACGGCCAGGATTAGCCTGAATCGCTGAAATTGGTACGGCATTTCCTCAAAGGACCTTTGCTAGCACGCGCCGCGAATCCGTTTTTCTATAAACTTTCTTCAGTCTTTTTCCTCAAGAATCTTTGCTAGCTTTCCGCGCAAATTCTAGCTCTTATAACAACCATAATATCGCACTCATAGCAACTATTAATTACCATATCGCAGCCGCACTCATCCAATTCGCCATGGCGGCCATGTGCTGCTTGGTCTTGATGTAGAAGAAGCGGAAATGATACATCCCGGCCAGCCCATCGAATGACGCCAACGAGTGGGGCACCTGAATTATGTGAAATCTCCATTTTCTTTTGCTCACCATCATAAAGAGGAACATGGTGTCGCACAGCGAGACGGCGGCCAACTGGAAATCGGGATATGGTAAGACAGCCCTGTTTTGCCCAAATTACCGTACCAAATCCGACGCGATGTTGGCCGCATCGTCGGAGGTCAGCACCCAAAAGATGAGCGAATTGCCGAGGACGCCGAGTGTGAATTGCACGGGAAATACCTTCTGCAGGATGAATCTGTAAGGCCGATCGAGGAGTTTTTCCAAACTGTCTTTTACTTTTCTTAAAAAAAATAATGCCTTTAGCGAAACAAAACTCTGTTTTAACTAGAAAAACTCCTAAAAACTTCAAAAAGTTGGCATTTTGGTCAAAAAACGGTCAGTTTTGGGACGAAAAATCGATGTCTTTTGTTTTTTTAATAAAACAGTACAGTTTTACGTTGAAGAATAGTAACAATAGTTTAGAACACGTCCCTTTTCGGCCCCTTTAAAGGAACGGGGCCAAGAGTCACCCACCTGCGCAACGGGTCGAACACGAAAATGTACTGATAACGCGGGGAGCAGCTTCGCCATGCCAGCTCCTTGTCCAAGAAGCCCGGCATGATGGTGGTGATGGCCACCGCCCTGGAAGGGAGGGAAATTTACTGCCTGCGAACGGCCCTGGACTTCCTGCTGAGCCGCCCAAAAAGCAACGTGAAAATATAGCGAAAAACAGGTTTGGGAAGAGGGTAAAAACGAGCAGGACAACAGATTTAAAGCCTTTTTGATTAAAGGGTATGATTTTCATCATTATCGACGGCCTACGGTGTTAGTCTCAACGTCTCGAGGGCATGCTAGCGGAAATTTCTTTGGAAAGCGCGCCTCCGGGCTGTTCCAGGCTCATATTTTGCCTAAACGTTCTCTGCTAGCCTTCCCATACCGTTAAAGTCGACGTTTTGGCATATAACGGAGGCACCTAGCGGCGCCGAGAGACTAGGACAAAGAAATAGACTCCAACGTAAAAGGGCATTCCCCGTGATACGAGACCGGCGTCAGAACGTACGCTCTGATGCGTAGAGTTGAATTGCGTAGATGTCTGACTAGTTAATCCTAGGCACAGACCTAAGCCCAATCCTTGCTTTCGCTATATCACCCAAAAAAATTTCGGAAATGCCCGGTCGAAACAATTGCCGATCGAATGGGGGTGGGGGAGGAGAGCAGGAGTGGAGTCAGGTGCCACGATTTGCATATTCTATCTCACACGCGAGCAAACGGACCGTCAGGGACACGGAGGGTACTTGTGTATTCCCGGGGGGGAAACTGAACTTTTTTTTGTCGGGCCTGGTGGGGATGTAATCAATATGGTTTTTCTTGTTTTGCAAAATTTAAGCCTATTTATCGGAAAAACTTTTAAAGTTAGAAAACGTTGAAGTCGAATTTGGTCTTTTGGACCGAAATCGTTTTCGACCTAAAATTATTTTATGTTTATTATGTTTAGGAATAGCTATAAACAATTTAGAAACACTTCCACTATTTATATAAAAATCTAGGCTTGGGCCAAAAAGTTCGTTTCCCCGCTTCTTCCCCGGGAATACACAAGAACCACACGGAGAAATCATTTTCGACTAGACCCTTTTTTTGGAGGCGAGGGCCCGGATCGGAGGGCCCCCAACGGCTCGGATTTCAGGAAATTATGTAACCCGCCGGAGAATGCTTACAAGCCTCCTCTTCTGGTTTGATGCTCATCTCCGATGCAGTGGAATCTGCTCGTATGGACAGGCGTGAGCTCAAGCGTAGCATCCGCGTGGGCTGACTTGATCTGAGTCCGATGAAACGTAGGCGGGAGTTTAGCCTGGCTTCTGAAGATTGGCTGTAAGTCGGGTATATGAGGAAATAGATCATTCGCGGACAGACAAACATATAAGAGCAGGTTATCAAAATTGCATTTAAAGCTATCGTCAACCAAATAGTGGAAAGGCTAAAAGCGCCGTAATTCGGCCAAAGAAATTCAATTATTTTCCAAAAAAAAAGGAAAAATCGTCAGTGGTTAGTCGATTTCCGAAACATTCCGCATAGCGTCAGACCGCAGCAGACCGTAGCGACCCAGCGCAGCCGCACCTCGATGATTTCGATTTATGACAGGTTCGTGCTGGGAATGAGACGGGGTCTCCACTTTTGCGTTCATGCCCGTTTTGCAAACCTTTTTAATCTCAGCGGAAACTCATAAAGACAATTGATAACGATTTCCTCTGGTACCTTCATCCTTTACCTTTCTATTTCTTTAGTTGAGATATGCTGGAAAAGGGACAAGTAGAGGCAGCTCATCATTTTCTAATGCTTTCGTGTTATCATCCGTCTGAAAGGCGCCTGACCAGTTCCTGGCGACTTGTAGGCAAAGAAAGGGTTGTTGGTCACAGGGCAGGCTCCCCACCTCTAATAGGACCAAATATAGAAGAATCCCTCAGTCTCTATTCGAGAGCTATGACTTTCCCCTCAGCCGCTCTACTTTCGTATTGGGACAGCTTTCCTCGACTGGCGATGGGCTTCACAAAAATCCCGCCAAAGGAACGCTGGGGGCGAGACACGCCAAGCAACATGCTGAGCGCCGAACCTCTTCAAAAACACCACGACACCATCAAATCTTTTGCTGAAATGTTGTGTATTTTGTGTTATGTAGAAAAGATTACTTTCGCTCTTGGTTTCCTTTTTTTATCTTGCAGAAAGATTGTGGCGATTGTGGCGCATCTAATTGTCGTTTTTTCAGATGCAAGCTGAAACTCCGCCTGAATTGCGGCAGTGTTTTCGAAAAACCGACGAGCCGGATTTCCCGATCGGGTTGAAAGGGGAAGATGCGGGCGGATCGGCGTTCCTGATCGATTGTGGCGGCTTCTACAAGGATTTCCTGGCCGTCTGGCGAAGCGAGAACTTGTCCATCTACGACGTCTTTACGAAGAGCCAATTTTCTGCCTATGCTTTTGAGAAGGGCAGCGTTGTACAGGATGTGTTCTACCATCATTTGACTTCGGAGGATCCAGGTTTGGACTTTTAATTTTGGCGTAAATTCGGTGATTTTTCAGCTGGGCACCCCGGCGTGATTGTGGCTGTGAACAACGATGAGAAGAAAAAGTATCTGGTCTGCCTCTTGGCTCTGGTGCCGAATGGTAGCGCCAAGCTGTTGAGCCGCATCGTCATCCAGCATAAGGTTTTTGAAAGCGACTTTTTGCTCCAATCCCGCTTTAGATTACAACCGTCCGTACTTTGATCAGCAGCTTCCGTATGGAGAAGGTCAAAGGCGCACTCCATCCGAAAATGGGCGCCATGCCGAACATCATTGCGGTTGGTTAGCCAATTTTTGTTGATCACTGTTTTCTAGGTGGGCACGGAGAACGGGCATTGTTACTTGGCCAACACCATCGTGGGAGCATTCGGCGATGAGGAGAATTTAGCCGAGGAAAAAACAGCCCGGTGGACGGACGCATTAAGTGGGTGACTCTCGTCCTTTTTTTAAAAACCATTTCTTTTCAGAGGACTTCCACAGTAGAGACGACAAAGCCGAGTTCCTCTACGATGCTGCCGGGATGCGGAATACGGTGATTAAGCCTGTGGATGAAGGTAAGAAGATTATTTACGCACATGAATACTTTTTTAGTCTCCGTCAGCTCTCTGGGCTTCGTGGACCGCGCTCGAGCCCTCGTCATCGGCCTCAACTTTGGAGGGCTGGTGCTCGTCAGCCTCTCCTATTGCCCCAGCATGTAATTTATACTTTATTTTATTATACATCCGTAATTAGTATAACGGTACCGCACCCGATGTTTGGATCTGTGCCGAAGCACATCGTGTCGATGGTGCCCGAAAATGACCCACGGCCGAGGCTATACTTCGCCGTTTCGTTCGATGCAAGTGCCAGGTATTTAACGGATTTGGTACTAATATGTTTTTTAGGGCTGCCGGTTCTGTGTTCATCTTCGCCATGGAATTTCCGGAGGACGAAAAGGAGCGTATCAACGATCCGTCAACCTGGGAGTACAATGAGTTGCACGCGTTTCCGTATCTGACGATCTCCACGCCGGATATGAGGGTCTGGCTGTCGATGCGGTGCATTGTCGGAAACGAATGCAAATACCACAACGATCCCAACGAAACGATGTCCTTGGATACAGGTAAGATTTTTGCGACGATTTCTAGCTAGTTGACACCCCCTGTTTTAGGACCAAGTGCGGCGCATTCTCGTACCCTGCTCTCATTCTTCTACCTTTCCCGCGACTCGACCACACGCGATTTGCGTCTAATGGGTGGCCTCTACGATCTGAACCAGCACTACTTCAAACGCCAAATTCCAAAGATGCTCGGTGACGGCTCACTGGCGGCCCAGGTATATATTTCGCGGTTTTGCAGCATATATCAGTTTAGTGCCCGTTCGTCTGCTTCTTCAAGCAAGACATTGGTGACGACGACCAGAAATTTTCTCTCACCCTCAACGACGTGCTAATCGATCCGAGCCATGTTTCACGTTTCGTCTCGGATGTCAGCACGGAGCTGGCCTTGTTCTATCCATCGACCTACCGTTTCCCGAACATCTACCTATCGAACGGCCGCAAACTGGCCCAATACGCGGTGGACCCGCTACACGAACAGGTATTTTCTTTTTTTTTTTAAGCTTCAGTGAGCTTTAGGTCTTGCAACGTATCGCCAAGAATCTGCGAACGCACGTCTGCGCCCCCGAAACCGCAAGTGAATGGCTGAGCGCCATCGGGCTGCTAGAGGCCCCGAGCGTCGACGCGAACAACTACATCGGCAGCTGCAGGGCGCGTGTCCTTTTCAACGTTATGCAGCACCTCGACACTAGCCAGATCGTGGATATGTGCAACAGCCTCGACGATCCATTGCCGCCACCACTACTTGAAGAAATTTTCTGCTGGATTTGGAGGGAGACGGAGCGTCAGTTCCAGACGATGCAAGACATTAGTAAGTTTTCATTTTTTTTTTGCATTCTTTTCATTAATCGTAACGGCAAAAGTTATGTGAAAGAATTAATCTTTTGCTTTCAGCGGATCCTCTCTTCCGCGGCATTACAGCCGAAATGAATGAAGCGGATCAACGTTCCCTGACCGCCTGCGAATCAACCTTCCGCGCTGCGCAACGGCTCTTCTCCTCCTACAAGCGCTACCCCGCGGACCAAGGACCAATCTGGGAACTGCGCACACACGCGGCACAAAGCTTCCTGCAATACTTGTCGCTCGTCTACGCCTTCATTTACAATCGCCTTTTGCCCATTGATGAGCAGACGAGGCGCACGACGAATTTGATGCGGGAGAAGATGGGTAAAAGGATTCGGGCGGCTGAGCAAAAGAAGTGAGTTCATCGATTATTTGCATAGGCTGCTCTTGTCAATGGCCTTGTTAATTATCTCAGTCTTCCGTCAATTTCCTCGTTGTCAACGCTCATATGTTTATTTTCCAGCAAGTCACTCTACTTGACGTCCATCATCGCCAAGATAACAGACCAGAAAAGTGATGATAGCGGCATGCTCTGGCTGACCGACGGCCTCCACTCTTACCCTCCTACGTTATTGGTAACTTTTAAGATTCGATCTATTCCTCTCTTAGGACATCGTTTCGTTGTTCCCGCTGTTCGAGACGAGCGAGCGGTGCAAGCGTGCCCTACTCATCTACTACCTACTCGACTACTACAGCTGCAGCGGGTGCTCCGAACCCGCGCTGAAGATGGAAGAATTCGTGGCGACGGTCGGCCGAAAACTGAAGCTGACGTGGGACGAGGCCAAGATCCATTACCAAGGATGGGTCAACGATACGGCGCTCGAGCGGTGCGCCGGCGAGCCAAATCAAGATTTGGCCGATTCCTTCGACAATGGTCCCTTAGGTAAGATTTTATATTTATGCATAGATACCGTTGCGTTCAGGCCGCGACCCAAAAGTGGAACTGATGGAGATGGTGTCGAAGCGGCTAGACACCTATTTGCCAGAAGAAAAGCTCAAGATACAGCGGCTCATCCGGCGCGTATATGGCGAGCCGCTGGATAAGATAGTTTGGAATGTTCTTCTCTTCGACCACGGGCTTGTCGACGATTTTGATACCGAGGTGTTTTATTTCCATATTATCAAAGTTTTTTCTAGATCTACGTTGAAGAGGGTTTGCACAAGGATGCCTATGTGGAGCGCTACCTCCTTGTCGCCAATCAAATCCGCCATCAAGTCCGGGGCGGCTCGCTAGGCGCAAGGCATAAGCTTTCCGACGAGACGCTCACCAATCACTTGAAAAGTAATTTTGTTTTTACCAAACTCTATTGGCAAATTAGGAAATTCCGAAGTCCATCATGAAGGCGAACACACTGCACGTTTGAGCGCTTTCCGCACGGCCAATATTAATAGGAAGCGGCAATCACTGGTATATTTTAGACACTCAACCCTTTTGCTGCGGTGCGTCGAATGTCAGCAATGCTTTCAGACTAACGAGCCTGCGTTCCTCAATCGTTCGCAGAGCAAGCCTATCGTTGGATTGGAGACGCCGACCGTCCAACAAATTGTTGCACAGCCCGTCACCCCTCCCATCACTCGGCAGCTGGTACTCGAAGAAGACGAAGAGTCGATTATTGCATTTAGGTAATTTTTTTTCTTTTTCTCTTATGCTTTTTCCTAGCAATGTCCCGCACACGGAGTTGGAGCGACTTCGCGAAATCGTTCGCACTCCTAAGGCTCGGGCTTCGGCGGCCGCACGTGCAGAAGGACTTCACGCAAACATGGTGACTCCAGAGCAGAACCGTGATCGTCCAGCACCTACTAGCATCCTGCGAAGCGCACATAAACGTATCATTTTTAATTTCTATTTATGGATATTTGATTTAGAGACACCTACTCGCGGTAACATCCGTTGGGACCCGGAGATAGCTGGCAGTGACGAGGTTGGCTTCATCTTCTTACTTTAAAATTTTTTTTAGAACTCTGTTGAACAAACCTCCATTCCACCCGACCCAACCCTCCCTATCCCCGTCCTTCCGAACTTTGATAGCGATGATGACATGGAAGGTGAAGAGAGCGAGATCAAGAAAACTCCGAGGAATCAACTCGTCGACTATACGATCGCCGATACTACGATGAATTCAGTTGCCAGGTACTGCACGTTTCGGTGCTTTTATTTATTTATAGCACCAGCTTCAATCAGCAACCGGTTAGGGAACGCAGCTTCGAGGAAGGGCAGGATGATGAGGAAGAATTCCACGAAACATTGCCTGCGGGAGAAGCAGAGGAAGAATTCCACGATACACTGCCTGCGGCAGAAGTAGAGGACGAGGGCGGTGCTACTGAGATCTACCTGGACGCCTCAGCGACTGAACCAACTGGCACTCCGGAGCTCAATACGGTACTTTCCAAGTTGGATTGTTACGAAATGACCTTATTTCTTTGCTGACGGACCCTTTTAGTCTCAAAGGCTCCGGTCGTTTGAAGAGCAAGGGGACGAGGATTTCGATGAGGTGCCGCCTGAGGCCGAAGTGCGACCACTGGAAAACCTGGTGTGTGGTCTTTTCAATTCTTATATTGTCTTAGGCTTCCCCTTCCACGACTTTTGTCATTCGACGTGATGAAGTGCTGACTGAGCCTGAGAAGCAACCGGCTGCTGAGACTGCCGAAACCAAGGACGTTGAAGAGCCGGCTGCCGAAGCCGTCGAAGAAACTGCTAAAACTAGAACCCCGTCACCACCAAAACGGTCCGACATAATTTGTCGTCATAACCAGTTTTAGGCGCTCTTCATCCAGGACCCGCGCCACGACAGAATCCACAGCAGCTTCCGCCTCTGAAACGCCGAAAAGGTATCGCTTCTTTACTGTGCAAGATCCAATCTTTTGTAGGCGCTCCGTTTCGCGGACCCGTACTACCAGCCAGGCATCGGCCAGCGCAGAGACTGTCGCTGAGCAACCGCCGCCGAAAAGGTAAGCATTCCTTTGCTGAAATTGAAATTTACTTTTTAGCCGACGCTCGACATCGCGCGGACGTCCGACTAGCAAGGTGGCTGAGGAAAAAGAGAAGGAGGATGCCGCTCAAACCGCTTCTACCAGTCGCAGATCGTCCTCTAGGACTCGAGCAGCACCCCAGGAAGCAACGCCGCGAGCTTCGAGGGCCGATGAAGCAAAGAAGGCGACCCCGGCGCGTCAACTCTTTCCAAGGAATGCCAGCGCTGCCAAAGATAACAAAGTTGAAGACAGGCTGCGTGAGTTCCTTCTTTCCTCATTTATCTAGGTTTAGTGAATATCGAAGCCCTCCTCAAGAAGAATAAGCCGGGACGGCCGAAAAGGGCAGCATCGCAGCAGGCCGAAAGCTCCGCTGCAGCTACGCCCAAATCAGCAGCCCGCGCTCAACGATCTGCTTCGGCCGCTCCTGCAAAGGTTTGATTGCTTTTTTTATTCGACTTTCCGATAGGGCGCTGCTACACCGTCTACGCCCACTCGCCGTGGTCGTCCTCCGAAGGTTGCTTCGCCGATTCCTGAGGTGCCTAGCACCGCTAACAAGACAAGAGTGCGCGCTGCAAGCGAAAATAAGAAGACGCCTACGACTCCATCAAGGCAGCGCGCCAGCCGATCGGCCAGCACCATCAAGAAGGCAGAAAAGACCGATGACACGCCCAAGAAGCCTGCCGCGCGAGCCACCCCGAAGACTGCGGAGAGAAAAACACCAGCTCGAACGCCGTCTGTCGATTCGTCCGTGTCCATGAAGAATGCTCGTCTACGTTCCGCCACCAAGACCAAACTCGATGCGGTCCAAGAGGAGCGAAAGGACGACGAAATAGTAAATTTTCATTTATTTTAAAGAATCATCACCTTTTAGGCAACTCCAAAGCGCGCCACTCGTGCCACGAAGACGACAGCCGCCGCTAAGCCATTAGGTGGATTTGTTGATTTTTAGTTTAACCGCCTTTTAGATGTTGTCGGGCTCTATGCCAGTGCTGCCAACAGAAAGCGGGCCCAACGTGATGAGAAGGACGACGACCAACCCACGACCTCACGCCCTGGCACTGGCGCAAAGAAAGCGAAGAAATAAGTACCGCCCCCCCCAAATGTGCTTTCCATTGTAGGATCTCCTGTTCATTCCATTTGCTGATGTGTTTGTGATTATAACATGATTGAAGATAAACCTTAGATTCTGCCATCCAGCCAAGCCGCTTTTCTTCAGGTCAAGGACCTCCTGTACTCGGTCGGGATTTTGTTGTTAGCGCTCTGAGTGAATGGCGTTCTAGCCTTAGCTTTCGATAATGCTGGTGACCGATTGTGAAACGAACTTCGGCACCAAGGATTTGTACGACGTCCTTGGGTTGGAGAAGGATTGCAAAGCTGCCGATGGTATTTGAGAAACCGCTTGAAACCTTTTTTAGTGAAAAAGGCCTACTATAAGAAATCTATGCTATGGCATCCCGATCGATTCTCGGGAGAGAATAAGGAAGAAAGTGAAACAGCTACTCAGAAGTTCCAGGTATCCCCTGCGGTTGGTTTACGAGCTTTTATTTTGCAGACCCTTTCCGGCGTGTACCGCATCCTGTCCGATAAGGAGAAGCGCAAGATCTACGACGAATCGGGTACTTAGCTGTTTACAATTAACAATTTTGATCAGGATCGTGCGGCGACGAAGAAGGTCTTGATGCCACCTTTGAAGAAGCGGTCCGCATGTGGAAGGGCATGTTCAAGAAAGTGACTGTCGAAGATATCGAGAATTTCTACAATGAATATCGCAGTATGTGGAATCACGCTACTAATTTAACAATTGTCATAGATAGCGAGGAGGAACGAAACGACCTTCGGACTCACTACGAGCGTTTCTCGGGAAACTTCAACAAAATAATGGAGTACACCATGGGCTGCAGCATGGATCAAGAGGACAGACTACGTGGTATCATTGATGGTGAGTGGGCTTCTTTGGGCATCGCTTTACCATTTTCTCAGAAATGATCGACGAAGGACTGCTGAAGAAGACTGCTCAATATACTAAGTCTACTTCGAAAGCGGCGCTGAGGAAGAGAAAGAGAAAGAATGAACGAGAAGCTGAGGAAGCAGAAGAGGCCTTGAAAGAGATCCAGCAAAAGGTAGCTTCCGTGGTTTTTAGATCGCGCCAAACTTAATTCCTGAATTCTGAATTTTATGTTTCTTTCCAGGAACAGGCGTCGGGCAGTAGCTTGGAGGGAATGATCCTTGCCCAGAGGCAGCAGCGCGCCGAAGATCTCGATGACTTTCTGGATCAGCTCGCTTCGAAGTACGCCAAGCCTGCCAAGAAGAAGAGCAAGGCGCAAAAATAACTTCCTTTGACAACTTTTACGTTTCGGCATTTTACGTTGTATGCATAAATATTGCGACCGAAATTGATGGAGTGAATTGAATGTTTCTTATACATCTTTTTAGCCATCTTTTTAGCCATTCGTGTAAATTGTGTAGATTGCATGTAACTGTTTCGATTTTGCCGTGACACGGCAGTGTGGGCGCAACTGAACACTTAATTCCGTCGATGGTTAGATATCGAATCTGAAAATTAAGGAAATGAGAACGAATTGGGGCTCGAATCGAATCGAAATTCAATCGTGTTTCGAAATTTACATGCGAAAAAATTTGAATCTCGGAACAGCTCAATCTCGGACTGTTCCGAATCTCGGAACAGTCGGAACAGCGAAATCTCGGAACGTTCCGAATCTCGGAACAGTCGGAACAATATGAATCTCGGAACAACCGCATCATTTGAATCTCGGAATGTTCCGAATCTCGGAACAGCCGGAACACGCGAATCTCGGCCTGTTCCGAGAAACAACCCTACCTTACGACAGCCACCGCGTCCTTGGATGCCCTAAACAATTTGTGCGATCGATTTTCCTAATCCTGATGGTGATGCTGGAAAGTGTAAAGTTTAGTAGTGTTTGCTGTAAAGTCTTTTAGTCGCGCTAAGGTTTCGGATGGTACGTAGACCACCTTCTGCAGAAGGTTTTGCTGATTCCGAGTATGGTTTCTGAAATTTCTGTCAAATTGTATTGAAAGTTATCCGGGCTTTCTTTCTTTCCTAAAGCAAAAAAATGTTGCTGGAAAATTTAAGAGCCCTTGTCCCAACATTTTGGGTCACCTGGGGAGTTAAAACCATGAGGGGCAGCAGAGCTGCCCCGGATACTAACAATTCCTTCAAAATCAGAATTTCTTCGCTCGGCCACCGATCGAGCCCCCGTCGGGGCGGCGGTTTCCGTTCGGTTCGAAGCGTTGGGGATGGGCCACAGGGCCACAGGGTCCCCTTCGGGTGGTGTGTGGATCCTTTGTTTTCATCGTGTTTGTCCTGTCCGCAGCGTCCGTCTCTTCTTCACAGTTCTTCTCGCCATTTCCCCTCCGGGGGGGGCTGTCTCCCGCCTTTTTCTACATCTTCTTCCTTCCGAAAAGCCCGGATTCGGATCTGGGCGGCTCCGGTTCGGCCAATCCCGAGGTCCCCTCACACAATTCCAGCAAATCTGAGCGACCCTGATCCTGTTTGGCGTGCTAAACTGCACATTTGCTTAAATAACTTTTCTGGCGGCATGTCAGCTATTTACTTTCTAACCTTCTGTGAGCTTTTCGAAGCGGCTACCATTTCTAACCCTGAAAGAGATCAAAAGCGCTAGAACCCAGCGACCTTTCAACTAGGCCTCGAACGACCACGCGACGCACCAAACGACGTCGCCAGTAACGCATTTTTTTTTGATTGATCAAACGTCGCGTTTCTAGCGGTTTCCCCGACTGTGGTTGCTCGCGTATTTTGGCATGTTGAAAGCTGACTAGCCCTAGCCGCCTGAAGGGTTCGATCCTGGCGATTTCGACCTTTACGCGCGCACGCACGCTACGCACGACGCACCCTACTCGATTTTTTTGCCGCCATTGAGGCTTGCTGGGCTTAGAATCGCTTGACGCATGGGGTTTAGACTTTTCATTGCCTAATTAACGATTTCCACTGCGTAACTTAATGGACAGCGGTAGGCCCGTTACATGACGCGACCGCCGCGTTTACGATGGCGATTGCGGAGGGAAGTGCGTCGGGATTTTGGCGAAAAACTTTATAAATTAGCCTTGGCTGCTCCTTTAATGACGGTTGTCGCCAATCAGACGGCCTGGCCATCCGGAATGTATGCCGATGCGTTGAGTCAGCGATGGCGCATCCGGTTCCGGCCAGGGCACGCCGAGCTCAGCCAATCGAGAGATTCCACACGCGGGACACGTGTTTCGCTGTCTCTCGCTCTCTCTCACGCTCTCTCACTCTCCCACTATCTTTCTCTCTCTCTCTCTCACTCTCTCTCTCTCTCTCTCTCTCACTCTCGCCATGCCCCCGTTTCCGCGTCCGCCTCACAGAGTTGTGGGCCCTAAGGCGAGGGGCAAAGCCGTGTGGTGGTGGGCCCGGGGCTGGCCAGCCATCCGGTCCATCTCTGCTGTGTGCGTCTCTTCCGAATGCCCACCCCACAAACACTTCCCATCCGCGCGGGCGCGCTGGCTGCAGACCCCCGCGCGCCACCCCAAGGCATTTTCCGCCCTCGGCCGAACACACCTCGCTTCTGTTCGGCGGTTTTTTAGGGCAACCTTACCAAATTTTCGGATGTGTATTTTGTATTCCAACGTCACGGAAATTTCGCCTTTACGCCGCTTTAAAGGGATTAGCCAGGCAAGGCTATGGATGCCGTTAATGCCCTTTAAAAGGGAGAAGGGCCGTATGCCATTGCGCGATGCGCATCGTGGGCCCACAAAATCCATAGCAATGCCTTGCCGGTGCCTTTAAACTTACTTTCAAGCCGCTTAAGGATATTTAAACGTCTGTTAAAGGGACTGGCAAGGCAAGCCTCGGCCGCTGTTCTGCCTGTTCCATTGCGTCATCGATTACGCCAGTTTTACGGCGGCTGCACGACAAGCGCGTTGCCTGTCGCTTCGGGGACGCAAAAAAGAGACTGGCCAAAAATTCATAGGCATGTCTTGTCAGTCCTTTAAAAAAGCGATGTTCTGCCCTCCTGGCCTTCACACACCATTTTTCACTATGATTTTCCGGTTCTGGCTTGTTAGCAGGGGGGGGAGGGGAGACCACACTCATTTCGCTTTCCTTTCCAATTCGCCGTTTGAGGCCTATCGGAAGCTTCCCCCCCCTCGATAATGAACAAGAACCGTTTTTCCAACCTCTTTTGCCTACACTGAAGCCCAAAGCCTAAGACTAAGCCATTTCCAGGAGGGCATGGTGACACGATGGGGCACCGGGCCATTGTTGGTGCTGTTGCACACGTTGCTCTACAGTATACCAGCCTCCGCCTCCTCCTCCCGTCTCCCACCAATCCCCAATCAACAGGCCCTCTACGAGAAGAAGCAATTTGATGGTGCGTTGGTTATTGTAGTGCCACATCTGGATATTTTAGAGTCTATTATAGTTTCTATTGTTGCGGCACCGTAGCACTTTACTTTTTCCAGATCTTTCCGCCAAATACCTGACTCCCGACGATTTCGAGCTGGCCGCCAAACAACCCGGTAAGTTTTAGTCTTTTTTTATGCTTTTTACTGGGGGTTCTAACGTGAAGGAAAAGTGAAAAAAAAATCGATTGGTACAACTTGGATGCCTCTCCATGTTACTACTTGGATAACTTTTTTAGACACGCAGACTTGGGTTTAAGCTTATAGTTAGTCTTACTAATGAGGCTTAGGATCGGCTTGGTGTGGGCTCAGGTTTGGGACCGGCTTGGCTTTTCCTTGGGCTTATGATCGCGCAGCTTGGCTGACACGCAGGTCAAGCTCAGGCTGTAGTATGTATGTAGTCCGGCTGGTTGGCTTAGGCTTTGGCTCAACTTAGCTTAGCTTAGGCTTGGGGCTAATTTTTTAAGTACGCTGCGGACGCGCTTATTTTCTGGGTACGTTTAGGTACGGCTTCTCTGACTTGTCTTAAGCTAAGGTTTCGATCTATGCCTAAGCCGGCTTGGCATAGGCTTAGCTCGCAAAGCCAGGAGCTAAATGCGTGTTTAACCCCCCTCGTCCGAGTCCCAAATCCATATTTGGATCGACGCGCCGGATCGGGGGATCCATTGTGTGTGTCGTTGACACCTTCAGCTTTCAAGCCCCCGGACCGCCCTCCTGTCTCGTTCATTTTCTTCAGCAAATACGGGGTGGACCGTATGGAAAAAGGCCCATTCCGGACCGGAAAGTTTCATTAAAGGGGTCTGGAGGGTTGGATCCCTATGGATTTAGCCGATGACGCTACACGCAGCGCGCATGCTCACCTATAACTAAGCAGAGCGAGAGAGAGAGAGATTGCGACAGAGAGATTGAAAGCGAAAGCGAGAGCGAGAGCGAGAGAGCGAGAGGGAGATAGCGTGAGAGAGTGAGATTGACGGAGAGAGAGACTGATGGAAGGAGAGACAAAATTATCGCGAATCAAATTCCAGTGGCCCGCCCTACCCCTGCCGAACTCGACGCCGTCCAGAATTCGGCGCTTTTCGAGGGTGATATCCAGGGTATCCCCCCAGATGCCACCCCATCTCTCAACCATCGACTACGCGACGAGCCGATCCCCGGCGAGTGGGACGAGCTGTTCAAGCGTCCGGTGAGTGCAGGTCCAATGAAATCTCGGCTAGCACGCTAGCTTTTCGGCGGAAATTAGATAATTGAAATTTTATGCTTTAAAGGGGCTGGCAAGGTAGGAATATCTGGATTTGAATAAGAAAACCTGTCGATCTTGGTGCGCGCCCTCGCTTTCCATTGCATAATCGATTACGCTCTTGACGAAAGTCAGGGAAAAATCAATAGCGATGACTTGCTAACCCCTTTAAAATATCTTTAGCCCGTCTCAAACAGAATTAGGCTTGCCAATAAGGGCTGAGCCTAAATTCTTGATTCTTAAGTTCAAGTGAAGCCAAATCCTTAACTCAATCAATCTATTTATTTAGCTAAATTCCGCGCTGAACCTCGCCACGTATCCGGACAAGCTGTGGCCAGAGGGCGTCGTTCCCTACATGCTCGAGGAGGGCATGACCGCACAGTAAGTCTAGTCGTCTGGCTAAAGGGACCAGCCATAGGGCTATGGAGATATATTGTCTTCCTTTGCCAAACCTTTTAACGGGCCATTGAAGGCAAAAAAATGTCCCTCTGGCCAAGCGCGAGAACGGACGCGGCAGCCAATTTTGTGGCGCGCGCATCTCCACCCGGAGGGGCAAATATTTGCGGGGGGAGTGTTGCGGACCATAATCCATTCCGCAAACATCCTCGAACACCTTCGCACTCTCTCTCGGTCTCCCTCACTCTCTCACTCTCGCTCTCTCTGGCTCTCTCCTTCTCTGGTTCTTTCTCTCTCTCTCCTCTCTCTCTCTCTCTCTCTCTCTCTCTCGTTCTCTCTCTCTCTCTCGCTTTGAACCTAAAGGGATAGCGACAGCGATAAATTTCCTTCAGTATCGCCGACTCTTTGTCTCTGTCGCTTCGATCTCTCAGTCTCTCTCTTTCTTTCTTTCCCTCTCTCTCTCTCGCTCTCTCTCTCTCTTTATCTCTCGATCTCTCTCTCTCTGTCCCTCTCACTTTCTCCCTCTCTTCTCGCTCTCTCTCTTTCTCATTCACTCACTCATTCTCTCTCTTTCTCTCTCTCTTTCTCTCTCTCTCTGTCGCTCGCTGCCTCCCTCTCGCCATTTTCACGGCCTCCCTTCCAGACAACGCGCCGCCATCGCGCAGGCGTTCGACGAGTACAAGCAGAAGACGTGCATCCGCTTTGTCCCGCGCGGCGACGATGACTTCGACTACATCTACGTGAAGAGGAACGTCGCCTTCGGATGCTCATCGTACGTCGGCCGTGCTGGCGGGAATCAGACCGTATCTCTCGAAGTCGACAAATGCTTCAGCAAGGTGGGGTATTGTACTGTCCTGTACTCTGGGTACTGTAGCCGACCACCGTATCGTTGGGGCCTAATTTAAAGGGACGAAATCCTTAGCCTTGCCTTCCCAGTCCCTTTAAAAACCCCCCAAAACTCCAGGGCATCATCGCACACGAGCTGATGCACGCGATCGGCTTCTTCCACGAACATTCACGCACCGATCGCGACAATTACGTCGACATCGTCGAGGAACACATTAGGCCCGGTAATTCCATCCAATTACGCTATGAAAACCCCTACAGGGATGATGCGCAACTTTGAGAAGTACCCCCAGAAGATCATCGACCCGCTCGGCATGCCGTACGACTACGACTCGGTACGTGGGATACGGTAGTCAGGGTGGAGCATGCCGTACTCTAGGTGATGCACTACCATAAGCTGGCCTTCTCGAAGAATGGCAAGTCGACGATCGTGCCGAAGGAGGGTGGGGCGGAGATTGGGCAGAGATATAAGCTCAGTCTTATCGATGCGCAGAAGGTGAGTTTTGGCTTAGGTTTAGGATTAGGTTTCGGCTTGGGTCTAGGCTTAAGCTTAGGCTTAGCTTAGGCTTTGGCTTTGGCTTAGGCCTAGGCCTAGGCTTAGGTTCGGCTTCGGATTGGCCTTAGGCTTATCCCTCGGTTTATGCTTACAATTAGACTTACGCATAGGCTTAGGCAGGGGCATAGACAAGGGACTTAGGTTTAAGCTTAGCTCAGGCTCAGGCGTAGGCTTGGGCTCGCGTTTAGGCTGTGCTTCGGTTTATGCTTAGGCTTAGGCTTAGGTTTAGGCTGTGCTTCTGGCTTGGGTTCGGGCTTGGGCTTAGGTTTAGGAAGGTACCGTACATCACGGCTACGTTACCCACCTAAGGACTATTAATTTCCAGGTGAACAAACTGTATAAATGTGGGGATTATGCGTCGACGACCACGACCACCACAACGACACAGCCCACCTCGACGACGACGACGACCGGCAAGAAGGGGATCGAGGATCGTACCCCGTCCACGACCGCGCAAAAGGTATCCATGCCTTGCCGGTCCCTTTAAAATGATTTAGCCCCGCCCCAAATCTACAACTGGCGCCCCAGGAGCACGCAAAGGAAGTAGGTTTTGAAGTGATATTGCCAATAGGGTTTTCGGGTTTATTTAAAGGGATTGACAAGGCGAAACGATAGCTTTTTAACGGGACTTTTTTGAAAAAAAATAAAAATAAAAAGCTTGAAAGCTTATTTATATAACCTTAAAACATGGAAAAACTATCCAAAAAGCTAGCCATTTTGTCGAAAACCAACCATTTTTGCCATATTTTTGATTTGCACGCTAAAAATTAAAAGTATTAAAAAAGTATTAAAAGTATTAAAAAATGCATAAAAAAAGTAAAAAACAGCTTATAAACACTACCCGTAGTTCTATTAAAAAAAGAGAAAAAGGTATCCAGGGGATCTATAGGCCTGCCTGACCAGCCCCTTTAAAACTCTGAATTCTAGAATGCGAGGATCTGAATGCCCATTGTACAATGTGGGAACAGCTTGGCCATTGTGAACACTCGCTGAAATACATGTCGCACTACTGTAGAAAGGTCAGGGATTACGATACAGTACTGTACGCCCTACGCTTTCCCTCTTTAGGCGTGCGGGTTCTGCGATGATGAGGACCAGATTGAGGAAGAGCTGCGAAAGGAGAAGGAGGAACGCGAGAAGGAGAGAGTCGAGGAGCGGAGAGAGAAAGAGAGACGCGAGAAGGAGGAAAGGTGGGATCAAAAAGCCAAAAGCTGGGTTTCGCGCGGTTAGAATCCGGCTAGGGAGGCGTGCTGGCAGAGATTCTTTGAGAAAATGGGGCGAGGTAACTGAGATTCTTTCGGAAATATTGGCACGCTAGCAGAAATTCTTTGAGAAATCACGGCATGCTAACGGAAATTTTTTTGAGAAATCGCGGCAAGCAGCTAGCGGAGATGCTTTGAGAAATCACGGCACGCTAGCAGAGTTCTTTTGGGGAGCACCGTCGTGCTAGCAGATGCCATAGAAAATTCGCGGCAAGCTAGCAGAGTTTCTTTGAGACACCTATGCAAACTAGCTGGGTATCTTCGAGCGAAGATGACAGCTAGCAATGGCTCTTTGGGAAATCATGGCAAGCTCGCAGAGAACATTTGCAGATTTGAATCTAACGAACGTACAAAAATCTCTCCTTTTCCAGAATTCGAAAAGAGCAAGAAGAAAAGGAAAAGAAAAACCGCGAGCGATCGTCGTCGTCAACGACGACCACCACCACGACAACCTCGAGACCAGCGTCGACCACCACAAAGAAGATCTACCCGACGACGACACGACCAAGGGGAGGAGGATTTGGCAGGGGGAGATGGTCAACAACAAGGAGGCCAGAACCCAAGGAGAAGGAGAAGGAAAAGGTATATCGCGGAGTTTGGGCTTAAATGTACTTTGTAGCCGCGCGGGAAGAAGGGCGAGGTGTGCGAGGACAAGAACCTCTTCTGCTCCTACTGGGCCAAGATTGGCGAGTGCAACAGCGAGAGCAAATTTATGAAGGTAGGTGGTAGGTGGATCTACAAGCTTTGGCTTAGCTTGGGCTTAGAGCTGAGATTAGCTTGGCTTATTAAGTTCGGGTTGAAGCAAATTAACGCAAAAAAGTCGCAAAATTCCAGGTTTTCAACAAAATTTTATCCGAATTCCGAATTTTAAGGTATGCTAGCGGAGGTTATTTGATCAAGACCAGCTAGAAATCGTTATTTGAGCAAGACCAGGTAGCACAGAACCTCCGAGTATGGCGAGCTAGCGGAGATTATTTGAGCAAGACAGGAGGATCAGCAGATTTTTGAGCACGACAAGCTAGCAAAGACAATTTAGTCTTTAGCCTTTTCCGCCAACTAATCACTTTTTAAAGGTTTTCTGCAAGGCGAGCTGCGGCAAATGCTAATCTACCGCCCATTCTACGCCCCCCTCTTTCCGCCAGTGTACTATTTGCGTTCCGGTGATACTCCTTTTGCAGTCTATTTATAAGTGTGATTGTTACCTCTTGCTCCTCCTTCCTTTCCTCCTTCATCCCGCCGTACGCTACGAGTGTTTGTACTATTTTCTACGTCTTTCAACCCCCGCCCCCCCAACCGCGCTAATTCTAGCTGATAAACTCGAAAATGTCGGGTGTACCGTGTAGTGACTGTGTCATTGTCTCGTCCCCCCAGAATCCCCGCAGAGCATTTATTCGCTTTTCTTGAGATTTGCAGAATTCTTTGTCCTGAATAAATATTATTCCGTCCGGAGTTGCGCGGCGTCCAGCGGGCCGAGCGGCGTTTTTGTCGAGATTTTTCTGAAATGCGGGTAAAGAGCAAAACAAATTAAACTGCGACTAAGAAAAAGCACTAAATTTTGAGCCAGTTAAATATTAACTAGTTAAAAGTACTAAAATTTCGGGTGCTTTTGCATTATCGGGGGAGGGGATCTTAGCCTCCAATTTTTCTAATAAAAATAGTTTTTAAAACTGTTTTTGCTATTCCTTGGCGTAAAATTTACAAATTTTGCAAAAAATACCGGTTTTTGGACACAAATTTCGAGTTTTTTTGAAGCTTTTAGATGGTTTAATGGAAAACAGGCTATAAGCGCACAGTGTTCGCCTGATTTTTGGAGCTACCCGTAGTCGTACTTTCGAGACGCAGGGAACCAACTTACACCCAAAACCCTTGCGTTTATTAGAAGCATTAGTGATTTTTAAGGATTTAATTTTTGGGACGCCGCTGTAGAAACTCCTACCTTATCGGGGGTGGGGTTGCCCGTTTCGGAAGTGACGCCGACTTCCACGACCCTTGACTAGATACCTTAAAAACAACTAGCAAAACTCCTTTTTTCGACTAACCCGCTTCATCTGGGCACCGTTGGCCGAAGCGACGCGATTCGGCACGTACATCGACGCCACGGACAGCTTTGACGAGGGGGAGGCCCAGATCTGAAGCGCTAGCTACTTTCTGTTCCGCATTCTGTATTATCTTTATTGATGATTTAGTATTATTAATAATTGGGGCTACGGTTTACTTTACACCCCCCCCCCCGCCCCCAGCCGGAAGTTTTTGGCTATAAATTTTTTATTTTACATTATTGTAGGCTCAAATTAAAACTCTTAGTATATTTTTCGACGCTCTATCGAATGGCGTTGCAAAAATCCCGACAAAATAAGCGAAAATACCGAGAAAGCTTTCAGACCCTTCGGCTGTGGGGAGAGGGGGTAAAGTAAACTCTTACCATAATTGATTTAGCCCGAAAAAGGTAGGATTCTATGCAAACCTGACGATCGGCCGAGCCCCAAATTGTAAAAACAACGACAGGTAGGGCCGCAACCACCGACGCCACTTGGAAAACGATGGCCCATTCGGTGGGAGAACCTGAAAAATAGAGTCGTAAGCTTTTCCTAAAGAATTCCAGACATAGACATAATCCCGACAGCCAAAATCCTGACAGCCTACTTGTGATATTTCCGGTCGTTTTATCCATAAATGGTTTTAAACTCTGGGTTGTCGGGATTTTGAATTTCGGGATTTCGTTCCTAAAAGATCACTGCCAGGTTGCCCTTAATGTAGCAACACAAAATAATTCGCCTCACCCTGTTGCACAATCCTCTTTGTCAATATCTTGTTGCCGATACCGAACCAGGCGACGGCAAAGTACGTCCAGCCGGTGATGATCCCCGAAAAGGGTGGCGCCAATTGGACGAGGGCTGTTTGTACGCCTGGCGTGTGCATTCCTAAAAATTTATACACATTAGTGAAATTACGGGCCCTAGAGCGCATTACGACATGTAATTCCCAATTAGTGTTCGGCTTCCTACCCCCTTTAATAACGCAGAATCTCCACCTGCGCTAAACATGGCCGCGCACAACGACAGCACCGCCAACGCTGCGTGGTCCTTCTTGAAGAAGGGCACGATGCCGATGCAGATCGACAGCCCGGCAGAGGCGATACCGTTGAAGACCTAAAAATAAATTACTAAGAATATTAATTATGTAAAAATCATCAAAATTTTAAGAGAAAAAGTCAAAATGTTTCATCAAAATGTACCGAAAATGGTCAAAATTTATTTTCGTCATGATAGCGAAACGCCAGAAACAATATTAAAAAACAGTTACTATTATGTCCACGAGGTCTAGAAAAAAATTGCCCCCCCCCCCGCTAACGAACTAGAGCCATGGATCCATAAAACACACCTTGCACACCGTAGTCTTGTCGAACTCGCGTTGTACGATTAGATATGAGGAGAGGGATGAGGTGAACGTCTTCGAAAGAAATAGACATAACATCGGGAGGGCTGAAAAAAAGTTATACACTTTATCTAGCTTGTGTTTCCCTCAAAATCACTGCCAGCCCACCCGAAATGATCCCATTTTCCGTGGGTTGGAATTCGAGAACGTCACGAAGATAATTAGGCAGGAACTGGAATACTTTTTGCAAAATTTAAAAAATCTAACCTGCAACATGATGACAAGCGGGTACTCGTGGCAAACCATCGCCAACACGCTCGCCCACAGCGGTTTGCTACGCAACATTGCCCGGTACGGGACACGCCGACTTCGGTCTGTACGTTTTCCGATCGATTCGCAGGCTATTCTGAAGATATTTAGGCACAATTTAGAACCGCGATGCGTCCAAACGCTCACCCACCTGCTCTCCACAAAAAGACGCTCCCTCTCCGAGATGCAGCATTGTTTCGAGGGCTTATCCGCCCCAAATGGCAGCCAGAAGAACATGACGAGCAGCGACACCAACGCCGAGAGGTAGAAGATGGCCGGCCAGCCGCCGGCAATCTTTTGCGTGCACAGCCAACCGGCGGCTGGAAGTATGAAGAGACCGCCTGCAAGAAATAGGTGTTTTAGAAAGGTTAAAAAACACTGATGTATCAGGTATCGATAAAAAGTATAGAACTTTATCGGGAAGCAAAATTCCTAGAGGTTTATTACCTTCTTACTATTAATCTAAAACATCAATTCTTTTTTTTGCCCGCTACACTCAAGCTGTTTCAGAATTTATTGATCGAGAAAGTTTTTTTTGTAGCGACTTACCCATTTGCCGCCCCCCAGAAATTATACCAATCGCTGCCGCTCGTTCGGCTTGTGGAAACCATCTGAAAAAAATGTTAAAAAAAACGCGTAGGCCTACCTGGTAATCAGAGAATTTGCCGCGGGGATGAGACACGCATCGGCCGCCCCGACCGCCATCCGGCAAGCTACGGCCAGCCAAAATGAGACCGGTGATGCCAATGGTAGCAGCGCGTTGGCCGATACGCACAGCACAAGGCTAAACGAGAACAATGTAATAATCAAAAATAATATTTATTCTTACCTGGCGAACACCATCCACTTTCCATTCAACCGATCCGCCCACATCCCTGTCAACAACATCAACAGGTGACCCGCATTTTGCGCTGCCAGCACGTAGCCTTCCTAAACCTGGAATTAACCGTAAAAACATTACACACCTGCGATGCCTTCCAGTCCAACGTGCCGCCAAGCCCGGGATGTAGCGGACATGAACTCATGCAAATGATGCCCACCGAGATGTTGGACGTGCTGAGGCACTACACGGTACAACTCGGGACGCCCTTGGCTACGGCAGTACCTGATTGAAAGGGCCATATAGCAGCAGCACAGCAGTGCCGCCAGCACCAGCCGCATCGACGGGAACAGGGCCGTCGGCTCGGAGAGGTCGCCCGCCTGAAAGGGAGTTTAGTTTGCTCAAAAAACAGGTTTTTAGAATTTCGGCATTATGAATCTAGCACTTCTGAAATTTCGGTTCTTTTGCATTATCGGGGGAGGGGTGGTATTCAGTATCCAATGCTTTTTTGTTTCTAAACAAAACCCTACCCTACTTATAACCGTAAAAACTGGAAAATTTAGCCAAAAAATGCGAAAAACATTGATTTTTCGCCTTCGAATTTTTGTACTTTCAAGCGTTTGCTAGATACTTTTCCTTCAAAATCATTAAATTTTACTAATAAACTATTAAAATAATTGCTATTACGTTACTAGGCATTTTCGGAATTCTACACCCCCGCTAAAAGGAAAGAACCGAAGTTTCGACAATGAAATTCCGATGTCATAACTTTGACATTCTGATATCAAATCGATTTTCCGGGCTATAATATAGCCCTGAAGTTATGCGTTGAAAAGAATTTAATGCAGCCTAGAAAGAAGGCCAGGGCTCACCTCGGATCTGGTGCACGACGATTGCTTATGAAGTGGTGGCCGCGTGAGCGTGGCTTGAGGGGTAAGGGCTTGCGGTTGCTAAATAGGGTAAAGACATGGTAAGGCAACGCCCACCTCGTCCACAGATCCGATTCGAAACATTGCCGCCGGGGCTCGATCAACCACCGGGTAGGTCTTTTCCCCACCCTCATCTCGACTCGGCGCGCTCATCTGATTTTGTAGAAAACGGCACCGGCCAAGAAAAGAGTCTGAAAAATGGATATTTTGGTTATATTAACGTTATAAAAAGGCTTAAAAGTTTTTTTAACTATTAACAAGCCTCAAAAAGGGTTCTGGACTGTTAGCGAGGGGGGGGGGGGTAACCACATAATTTCCTGTGATTCTCTACGGCCCTACCACAAAATCTAAACCTTTTTTATAACAGTTTACATCGTTTTAAATATAAAAACAATATTTAAAAACTAAAAAATTTTTGACTTTTAAAGATATTTTTTATTAGTTTCTAGCAGTCAAAAACTACGAAAAACACTACAGTACATAATATATCATTTATGCCTACTATAGGTGTAAAAACATAAAGTGGTTCGCCCCCGCTAACAGTCCGGTACCCAAAAATGGGCCCAGCTGGCGGATCCACAACTGGGGTTCAAGTGATCGTGGGGGTAACTGGCGGGGGGATAAATCGTGTAGGGGGCTCTTTCGTCGGCTTTCCCGTCGACGGCGCATATCGTCTCGGAGAGGCCGATTTCCACGGTTCGCTTCTCCCGCCCTCCGCGATCAACCCCCGGCTGCTATCGGCCAGTCAATGATGGTGCTCGTTTTTTTCTCCACCCGCCCCCATCCGCCCGGGCTCATTCATTCCATCAATCGTCTGCGATCCCGGGCACCCCCCGAGTTGCGGGGGGTAATGAAAAGTCGAACGAGTTGGTCCGGGGAGCCACGGCTCAAAGTTTTCCAGTACCGCGTTCGACGTCATGCCAAATAGGCAACTTGTATAGGTCGAGCGTTCGGGTAAATTTGTAATCGAGCAGCCAGAAATGGTCCATATGATCATAAGAGAGTATAAGAGCGCTTTTAGTAGTTGCAACAGCATACCTAGAAAGCAAAAAAAATGCAAACAACTAAAGATACACTCAAACCAAAAGGGGTTAGCGGGCTCCGCCCGCTAACCCCGATACGTCTTATACCTCGCTAATAACGTATTATAGCGTTAAAATTCAAGTTTTCAAGTTAGTAAGCTGCCCAAGCGTGCCGAATTTGCCTCTGAGGTTCTCTTATAGGTTGAACTACAGAGGACGCAGCGTTTTAGAATACGTAAAATGCTGCTCGGAATTTACAAATTTGCAACGAAACGAATAACTGCCGTAATCAAGGGAAACTGGAATAAAATGGTTCCGTTGTTTCAGATGCACGACACGAAGTGGAGCCACTGATTCTGGAGTCGCTTACTGCAGAACAACGCTATTTACCATCTTAGAAGGATTTTTACTTGATCGACGTCGTCAGATGCATGTATTTACGAACGGACTCAATCGATATCGATGCTAGCAGCATTTCGATCGAAAGAATCGAATTTTATACGCTGGACGTTCCACCGTATATTACGACCGTCAACTGTTGTATTGTGGACTGAGGAGAAGTCGCGGGGGGATTCTCACGGATTTTTTGCTTTTTCGAAAAAACAGCTGTTTTGCACAAACCTCTGAATTTCGAAATTTTTATAATTGAAACCTCGGCGCTATTTCGGATTAGCGAGCCCACTTTTATCGACGGTTTGGCCTCGGTTTATAGAGTAGCTTGACGCGCTAAACTTGAATATTTGAGCTGAAATCAACCTGGTGTTTTGTTTGAGTTCAGCGCGTCAAATTACATGGTCGGTTGAAAACCACTGGGTCCGCTGATCCGGAGTAGCGCCGAAACTTCAATCACACGCCTCGAAGCCGATAGCCCTGTTCTCAGAATTTATCTTCTCACTTTCCAATTTCTAATTGTTGCTTTACGGTGTTTTTAGATATAGGGTTCTCTTGTTCCCTATCTGCTGCAGCTATGTACTTGACAAAGCCACAGGTTCGGAATTTCGGTGGTCTCGTAACTGTTTTTAGCGTCCCAAATGTCTTGAAGTCATCAAGGTCGGCGACCATTCGAATGCGCTCAAGAACCATCACTTCCTCGGGTTTTCTTGTAGTTCCTTTCTCACATTCCATGTTTTAGTGAGATCGCCCGCTTCGTGCGGAACAACTTGAACAACCTCGGGATCGCTCTCAACGACGATCACACTCTCCGCGAATTCTCCTCGATCGAACAGGTATTATTAGCCCTCTGGTGCCAAATCATTTTTTAGGCTCGCGTTTTCGCCAATGGGCAGACGCAGCAGAATATTCTGGTAGTCATCAATGACATTGGTGGGTTTTGCAACCTTCTCGGTTCTTCGATCTTTTCTTTTCTTCGTCTGCAAGGAAATTTTCAGCCGGTTCAAAAGAAGTAGTGGTCATTGGAAAAAGAAGTGTTGTCCATCGCTGGATCTGTGGCCACCGAATTCGCCTACGGCACCGGCAAGCAGCTACGGTATTCCAAGCTCTGTTCCCTAAATCTCTTGCAGAGATGCTTGCACACGTTTTGCTGCCTCGTACAACAACAACAACACCGTTGCTGAATCAGGAGCTGCATTCCAGCAGGTGAATTTGCTCGCTCTATTGCATTTCTTTTTAGTTATCCTCGGTCAACACTTGCGGTTGCCTCTATCCAGTCAAGCAGCTTCTTGCCCGTACGCACAAGTGTGGGGATTCCTTGATTCCGAAGGTATCGATATTTTTCTGTTGAAAACTTCGCGCTTTAGTTGGTTGCTGCGCTAGATGGGCCACGTGAACGCCTTCATGAAGCTATGTCCTCAGCTGAGACGCCATTAATGGTTCAGTCCATCGAGTCGAAAAGCGACATGGAAAATAAGGTAGTCTTGGTTCGCCTACGTCAATTTGCTTTACAGCCTGTGAGCATCAGCAGCACCGATCCCCAGAGCGTGAAGCTACCAACCGATTCCTATGAAGAGCTCGATCTCTCGTTGGAAGAGCTCAAAATAGAAGTGATCACACCGACACCACACGAGGAAGAAGGACCCGTGTTGCCGATAGTTGAGGCTCCACTTGAGCAGAAGGAACCGACTCCTGTCCCCGAAATCACCATCATGGAAATCGAGCCAATTTCACTGGTATGCACATCCTCCATTTCTACCATCCCAGTTTAGAATGTTCGCGAAATCTGCGCTCCGAGCGAGACCGGGACTTCTCACAGCGTGGATTTCGACTTGTCGTTCGCGGCTGGCGATGGGAAGCAGTTGGACCATCTCGATACGACAAGTGTCCCTTCGATTGGTACTCCATCAGCTCCACCGACTCCCCGCACGGCAAAGTTCGACCCAAGGACCCGTCAGAGTGCCCGAGATACCATTTCACCATCGATGCGGATGATTACCAACGCTTTGCGTGGCATTGGGCTCAGCAAGGTAAAAGTAAATTCTGCTTGGTTATACTCATTTTAGCCTGCCGCTCCAAGAGTTGTACGTACACCGGTCATGCAAGGCGACAAATACGACGAGGCCCCGCGCACATTTGTGTCGGTCATTCGAGTAAATATACACAAACCGCCTACGTTTTGCTTAGGATGAGGAGATTGGAGCTTCCTTCGTTGATTTGTTGCAAGAAGTCGCGAAGCATGAATGGGAGATGCCCAAATTGCAAGCTGTGTTTTTGGGAAATCTCAGCAAAGCACACAAATTTATAGGCGAAGTATGTTTGTTTTATTGAATCATTTGTTTTTTGTAGATGCTCAGAGACCAGCTTTTCGTCGATCTGATGGGCGTGAATGCGGCGTTGGAGAATCAGATGAAAGAAAACAACGTGCTCACCGCCCCTCGTGCTGCAAAATGCTGGGCTCTCATACTCATGTATCGCGTCGAGATTTGAAATATATCCCTGCTTTTAGTTGCCACTCGAAGATCGTTCGCCTTCTCATCTACATGGCGCAATCCCTGGTTTGAGGTTTTCATGTTATTTTAATTTTGCTTTTAGGACGAGCTACCAGCAAGTTCCACACCGGTTTTGCGCATGGCGACCTCCAAGCTGCTTGGCTCAGCACCAGGAAAAACTATAGTAAATTTTCGATGCATTCTAGAACTTTTTTTTTAGCGCAATCTCCTGCGCTCTTCGCTCAAAGCCCTGACACAGGCCTGCAAGACGCGTCAACTCTCGGCATTTGTGAAGAAGTTTTTTGTTGACTATCACCGCATCGCTGTTTATATCACGGTAAGACCCCCATTGTTTCTGCAGCTTCATTTTTCCATTTAGCTGCTGCGTCTCGAAGAAAGCTTCAGTCGCTTTGCGGCCCAAGCCCGTCGGTGCGTGCGCATTGATTTGTCGGAAGGGGAAGCCCTCGCCTTGGGCCGACGCGCAGCCCAGCTCTTCAAAGCCACCGAGCTAACAGTTGCCGAAAACTACGGTATGTACAACTTGTTCGTTTGATCAACAATATCGTTTAGCCGACTTCTATCGGGATATCTGCACAATGCTCGCCTCACGGCCGGAGCTAGCCAACGAAGACATCCCGATGTTTGCTTTCACAGCATCGATCGAACTATAAGCCTCCATCAGTTGCCACTAAATATTACATCCTCTCTCAATGCTAACTTCAATTTGGTGGCCTTTCTATTTGACCTATTTTGCCTTGTTTTTTCGCTTCTTTGCTTGCAGTACTTGTTCTCGAATAAAAATTTTATTGCATTGATCGGCTAACATTTAGCCTGCGGTTTACTTCCGATGGGTTTCTTGCGCTTACACGGCCGTCTTTCTGGTTGGGTATTCCTATTTTTGAGATGCCCTTGATCACCGATGTCAAGTCCTTGGAAGTACTATCGAGATGGAATTCATGCTTGGTCGGTAGTTTATAACTGGCCTACTTCGTTGCGTATTGTAATTGTCTAGTTTCGCGAGGTTCATGCTCGGTCTTTTCAGGGACAAGAGGTTCGCATCCTTACGCAGGATGAGAAGAACTACCGGGGACATTTGAGTTGCTTTGATACCGAGGTCGGCGTCTTTCCGAAAGCAATTCTCTTTTTAGGGTTCTGTGATCGGGATATCTCAATGCTATGAGCTCACTGAGAAGAATAAGAAGAGCCTCTTTGTTTCGGAAAATGATATGCGGTCGAAGATGGCATTCCATATTTCGGATGTCCGTCAAATCACCATACCTGGCAAACTCTATGAAGAGAAGCGTAAGTATTGCTAAACTCTTTGTTCTATGTTCATAGATTTCCGCCTGGATGGTGCCTACCACGAAAAGACCAAGGGAATTGCTCATCGGGAGTTGGTAGCTTTCGACGATTTCCTCGGCGAAGCCACGGAATTGGTATTTTTACTATGGCCCTTAAACGAGTAAAGGTGAACGATGGAAGATGGGCAGTGGACGAGATGCTGGCGACCAATGCGGAATTAGGAGTCAAGACTAGCTTCGCAGAGGATCTCTCGCAATTTACGAAGTATGTTTTGCATACTTGTTGCCTTGTTTTATAACGACGCAATTTGTTTAGGCTTTTCATAAATTTATTTTTAGCGTAGCTGTGCCGAAACTGAGCAAGGAAGCTATTGCGCAGGCGCAAAAACTCGCCGACAAGATAGAAGGCGATGCAATGAGTAAAGTAAGTATTTAATTCGAAATTGTTACGAATTTTAGCACAATGCCCGGCTGGAAAATGACGATGAAGAGAAGGACTTGGACAAGCTCACGGTGAACGAGGACTTGCATCAGCCCAAAAACTACCTGGGGAAGAAACCGTCGCTGGCAATGACGCGGCGGAACAAGCCCTACCACGAGCAATCCAAAAACAAGAACAAATCTGCGTCCGCTGGTCCCCGTAACTCGCCGCCCATCTTGGACCGTGCGCAGCCGTGCAAGCCAAAGGAGATTGAAAGGTAATGGGTTAACTTTTAGAATATTCATCGCTTTCATTTTATATTGCGCATTTCAGCAGCCAAAAATCTGAGCTGAAGCTGGTCGAGAAGCCGCCGTCGGCCGAGCCGCCTAAGGAGCTAGTGAACGCAGAAGGGCTGGAAAGCACGAAAGCTGCCAAACAAGATGCTGTTGAAGATCAGAAACCTGAGCAAAAGTACTGTCTGTCTCTTGATTTGCAGCGCATTTTTAGGACTAAGGAGTTCCGTTTCAACGCCGATGCCTGTGCCTTCGTTCCGAGAAGCATGCAGCAGACGGTGCCAGCACCATCCAGCGGGCCGGCCGCCAATTTTGCTCCGCGTAATCGGCAGAGTGCACCGCCTGCTGTGCAGCCGATGCCCGGTATGGGCTATGTCCAACAGGTTGGGCTTATGCTGACTAAGTACCTCTGTTTTAGCCTATGCAGGGCACTTTGATGATGCCCTATCAGGATCCGACGATGCAGGGTTATACGGTAATTCCGCTTTATTATCTTATTTCGCGGTTCTTTAGCACACCTATCCGGCTTATCCACCTGTTTCTATTCCGCCGCTATTCCCGTCAATGACTGCTGTCCATCAGCAATCCGGTACTATCCTTATTCGGGAATAAAATGTCTTTGTTTAGTCCTTTACACGCCGCAAAACTATACGGCTGCCCTCTGCCAGCAGCCTCAGATTACCGCCACCTACTTCAACACTTCTGCGGCACCGCCATTGGTGCCTCGTGTACAGTACCAATCTCAAGCCTACATGCCTCAGGTACTGGTTTTCTTACCACTCTCAATTTGTTGGTTATAGGTTTCGATGGCCGCTGCTAGACCGTTTGTGCCGCCGAACTACACGGCCGTCGACTTCCAGCACTATCCGCCCCATCTGCGGTCCACAACACCTCTGGCTGGCCATCCGCCCTATTAGCTCCTCCACATCCACCGTTTATTGTTGTTGCGTTAACGCGGAGCCCTTTTGCATGCCGTTTCTTTTTGCTCTACGAATAAACGATTTCATTTAACTTTGCAGGAAACGCGAGTTGTTGAGAATAAGGATTGTTACGGACTTCGACCGGAAAGCAGGCGTAATTCGTGAGAGTTTGGGTGCAATGCTTGGCAAGCCGGGTCTTATGGCCGTAAGCCTTGGATGGCGTGTGGGCTTGTGCTCGTAATCCCTCGTGCAAGTGATAAGAAATGTTCATTTTCGGGTTTTGCAAGGTTTCTTGGCCTTTGCGGTGGCTAGCGAAATGTTTTTCACTATATTAATTTTTATATGACCTCGAGCTCAGCCTCAACCATGTCTTGGTGAGAACGGTTTTCCCCCACAGGATTCCTCAAATTCCGAGCGCTACCCCACGTGACTCGTCGACGTTCCGATGGATATGATGGCTGATTCAGACGGAATTTCCGCCGGGGAAGACAATTCGTTTCGGATGGGATGCGTGTTTGTGTGTGTTCTCGGGTGTGGTTGTGGACCGGTTGTGACCAGGAGGGCCATTTCGGACACCTCCACCCCCACACATCCCTTCTATGAATAGGGGGACCGAGAAGACGGTGATCGGGGTAAACATCGTCTCCTCCTTCCTGCTCACCCATAAAAGGGCCGAATGGCCGCTTCAGCCTCATCTTATCGCATTCCGGCATATGGCAAATGTCAGACATTTGAAACTAACAATTTCCAAACTTTCTTTTCTGCCTTAAGTTTCCACTGTTTAAATTATCCCGGTGTTTTCTTGTTTATAGTTTTCTGTCTCACTAAATTTTCAGTTCGGCATTTAGTTACCACTTCGAATTTCAGGTATATCACAATGATCTCGATGATCAACTACCCGTCAGATTCGCCAAAAGAATTCTATGGTCCGTGGTTTGGTTAATCTTAGTTCGAAACTGCGCTAACAAGGAGACGTTTTTGAGTGTCGTCGGGACTTTGGCATCGGACCAAGCCTATCTTGTGCAGAATTTTACGCTGATTCCGAATATGGCAACCGTTTTTGCGGAATAGCCATTTCTCGAAAGTTATGAACGATTTAAACCTCAAAACAGCCCAAAATCGGCTACTTTCGATAGTCATAAAAGGCTTCGGAATAGGTTTTAGACAAAACTTTATAGTGCATCTTGTTCAGAAAAAAATTCTCTATAAAATAAGCTACTTAACTCAAAAATGTTGGAATTTTGAAAATTTTTGTAAAATTATGGATGGGCCTGTAAATTTATCAAATTTTTCCACCTTTTCAATGATTTTGGAAAAGATGGTAGATTTTATAGAGAATTTTTTTCTGAACAAGATGCACTATCTGGTTTTGTCTAAAACCTATTCCGAAGCCTTTTATGACTATCGAAAGTAGCCGATTTTGGGCTATTTTGAGGTTTAAATCGTTCATAACTTTCGAGAAATGGCTATTCCGCAAAAACGGTTGCCATATTCGGAATCAGCGTAAAATTCTGCACAATATAGGCTTGGTCCGATGCCAAAGTCCCGACGACACTCAAAAACGTCTCCTTGTAAGCTAATTTGCTACTACTTTTTTATATCTATTGTCTAATGGCTTATTAAAAATGCTAGTCCTATCATATTAGTATTACCGATTTAGCGACGTTTTCCAATGAGTGATAACCGACATTTCGTAAATGCACATTTAGGAGGTGCGACCGGCGAAGGGCGCTTCTACTTCCCCAACCGCTATCTGCGGGTGTCGAAAAAGGAGAAACGCATCGTCACCGTCAGTCAGGCCGACGAGCCGCACCAGCTGATCCCCGAACAGATCGAACTCCGTCGCCAGGTAGGATTTTACTCGACGGCGTGGACACCAAGCTTTTCAACAAGTTCAGTCAAAGTCTTTCAGTAAGCGTTCCTTTTTCACGAAATCCATAAATAATCACAATCTGTTAATATTTCTGCTTTTTTCGAAAGAAAGACTTGCAAATAAAGTAGGAAAAGCTATACAAGCTTCGAAACCGGGGTCTAAAATTATTTCTTAGGGATATTCACTACTCAAAAACCTCGTGGGTTGTTCCCGGCCGGCGAAAAATCTGTTTTTTGACCAAAAACTTTGAATTAAAAGGCCGTTTGCGGGAGGACCGAAACAGGCTTGGCACAGTTTTTTTCGACCCTGTTTTTATGATGCCATCTGAAAGAGCGTTACCGAATTAGTAGGGTGGCATAGTTTTGAAAGTTTAAAAAGTTGATTTTTGGGGTTTAAAGGGCCGTTGAAGTTGCCGACATCGAAAACCTATCTCGAAAATTACTGGACCAAATTTGCTGAAAACTTGTGACAATACCTAATTTGGGATGGAGATCATTTCGCTAATACATTTCAAAACCTGAAAATGGCCGGAACATAGGAATCCCGCGTACTAAAAACAGTTTTTTAAGATTTTCTAATTAATGGGAAAACGGCGGCATCCTGGAAATAGCATAGAAAGATGCGCCAATTTTTTCTACGTCGAATGATGTGTCTTTTAGGATGCCGCCGTTTTCCCATCATGTGTAAAAACTGCATTTTCTTGATGATAAAAAGAAAAGTATCCAGATTTTCAAACGGGGAGTCACCCACTTGCTTCTAGAAGCGCAGCCAAGTCAATTGCAAAAAAGAGCAAAAAGAAATTCGGTTTCTAAAAGGGGGCTGGGATTGAACTCGGGTCGTTCGCCTGGGAGGTGGCGGCGCCCTCTAGCCTCTGTCGGAGTCTGTCCCCCAGAGCGCCCCAGGCGGACCATCGCGGGTTCGATTCCCCTCCGTACTCAACTTCGCGTAGCTGAAGAATTTAATTTTGCTTTTTTTTGATAATGGGTGGCATTGATCTCTATATGTTTTCCGCAATCCTTTATATTTTTCATTCGCAGCCCCCGATCTTCTAACGCCACTTTTGTTGATTCCAGAGATCACGACTTTTCTAGATGATGGGAAAACGGCGGCATCCTAAAAGACACATCATTCGATGTAGAAAAAATTGGCGCATCTTTTTATGCTATTTTCAGGATGCCGACGATTTCCCATTAATTAGAAAATCTTAAAAAACTGTTTTTAGTACGCGAGATTCCTATGTTCCGGCCATTTTCAGGTTTTGAAATGTATTAGAGAAATGATCTCAATCCCAAATTAGGTATTGTCACAAGTTTTCAGCAAATTTGGTCCAGTAATTTTCGAGATAGGTTTTCGATGTCGGCGACTTCAACGGCCCTTTAAACCCCAGAAATCAACTTTTTAAACTTTCAAAACTATGCCAGCCTACTAATTCGGCCACGCTCTTTCAGATCGCATCATAAAAATAGGGTCGAAAAAAACTGTGCCAAGCCATAATGGGGGCTGTTCGAGTGGCTGGCGGATGGCCTTTTAATACAGTTAAAGCTATGAAAAATCAACTACGGCGATAAATACATATCCCTCTGCTTTCCAGGCCTCCGACACAATGTGGACCGGTCTCCTTCACAAGAAGATCATCGAAAAACTGCAGGAAGGCCAGGATATTATGGCCCACCCGTAGGGCCAGCCCCTTTCCCCTCGTTCCCTCGCATGACATGTATATACAAATCGTTAATAAAAAATATATTTAACTTTATTACATACCGCAAGTAAATTTTTGCACATAGATCAGTCAAATGGCACCATATTCCTAGCGTATAATTACAGCGCCCGGCGTTTGTTTTTTTGCACTTTATTGTGTCTCGTTTTGGGCGAAGAAAAAGTTGCCGGCGATTGGTTGGCCTGAAAAAAAGGGGGATATGGGAAAATGGAAAAAAGTTGCTTTTTAAATTTTAGAGAGGATTTGTATCGATTCCTTATAGAAACGCGATACGCAACGCAACGTTTTCATTTCGTAAAAGCTTCGGATCCCTTGAGGATGACTAAACAGCGTGCGCGTTTGTTTCGTGGCGCGGCGAAATCCACAGGAAAAATATGTCTTGCCCGTCCCTTTAAATGAGTTGGGAAGGACTCACCGAGCTTGTGCTTTTCCACAAACTTCTTCACCGAGAACTTGGCCCGCGTACTGGGTTTTGGCTCCTGGAATTTCGGGATTTTTAGAAGCAGAGCATCTCCAGCTCTCTCGCTCTGTCTCTCTCTCTATCTCTCTCGCTCGCCCGCTCTCTCTCTCTTTCTCTCTTTCTCTCTTTCTCTCTCTCTCTCTCTCGCTTACCGCCACTCGTCGTCCCTGATGTTCCCACATGAGGATGATGTAGCGATGGAGTCCAGTGCGAGGTCCCGGCCCCGGCGACCCGTAGGCCATCTGGTGCTGGCCTGCAAAACGACTTTCCGCCTGACACGCACATGTTTGCCCCGAGTTTTTTCCTATTTTACGCCCCATTTTGGGTCCCGCAACGGCCGGCTGACCGATAGATGTCTAGGCCATGGCGGAGAGAATAGTTTTGGGGGTTTAAAAACGGCTTAAAAGGGGAGATTTCCATGAGGTTTGGCATAGGCTTAGGCTTATGCTTCGGCGTCGCTTAGGGGCTTTGGCTTGGGTTTAGGCTTAATAAGGCTTGGCTTAGGCTTAGGTTTTAGCTTAATCGTGGGCTTAGGCGTAAAGTTGACTGTAAGATGTCGATTCATACCTCCATTAATTCCCTCGAGCACGTTTGATGCAGGAATATTGCAGACGAGCCAGTGCAACCATTCAGACACCGACGGGTTCTTCCGCGACAGGTTGTCCGGATCTAAAAGGCTTATTTAGGCTTTTAAGCGGTTTCTTGGCGTCTGTTAAGAGTACAGCTCGGAATTTGGAAAACTAAATTGAAAAATACATAAAAATGACGTAGAAAATTTCGACCGTATGCGAAAAATCTAGAAAGACGCGTTACGCCCCTGTACGTACCGATCATGAGCATGGTGAAGGTGCTCTCCGGGTCAACGTTGAGGTTGAAGCGCGGCGCGTTCTTCAGGTTGCGCACTTGCAGCGTCATCCCGGGCTCGACCTTGATCCCATCCCAGACCAGCTGGAAAAAGGAAAAATTATTCTATCGCTCTCTTTATCTCTCTTTTTCTGACTCTTCAATTCACTCTGTCGCTCACTCTCTCTCTCACTCTCTCTCGCTCTCTCTCTCGCTTTCTCTCGCTATTTAACTAGCTCCATCTCGTTCTCTGGTTATCTCTCTCTAGCTCTCTCTCACTCTCTCCCTTTCTCTTTCTCTCACTGTCTCTTCGAAGCAAACCCAAACGGCCGTTTCTCGAAAACGCTGCTTAAAAATAAAATTCGGCCCGCCCATCACCCCGATTCCGATAAAGAACTGTCTACGCCTCCCCATCGCCCTAATCGCCCAGCTTACATTGAGCTTTTCCCGGGGCGGCTGCTCCAGGATGTTCGGGCAAATTTCGTGTTGCGAAAAGAGGGCGGCCAGGTCACCCATCTTTTCTGAAAGGGCCCACATAAAATCACGCATAAATAAAAATCTTGTACAGAAATTAGTACCTACAAAAGTCCAAACACTAACAAAATAGGGGACCGGAAACTGGGACGGTCGTCTTTCAAAAGTCAGTTGTCGACTGGGGGGCAGCAAAACCTGTAAATAAGCCCCGAGGGCAGGGCCAAGAAGCCGAGGCTCACAACGGGTAGTGTAATCAGTGTCCTCCTGTTCATTCCTCTCTCTCTCTCTCTCTCTCTCTCTCTCTCTCTCTCTCTCTCTCTCTCTCAGCCTCCCCAGCTGGCCATCCACCGTTTTTCACCCCAAGTGCCCATCCCTCAGCGCTGCCCCCCGCAAATCCTTGAACATGACCGAGGATCAGAAAGTTGGAAACCTTAAAAGGTTAAGCTAAGCCAATGTTAAGCCGAACCTGAGCCTAAGCCTAAGTCAAGCCTAAGCCTAAGCCAAGCCCGAAAATAAGCCTAAGCCAACCCTAAACCTGCGCTAAAGCTAAAGACCAAGCCTAACCTAAAACCAGCCCAGCCCATGGACAAGCGGGCGCGTTCCGTTTCGTAAAAACGATAGAATCCGTAAGAATCCTCCCACAAAATCCACCCCACTGCCTTGCCGGTCCCTTTAATTCTAGCCTGAACCGTCAGCTACATACCCCAGCTAGCTTTTCTTGCGTACCCCCGCAAAGTGGGTAGTGTGGCAGAGAGTGGCGCCCGCTTTTTCGGGATGACGGCTTGGAGGGATTGAACAGTTTCGATTCGACTCCCCCTGCCACCTTCCACTCGATCGGCCTTCGAAAGAATTCCCATCCGTGACCGGCAGCCCCTGGGGGGGGAGGATGACACTGGAGGCTGAGCTGATTCTTATCAAAATCTTCGCACTTTCACGGGCGAGGGAGATGGAGAGGTAGAGAGAGAGTGAGAGAGGGGGAGAGCGGGAGCGAGAGAGGGAGAGCGAGGATGATTTTTGAGCACCGAGCAGGAAAAACATGCTGATGCCGAGACTCCTTCAACTTTTTGATGGCTTCGAAGATATAACAACGTTGATATAGCCATTTTAAAGGACCGTGCAAGGCAGGACACTGGATATAGCCCGCGCCGTGAGAGGACATTTTAAATCTCAGTCCAGTTTTAATGCCTTTGCTAGTAAATTTAGCTATCAAAAACTACCTAACCCACTTAGAAAAAAATTGATAACCTTTGAAATTTGAGGCGAAAATCATAGTAGAAAATGAGTTATTTTATTTAATGCCCCTTTCCCCCCGATAATGCAACAGTACCCTATCAGGGAACGGCTGATGGGCTACACTTGCGCTCCGCTTGCCTCGGAATAAAGATTTATTTGTGTCCATTGCCGAAAACTGCCCGCTCTTTACTGTTCCAATTAGGGCATTCATTAACCCCGTAAACGGCTACTATAGTCTTCAAGTGTCAATAGTACAGTCGCGTGCTTCTCGTTCCGGTGTTGATGAGGTCACAGAGGGCGAGAGAGCGAGAGAGAGGGAGAGAGGGGGAGTGAGAGAGAGCAAGAGATAGAGAGCGAGAGAGCCACCCGGACAGCTAGACGACCCTGGGATGTGCAAAAACTCTCGGAAACCCCAGGCGCCATGCAAATTTCAGTCCACCCCCCCCTTGGGGGTTGAATAGGCGCGATAATGTTTTTCTGTCTGTATGTATGCCTGTATGTGTCTGTCTGCATGTCTGTTTGTCTCTCTGTCTATTTGAGACCTTCCCCTTCCCTTCCTCTAGCTGGCTAAGGACGTCCAGAGGAACTGCCCGTACCCCCCGCAAAGAGGTAGGCGTTTTCGATACGTCGTCGAAAAGTCTACATACTTTTCCCGAGGAATCGGTGAAAGTGCATGGCCGGGGGAGGGCGCCTTATAAGAAGCCTTTCGAGTGTCGACAGGTGGCTGCCAGGGCTTTGGCCCCAGGGATACGGTAGCTGCGGTTCAGCTTTTAGCCCAACGAAAAGTAATAAGTAATACCTTTAACGCTTTCAGGGTGGAGGATTCCACCTATGAAAGTCTGCCTCTTTCTTTTGACCTTGCTACGGTATTCTTACGTACACCCCTATGTAATTAGGTGTATACGTTGTAATCCCTAAACGTGCGCTGAAAGTCGGGTTACGGTAGCTTGTGGGGCAGCTTTTAGGCTTTTATGCTTTTTAGCTTGACCTGAGCTTTTTAAGCCCAGCCCTAGTATAAGCCTAAGCCAGGGCCACGAAAATCCTAAGCCACACTTCAGCCAAACCAAACCAGCAACGAATTCGTGCCCGATATCTCAAGCTCCGTCCCACCCCTGCCCCCTTCAATTTCAATCCAAAATGTTCAAAATCCACTTCTTACCGCCGTGGTTTCCGACAGAAGGGAGTGACGGCTTCTGCCATCCTTTTTTCCGCCTTCTTCCCCCTACCCGGACACCTCGTCGATAGCAAGTTTTCGGACTGGTGTCCGTAGCGCTCCGCTCGGCCTCCTGGCGGCAGCCATCCACCCCCACCCCAGCCCCGCCATATTATACCATTTGTGGCTGTTGATGGGGGGATTGCTGGGTGGAGGGGTGTCATTAGTGTGCTTCCGGATTCCGGCTTCTCAAAATATTGTTTCTATTTTAAACGGATGTCATGCTTACCGATTACCAATAGCTACCGTAGCCCTCCCGATAATTTCGATTTCATCCTATAAACAGTACTGCAACGTAGCGTAACGTACTATGTGCTTCCACTTCTATATTTTGCGTCAAAGCTACCGTATCCCGTCCTTCTACGCTATCGTAGTCTTTTTCGAATAAATATGGTCTCGTAATTTCCGCTACCTTACCTTACTGTACGCTCTAAAGTTACGAACGGCTCCGTAGGGCAGAAAAGAGCGTGGAAAAGCTACCGTAATCCGTAGGAAAGTCCCCGTAATCCTCAGAAATCCGTATCCCATAGAAAAGTTACCACAACCCATCGAAAAACTACCGTAATCCGTAGGGAAGATTATCGTAATTCGCTTTATAACGTAATTTCCGTAACCCTAAGGTAACCTTTGATCCTAGTACGTAATACACCAGACAACGCTACCGTAATCTTCTTCGATAACCCACCGTACTGCTCCTGTCGTATTTCCCTGATTTTAATATTTTTTCATTTATTCCGGTTACGATACCTCCCCCCTATAACTCACAATTGCAGGAATGGAACGGCCGGTGTTGGTGTCGGCGGTGGCGCTGTCGGGCGCGGCGGTGCTGTTCTCGTTGGGGGTGTGCGCATTCCTCTACAATGACCTCTACGACTTCCACACCGAGGCCCTTATGGAGCTCGACGAGTTCAAGGTGGGCAGTGGATTTTGGGGCTTCGGGTTAGGCATAGGTTTAGGCTTAGCTTAGGCTTAGGCTTGGGCTTGGGCTTAGGCTTGGGCTTGGGCTTAGGCTTGGGCTTCGCTTAGGCTTAGGCTTAGGTCTAAGCTTAGCTGAGGCGTAGGCTTTACCTTGGCAACATTCCTGATTCCAGAACATTGCCAACTACGCGTGGCGTGAGATGGAGCCCGCCTCCAACCCGTTCGAGTTTGCCCGCGCCAAGAGGGCTGCTGGTAAGTGCAGAATCATGATTCTGAGACCATTTCGCTCCGCTTTAGCCCAATGCAACTGCAAGGCCGGCGGAAATGGATGCCCGGCTGGACCGCCAGGACCCAAGGGAACACCTGGAGCACCAGGATTGGACGGAGAGAAGGGAGACAAGGGACGCGATGGAGGACGAGCTCTGCCATTCCAGTTCTCGGTATGTTTGTGGGGAGCTTGAGCTTAGGTTAAGCTCACGGTTAGGCTTAAACTCAGGTACAGGCTTGGGCTTAGACCTTAGCTTAGGCTTAGGTTTGCGCTTCGCTTAGGCTTAAGTTTGGTCTTTCATCAGCTTAGGCTAGGCTAAGGCCCCGGCTTAAGCGTAAGGTCGGGCTCAGAGAAAGGCGTCACGAGACTCAGAGCAAAAAGCAAAAAAATTTGGCGCTGCCCGGATTCGAACCCGCATCCTTCGCCTAATGGCCAAGCATTCTAACCACTGCGCCACCGGTCTAGGTCCCCAAAACCTCCAGAAAATCGATTCATAATCCGCCCAAGCCAAAAAGCAAACATTTCGCGTCGCGTGGGTTCGAACCCGGGCTCATTTCCCCTCATAGCCAAGCTTACTAGCCACTACGCCACTCTAAAAAAATTCAGGACGGCTCCGTGGGATGCATCAAGTGCCCGGCCGGCCCACCCGGACCTCAGGGACCACCCGGACCAATCGGAGGACCCGGCGAGGAGGGTTTCCCCGGTGGAAACGGAAACGAAGGACGAGATGGAGCCGATGGACCCGATGGATGTATGGGAGATATTGGAGGAGAAGGACCACGTGGACCTCCTGGACCCCCTGGACCACCCGGAAAGGGAGGACACAAATACAAGGCTGCTCCTGGGCCCAAGGGATTGCCTGGAAATCCCGGAAACCCTGGAAACCAGGGACCCAAGGTGAGAGATTGGAGTTTAAAGGGATTGTGATAGTCGGTGATTTAGCATAGAATTGATGCTAGAAGAGAGAGAGAGAGAGAGAGAGAGAGAGAGAGAGTGAGAGAGCAATTGAGCGTGAGAGAGGGGAGAGATAGCGACATAGAGGGAGAAAGAGAGAGGTAGAGAGAGAGCGAGAAATGAGGAAGAGAGTGACAGACAGATAGAGAGAGAGTGAGTGGGTGATCTAGAGAGAGTGAGTGAGAGTGAGAGAGAGATGCTAGCAGCGGTTTTTAAGGAATTTTTCGACTAGCCATTCAAAGTTAAAAAAATAAAAATTCTCCGAATTTCAGGGCCCACCCGGACCCCAAGGAAACCCCGGCCCGAACGGACCTCAAGGAAACCCCGGAAAGCGCGGAGCTGCCGGAAATCCCGGAGCCTACGGACAGCCCGGAAGCCGAGGAGAGCCTGGCGGTGATGCTGCATACTGCCCATGCCCGCCAAGGACATCGAATATGGCTGCTGACAATGGACAGGCGGCGTCTGGATACTAAATGGTGCCCCCATGGCTACCGTATCACTAACACCATCAATGGCTATTCATATTTATTACGGCATTCTCTCAAGTGTGCCAATATGCTCACCAAGGCAATAAAGAATTTTATGAGAATTGTCGAAAGGATTGAGGTCACTAAAGGGATGGGCAAGGCACGAATATGAATTTTCGATCATGAATTTCCACAGCTTCGCGCCGTCAAAGCAACGCGGCGACGGCACCTTTTCTTTTCGTCTATTTTCAAGCGCACGTAGCCCTCTGGGTGGGGGAGCGTGGGGAGAGAGCGAGTGAGCAGGCGAGAGAAAGAGAGAGAGAAAGAGAGAGCGAGAGATGAGAGAGAGACAGAGAGAGAAGGTGAGAGAAGTTGAGAGCAAGAGAATGTACCTAAAAGACATCAATAGTACTCTGTAGGCCTACTCCCAAAGTTGTCGGAAGGGTATGAGAAAGTTGGGCTTGTCGGTCCCTTTAAGGGTCCAGCCAAGGTCACGCCTCAGCTAGGTTGCCACCTTTTAAGACATCCGGGCATTGTTTAGTGAGCCATTACTGTCACCATTTCGTATTTTTAGACAAATCTTTATCATCGTTTTCTATATTTAGACAATCGGTGGTAGAGGATCACAAAAAATGCAAATGTAAAGCCCGTTTTTGCGCGCTCACAGGGATTAGTAGACGGTTAGTGGGGTTGACCTCGAGAAGGGGCACAAAATAGGAAGATATATCGTTAATCGGTTAGTTATTAGTACAGTTACGGAATCTGCTCCTTGCGTTTCCGTTTTGGCTCTTTCATAGTTGGACCTGAAGCTTAGCTTGGGCGGGGCTTAGGTTTAGCTTAGGCTCCGGCTCCGGCTTCAGGCTTAGCTTGAGCTTTGCTTAGGCTTAGCTTAGCTTAGGCTTAGCTTCGGCTTAGCTTATACATAGGTCCGTAAAAGGAGCTTAAAAGGAACGCAAGGGCAAAAATTTGCGTATATAATTAAAAAACAGGCAAGAATTAGTTGAGATCAGAAGACAGGAAATTTCAAGAATTACAAGCTAAAAATGGTTGATTCTGAAAAAGCTCTAGGTGATACGGTGGGGGCTTGAGCAACTTTTAGCAGGGGAAAGGCCGCCAAATCGCAGAGATGTACAGAAAGCGGGGAAACACCAGAATTCGATTCTAGAAAGGTCTAGAAAGTCGGAAGGTATAGGTTTTTTAGTTTAAGAATTGTATTTAGGCAATTTCGGGGTCCTTCTTCAATTCTTCGATATCATCGGCTCCTTCCTGGTCGAGGGCCGTGTATTCGTTGTCTTCGAGGAGGGCGTCGAGCTGCTTACGGCTGACCTTGGTCGAGCTGAAATGGAATATTTGTTAACTCTAATTTATATGGGAGTTAAATCGACCGGAAAGGCGAGTCTTTGATTAATAGGCTTTTCAATGAGTACGTCGCTGTACGTTAACGTACGCTACCGTAGGCTACTGCGCGTAAGATTACGAAACTGTACGAAGTTGTATGCTACGGCACGCTATGTGCGCTACGTACGCTACTGCTAGCTATTGTACGAGGCAGTACTCTCCTGTACGCAGCTGTGCGCTCCTTTCCGCTTCTATGCGGCTGTGCGCTACTGTGCGCTATTGTACGATGCTTTACGTGACTGTACGCTACCGTACGCTATTGTACTAGGCTGTACGCCGCTGTACGGTATTCATAAGGGGGCACACTACTTTGCGCCAAGGTAGACTATTGTACGCTACTGTACGCGGATACACGTTATCGTATGGTATTGTACGAGGCTGTACGCTACCGGACGCTACAGTACGTTAATGTCCGTCCTTTTGAACCATACACAACAACCGCTAAGTTCTGCAAAACCACCGTACCCCATGAAGCCGTCCGAGTAGAGGATACGCAGAAAGAGCGACATGTTGATGAGGAAGAAGGCCGACATCGCCACGATGGCCATGACAAGGTAGAAGCTGGAATTTAGGCATATTTCAAGATAACTCTTCAGCGAACACCAAGAAGGTCAGTAATACTACTCAATCCTACTTACGTATGCATATTATGGCGGTTGACGATGGCCCAGATGACCATCCACGCCTGCACGGAGAAGCGGAACGCGATGAAGCACACCAGGTTGCCGATCAACACCAGCTTCGTCACCTCGGAGTAGCGTCTGAAACTCACGTGTTTAAAGGGATATGGAAGGCTTGAAATCTATCATAAAAAATGAGCAAAACTCACGGGTTGGTACTCATCTTGCTGAAGTGGAAGATGGAGCGGAGGTGGAGGAACACCGAGGAGACCTGGAAATTTGAGAATTAGCGTTGGATTGGGCTGAAAATGCCTTTTTCGACCTTTAAAGGGTTCGTGACGGAAATGAAGTAATTTCTCTACTGTCACGCTCCCTTTAGAAGTTCATCAACGACCATTTGGCCCCAAAAATCATGAATTTCAATATCGACGTTAAAAAGAAACATGTTTTAGCAACATTTTTTCGATGTTTCGACCAAATCCATAGCAATCTAGCCTTGCCCTTTAAAAAGTCTGCCCACCTCCATGAGCAGGGCCCAGTAGGCGAACAACACGAATTTGTGCGAGGCGAGAGCGATGCTGATGAAGAGGACGGCGGCAATGTGGTGGAAGAGAAGGACCCCGGTTTGGATAGATAGTCTAAAAATTACGTTTTACAGTATGAAATTAGTCATTTTTTAATTCGTTTAACAAAACAAAGCGGTTAGATTTGTCGATATTAAAGGCGAACATAAAAGTATATAAAATTTGCATTTCAAGGTAACTCACTTGTCGTTAATGAGCAGATCGATGGCGTCATAGATGAAGTACCCGATTGTCACCATCAAAATCTAAAAAAGACGTTTCTAAGGCGTTTTGCGGAGCTTTTTGGAATTTTCGGAGGCTACGGTAAACGTAAAAATTTCAGATACTCACGTGTGTATCCAAATATCCATAGTAGTTCATCGGAGCCGCGAACATCAGCGACGGGAATCGGAGCAGGAAAATCAAGAAGTAGAAGCCGGACACCTGAAAAAAAAATAGATTGTTAAGCTAGCAAAGATCTTTGAGGAATTTCCGGAACCAAGTTCCACTTCCCAGTACTTTAAATTCCGCGAAACTTACTACACCTATGAACATACCGACGAATGAATGAGTGAGGTGGTGACGTTAACGAGTCGTTTCCGCTTGATTCCCTCCGGCATATTCGTCCAGAAGTTGGCGTCGACAATCCCATTCAGCGTATACCAAAAAACCGAGTAGCACAACACCGGCACCAAGATGTCCACCCGCAACAGTTGTAGCATGGCCGGTGGGGCAAGCTCGGCGCCGTCTGGAAAAGCCACTAATGCGTGGAACTATTGCTGAAAGAATTTTAAAGGTAGTGTAACAGTTAGGGTTTCATTAGTGTGCAGAAATCGACTCACCAGCATCGCCGAGATCGGTGTTGTTGTCGACCTGTAGGAAGCGCCAGCTTCTCGAGTAGAAATCGTCCAACAACTCGCCCCACAGCTGCATCACCTACAAAATAGCATAGTTAGAGAGAGGGCGAGTGAGAGAGAGCGAGAGAGAGTGATAGAGAGGGATAAACCGAAAGTTATAGAAAACAGAAAAAACTACAGTAAAACAGAGCAGATAAAGTCAATGCTGGACAAAAATAACCAGAGAGCGCGAGAGGGAGCGAGAGAGAGTGATAGAGAGAGGGGAGAGAGAGAGAGAGAGAGAGAGGGAAGAGAGAGAGAGAAACTCCTTGAGCACCCTCAAAACCTAAGCTTTTAGGCCGCTCCAAAATGGTATGGGCTTGCTTGTCTGCAGCGTTTTCAATGCTCAAATGCATTATCCATTTCGAATCATGTAAAAAATTCCCCAATGGCCTCTGCTAGATACCCTCCATGATTTTCAAAAATTCTGGAGCTCTGTGAAGTCCCTTAAACGTCTACCGGATTTTTCTCGGCTCTCAACGAGTCTCTGTCAGCCATCCCAGGATTAGTTGCATGCTGAAAAATACTTCGCTATTCCAATCCCGACAGACGGGTTACTTTAGGCCGCGTGATGTCAAAAATATGAGGTACAGAGGAGCGTCACGAAAAATATGGGGGATTTCCGGGACGGGCCTTGACGCAAGCGCCTTCTTTTCCCGTGGCCGGGGTGATTCAGAATTATTGTTGAAACGATCGGAGGATGGATACGGAATGTTTGGCTTCTTCAGAAATCCGCAAACGGTCTCTGCTAGCCTGCTGAATACAGAGTTAGAGGGGGGAGGGTCCAAATTTTCAGGGCCCGAGGGGTCGCGTCGCTTTTCGGGTAGCGCGCGCAGCAAGAGGGGATAAACAATGGGCCAGAGAAAGCGCTAGAAAGAGAGAGAGAGAGAGAGAGAGAGAGAGAGAGAGAGAGAGAGAAGAGAGCAAGGACCCCTTAAGCCTTTCGCTAGGAACAAGCGGCCTTCTTTGGCCACGGAACGGAGCACGTTGTAGTCCAGAAGGGTTCGTGCCTCGCAAATTGTCTCGGCTAGCCTGCCATAAAATTTAAATAGATGGAAACTAAAAAAATTCGGCTAGCTTGCCGTGTATTAGACCTTTAAAATCAAGTTAAATTAAATTTTCGCGTTTTTAGCGCCCGGCAAGGTTCCATTTCGACATAAGTTTAGCCAAAACGGGGAGCAAACGCTAGTTAAAATTGTTTAAAAAGTAGGAAAACCCTGTAATAAAAGGTCAAATCACTAAAAAAATTTAAAAACATTTAATGGTATATCTATTAATGTAGTTTAAGCAATTTTTCGATGACGTAGAACGCTGACCCCCATGACTGGCCATAAAGAGCAAATTGCTATAACGGAAATTTTTTGGTCCGAGAGAGAAATTAGAAATTTATTAAATTCAAATCTATCAAAGGTAAAAGTTAATTTTCATTTTCGTCATGTCGAAATGCGAACCAAAGGAGAGAGGCGAAAAATGGAAAAATGTGGCGGTGTGGGCGTTGGCCTCTCGGAGGGATCAACTAGGGTGAATCATCGAGGGAGGGAGAGAGGGGGGAGGGGGAGGGAGAGAGATAGAGAGAGTGACAGAGGGAGAGAACGCTCGCCCCAGCCCGGCCCTTTTCCGGGGCACGAGGGAAGGGATGGTAGGCGAGAAAGAGTCGAATCGGATCATCCTATGTCGCGTCCCGTGGATTGATATGGAATTTGGGGAATTTGCAAGTGATGTGGTTTCTGGCTTGCTCTGCAGCCTAGCTTAGCTTAGCTTAGCTTTGGCGTGGCTTGGCTCAGCGGGCTTTGGCCTAGCAAGAACTTGGGATTTGACGCTCCGTTGGACCCGCTGAGAAATGCCCTTAGGGCCCAGCAGGGATCAGGGCCAGATGGTCCCCTCTGTCCCCGCCCCTTTTCGTCCCCCAATTATGCCTTCAGGCATATTGGGGGGCTTGACTCGCAAAATATGCTTAAAAACAAATTTTATACTTAAAAATGAGAAAAATATGGCGTTAAAAGCCAACAGATTTTTGAGGCACTTTATATCATCGAGAAAATTCCAGAGATCCCGAGGTCTGCAGGAATTGCAAAATTTTTTGAACCTAAACATATTAATGGATTTATGTTTGGAAAGAGAGAGAGAGAGAGAGAGAGCAAGACAGTCATGCGGGCCCCAAGAATCACCCCATTTTGCTGTGACTGCACTGAAATCGACAGAAGAATTTGAAAGGCCCCCTCCCCCACCCAGCCCCCTCAGCTGTTCCCCGTCACTCCAAATGACGCCTAGAGAATAGAGATAAAAATAGGCACGTGGGGCCAATGGCGGCTTCTTTTTGAAATGAGTCATAATTTCGTGAGTAAGGGTATTCCCCGCTCGGGTAAATAGACAAGGGGAAGAAGAGCAGAGATCATTGCAATACAGGGGAAAAAATTAGTTGTTAAAGCTCTGACTTGGCATAGGCTTACAGGCTTGTTAGGCTTAGGTTGCTTAGGTTTAGGCTTAGGTTTGGGCTTAGCATGCGGTTGCTTAGAATGCTTATGATGCTTAGGCGCCTAGGCTTAGGCATAGGCACAGGCTTAGGCTTAGGTTTAGGCTTTGCTTGAGTTAGGCTTAATCTTAGCTTAGGAGCAGGCTTAGGCTTGGCTTAGGGTTAGGCTTAGGCCTAGGCTTAGCTTGGGAGCAGGCTCAGGTTTTTTCTGCGCCCAAAACCCAAGAAATTTTCGTGACGGGACCCCTCACCGTCGTCCCGTCACACCAATCTCCAATGGGCCACGAAATTGCCGGGGGCCCAGGAAGGGGCCCCAAAAACTGCCCATCCCCCCGGATGGATTGAGCCAATTTGGTGGGGACCAGGCTCGCGAGTGGATGTTTTTAAAGGAGCCAAGAAGTCCTTTCGCCTAACCCGGTGGATTCCTTGCAAATAGAAGATATCTTTAGGAAATCGATATCGTAGCAAAAAAATCCCAAATCCGAATCCTTTCTTGGAGGCCGAAAATTTCGATGGACCTCCGCGCGCGGCGCCTCTAGATCCTCCCAGATGAAGATTGTCGTCGCGCGCGGCGGCGATGAGATCCGATCTGCCCTCTTCGATCCCCCATTTTTTAGAGCCACCCCCACGGCACACAACATGCCCAATCCGACCGGCTACGACAAGCTACGCATGCCACCTGCCTCGCTCACCCTTTGCATAATGTCCGTGCAAGCGGGCGGGAAATACACGGGCAGCTTTCGCTTTTTCAATTCATTTCTCTTGCACACGCACTCTCTCTCACTTTCTCTGTCTCTCTCTCTCGCTCTCTCTCTCGCCATCAAATTTGTCACGGCCGACCGACAATCAACGAGTATCCCCAATTTCGAAGGGCGCGCAATTTTTAGGAAGCTCTGCCTTGCGAAAACACGCCGAAAAACCAATTTTAAAAAAATCCTGGTAGCAGCAGCTTAAGAAAAATAGAATGAAAAAGTTAACAACGTTAAACTGGTGATGGAACCTAAAAACAAAAATTTAAGCGAATCAGGCGAGATATGCCAATCGTCAAAAATGAGGTGAGACCTGCCAATCAACTGCCATTCAAGCTAGAGCTTTTTGCCTGCTTTCTCGCTCCCTATCTCTCTTGCTCTCTCTCGCCCTCTCTCTCTCTCTCTTTTCCGTTCTCTGTCTTTTCCTCGATCCCCCCACCAAATCAGCTGACAATGCCACGATGTTCAAGCGGTCGCAGAAATGGCAGGAAAGGAGGGACAGAAATGGGATACCTGGTGTTGCCCGCCAAGTTTCTAAATTTCTCCAAAAAACGCTGCTAGCATGCCCCCGTATCGAATAAAGCATTGGCCAAAGGCGTGTCATGGAGTTGGCCCGAAAATATCGCTGGAGCCGGGCGCTATGAATACGAGACTATGTGCTAGCTTTACTTGAGGGCAGGGCACTGGGGACCAAAAAAACCGTCAATGCTCTTTGCTAGTTTGCCCAATGTGCTAGAAAAGCTGAGAGAAGACAAAAAAAACAATAACATTCATACAATTTTTGAGAGCAACGTAAAGAACGGAACTCCGGGCATGATCCCGACAGCTAAAATCCCGATAGCGAAAATCCCGACACCGAAAATCATTGTAGGCCAAATACCGACATGCCAAAATCCCGATAACCAAAATCCTGACAGCCAAAATACCGACAGTTTCGCAATTCGCACAGCGAAATCCCGACTTTCAGAATCGACTAAGATCGACCAAAATCGACTAATGGATTAATACTGTCGAGATTTTGGGTATTTTGGCTGTCGGTATTTTTCTGTCGGTATTTTCGTGTTTTCCGATAAAAAATAGCTGCGGGACACGACAAAATGAAGGACCCCGCCTATTTTTGGGTATTGCGTGAGGGGGAAGGGGCTTTTCTGTTTTTGCGTTGATGAGCTCTCTTTCTCGGGAGGGGGGCACGTCATCAGGCGGATCCCATTTCGATGCGCGGGGCCCAGGGCTTCTCCTCGTCCCCTCTCGGCCAAAAAAGAGCCGCGTCGCGTTCGCCAACCACAAACCTAATGAATATCCATCGAATATCACGAAAATAGCCCTAAAAATGGGATACCGTAGTTAGAAAACGCTAAAAAAACATTCAATCAACACCTCAAAAATCAAATAAAACGTTAAATGATTCGAAACTTTTGGCACATTTGGGGAACTGCACTGTTAGCGGGGGGGGAGGCGGCTAATTTTTATTTTTCCATTTACACCTTCCGTGAAGAATATGTAATGTATTTTTATAGGATTTTCAGCAGTTTTCGATTTATAGAAAGCGATAAAAATATATTTCTAATTTTGAAAATTGACCTTTTTCGGTCATTTTTCATATATTGCTTTTATCCATATTTTATTAAACATGAATAGCTTATAAATATAAAATAGCCTTAAAGTCTCCTTCAAAATGTGCGCAACGCCGCATGTGCCCCAAGACGCCCTGGTGCGCCCGTCACGCCGCCGCCTAAAAACATTATTTTTTGGGTTTTATTACTAATTTTATCGATAACTTTTTAGTTTTTATGGTTTTTGAAAGCTACTACCAATTAGTTCTTCTTAGTATTTTTAAAAGTTCAATTTTAGCGCCATAATCCAATTTCCAATATTCTATGGGGTCAAATCCATGTTTTTCCAAAACGTGGCTCCACTATTTTCCGCTGGCCGGCCAAATTAAAAGCATATTTGTGCAGCGGGAGGGGGTCACCTGGATGTGTGCCACTTCCGCACATGAACAGCCCGTTGATGGGAGTCGCGTAGTTGGCCGAGCCGTTGACTGGTCGCGCGAAATATAGCTGGTCCAACGCCATCGACCCGTGGAAAATGTTCTAAAGAATAGACGTTGAAGAATTCGGCAAAAAAGTTAGACATTATAACAAACCCCGCCCGTCAGCCCAAACGTCTTCTCCAGCGTCGGCGGCGTCAGCACCTCGTATCCGACCACGGACGACGAGAAATTGGGCGCGTACGCGTCGATTTCAGCGAACACTGAATTCATAAGTGTAAAAGTTTACGTTTTCAGGGATACAATTTTCATCAAATAAATTGGAAAACTGGTAATAAATTCTTTTTCATAATTTTTAAGTGTAACAACTTTATTAAAGATATTTTTACTACAAAATATCGGGTTTACTACATAGATTTTCCACTTCAAATATAGTTAAACTTTAACAAAAAATATTCTGAAATACGTGCGACGCCATTAAAAAATGATAAAAAATCAAGAACATAAAAAGAGTTGCGATAAAACCTACCATGCTTTGCGTACCGTTCCTTCATTTCGTCAGTCCACGGGCCCTCAGCCGGCGTATAGGGCGTATATTGCGTAAAGAGGAGCGCCACGTGGCCGTCGCCCTTCACCAGCGTGTCGTCAACCGATGAGGGAATGGTCATCTCCAGCACTGGGCTAGAAACAACTGTTCTGTTTAGAAGTGAGATCGTAAAACCGGAATTCTAAACTATCAAAATTTTCGATTTTCTTATCAACATACTGTGAGCTCCATTTTCCGGCGCGGTACTCGTTGTACCCCTCGTCGACAAGCCCCATGTGCTCGCTGTTGAGATGGACGGTCGTCTGGTGGTGCGGAGCCGGAGCCGAGCCGCTGTGAGGTCGAGCAGTGAAGTTGGGCAACTCCTTCAGCGCTACTAAAAAGAACATTGCCTGAAAAACTATAAAATACCGTTGATCTTGGTGACCGGTGACGTGTAGTCGATTTGCTTGACGGACTTCAGGAATTTGGTGGGGAGAGCTGACTAAACATTTGAAATTATGAAATACAGTATTTGAAGTGTTAGTAATTTGTATTTGAAAAATTAAGATTTCAACCATTTTCAATCGATTAGAATTTGTAATAGCATTTTTCGACAAAACCAAATTTAGAAAGCTACCTTTTTGAAAAACCAATCGTTTAATCATCACTTCGAGAAATTAAGCAACTAACCTCGGCGATAAGGTCGCAGAACGTCACTTTCGGCGTACAATTTGACAAAACAACATCCGCATGGATCTCAGCACCGCCAGCCAGGCGGACGCCTCGAGCACGACCATTGTCGATCAAGATCGAGGATACCTCCTAGAATTCATTATTCGACAGTCATATTGTCATTTGTTATACCTTCTCGGTGTACAGCTCGGCGCCGGCGGCTCGCGCTGCCGACGCAATGGCGTCGCTGACGGCACCCATTCCGCCGTAGACGTATCCCCAGGCTCCGGCACGACCGTCAAGTCCTCCCATGACATGGTGGAGTAGAACGTATCTAAAAGAGCGGTGGCTTCTTTTTTCTAATTTGGCATCTAATTCCTTCCTAAAAAAATTTATTAAATGGTTTATTCACCCAGTGCCGTGGTCATACGGCGACGCTGCAAAGCCGATCACGCCATCTGTGGCGATGGTGGCCTGCAGAGCCGGTGTCTCAAACCATCGTTCCATCACCTAAAGTTTCGAGAATAAATACCTAATAAATACAAAAATAAAACAACTAGAAATACAATCACCTTGGCAATCGGTGCTGTCATTAGCTCATAGAATTCTACCGCGTTTTCCATACCGATCGGCTTCACTAAACGTGATTTTTGTGAAAGTTTTCGCGTTTTTGATTCTTAAAAAGACCATATTTATTCCTACTTCTTTTATATAGGCTATAGAGTTGACGCCAGTTCTTGGAGAGCGACTTGTCCATCGGCAACGGCTCTTCGTCCATGATTCCCTCGACGGCTTGCGCAATTCGTGCGATCATGTGCTCGTATTTTGGGTAGTTCTAGGAGAACTAGCAATTAAAAATACATTTGGATTAGACCCCCACCCCCGATAATGCATAAGAACCCCCGAAAAGGCTTAAAAGGCCTTTAAATTCCGAGGCTATACTACGAAAATACCTCAGCATCTTTCTTTGAAAATTTCCCAATTTCCGCCTGGTTCTTCGCCATATCGCCGCCAAGCAGCAAGCTGTCCTTCGAGTCGCGGATCGGGGTAAATGAGTGCGGCTCACGCAGATGGTAGCGCAGCCCGTGCTCCTATTAACAAATTGGAGGCCATTGAAGAATTGTACCTTCAGGTTTAGCTCATTGATGACGACTGGCCTCAGCAATGAGAGCACATAAGAGGCGCGCGAAAACTTGAAGCCTAAAAACGGAAATAGTTCTGGATTGGCTTCCAAACCGGGAACAATCTCTTCTGTTACAGCCGCGCCGCCCAAAACATGGCGACGCTCAAGGACGCAAACTTTCTTCCCGGCTTTTGCTAGATATGCCGCCTAAAATTTTATAAAAAGACAGGGGATCTCCGAAAACCGCTGTCAATCCATTGTGGCCACCCCCGACGATCACCGCATCGTATTTTGCAGCCGGCGAGCCTGTAGAAAGCTGCCGAAAAAAGCGGGTAGTCCGATTCATGGTCGCCGAGATTACAGCGAATCGCCGATCCGAATCAATCGGCACACGAAGAAGTGGCACGATATGGCCACCCCAGGCCTGACCCGCATCATTCGTTGATAAGGGCGACTAATGATTACCAGGCGGATGCATGCTACCGTGTCGATGACCACTCACAACTTTATTCTCCAACCTCCAATAAGTACAGGTTACACGCGAAACGGCTAGGAGAAAAAGCTTATATATTCAAATATGCGGTGTGAAATGTTGCCCGAACAGGTAATAAGATGACAAAAATCAGACGTGAACCGGCTGCACAAAATGATGAACTTCGCAAAAAAAGTAATGTCAAACGGGGTGAAGAAATAGTGCAATATTAGTTGGCTTAGTCCTCGCACCAGGCGTTCTCCTTCTTGATCTGCTCCTCCTCCTCGGGGGTGAAGTCGTTGCGGATGTTGAAGGTGCGACGGATGTCCTCGACGGATTTGCCGCGGATCATGTTCGCCACCGTCTTGCACGTCACGTCCAACAAACCCTTGATGTCGAGGTAGTTGGCAGCCTGGAAAAGAAATTTTGTAAAATAGGATGGGAGGGTTGGAGGTTTCTTTTCATTACGAGAAACTTTGTTGGGTTCTGCGTCTTCGCTATTTTTTGGATGCAAGGAGTCTTCTCAGGTGATATTGGCGTTTTAGTTTTTTTTGGAGCTAACTGCTTCGATAGAGCTTTGTATTTTGTGCGCTTCTTACGAAGAGTGCTGAACGGGAGCGGTTTTCGCAAAAAAGGTTTTAAAATTTTGAATCTCCATCTCAAGGGCCAAAATCGGCAAAAGCGGCTCTTGTAAATCAAATTTCCTGCCAAACCGTTACACCACCACGATCACCATTTTTGAAATATGGGACATGTTCAGAACTCTCAGCTCTACCGAATGAGTTAGGTCACGTCGCAAAACTTCAATAGGAGCAAAAAACAACACCTTGTTACAGCGATATAAGAGAAAACATACCAGAATCAGCTCGAAAAGCGTGCCCTGGTCGACCTTGAGGAATTCGACATCCCATGACGGAATGTCATCAGTGCGCTTCTCGCGGGTGTCCGAATCCTCGCCCTGCGGCGGGTCGTCCTTGTGGTACTGGCACCAGGCAATCACCTAAATGGGGATTAGAATAGAACTAAACAATGAGGCTTACCTTCTTGAGGATGGTGGCATTAACGTTAGCGAGGGGGATGGGTTCCTGGGCTTCGTTTTCCTGCTCGTCGAAGCCGAGATCTTGGAGAAGCGTGTTGACGGTGCCGGAGAGGCGGGCAACGTCCCGGTCGACGGGGAAGACCTCGCCCTCTGCGCTGCTCAACTTCACAATCCGTGCTTCGGCCATGGTCCTGGAACAGGGATATTTATATGGATAATGTTGAAAATATAAGAAAATATATTGAAAAAAGTAGATAGGTTGTATTTAAGATAGTATTTGCGTTGAGAATAATAAGGGAAATGCCGGAATCTACTAGATTATAAAAGAGAAAATTACGAAAAGAAGAGGTTTTCAGAATATGACTACCCGATCGAAAGATGCCGGTCAGTTCTAGAAAGCAACATCGATTTTGTCCGGCAAATTGCGACGAATCAGACTGAAAACAAAGATGACGCATAGATTTGAAAGATTACACAACAAGTTCAATGTTTTTTGCCCTCAACGAATTGCTAAAAGTTAGTGGATAAAGCGCAAGATTATGAGGGGAATTCCAGGGCCCAAACATCTCCAAAAAGAAAGGTAAAGTTTGCGCAAGATTGAAGATATGATGGTAGACAAGGATCGATTGAAAGAAAAGTGGCGGGCCGCGGCAAGGGGCATACACACGAGGGAGATGGGGAGGAGAGAATGGCGGGAATGAGAGAGGGGAGAGCGGCAGGCAAAGGGTCCGTCGCGGCCGGGACAAACGGTTGGTTGCTGGGGTGCCCACACACCACCATATTTTCCCGCATAAATTCGTCGATATGTCGATAGTCATGATATATGATCGTCATGGTATAGACGATCGATGATCACACTGATACCGCTATCGTGGTAATTAGTCTGAGATGATACAATGGGATAAAACGAGAGACGCAGTGATACAAAATACACGAAGTTTGACGGTTTTCTATCAATTATGAAAGTGCTATAATAAGAACAGAATTTTTTAAGCTATAAAACAGGACGGCAAATTTCGCACGGATCGAACGCTGCGCATATTTATAAGTCCGATAGGACGAAAAACATTTTAATAAATTGCGGAATTTATTGCAATTTCCAGTTAGTTTTCGGCTAGAAAAGCGTATATGGCTACTATCAAGCTCTAGAAGACTTGACTGGAATCAATGTCCCGAATTTATTTTTGATTAGCAACGATCGCGGAGCAAAGTGAACAAAATATAAATAGAAAGGCACATTTTTTGTGCACAGAAAACGACCAGCTCGCCCTCGTCGCCAAGGACCGAATAATTCACCGCAACGCGACGCACCGGGAAAACCCCTCAAGTTCTGCAGGGAGGAAGTCGAAAAACAAAATGACAGCCACGGCCGAGCTGTATTCAACGTTATTTAATGGGTATTCGAATCTATCGATACCCACTAACACTTTCCCGCTGGTTGTGGACGTCTATATGCATTTTATCTACGTGCTTTCATTGGTAGTTGCTTACGAGAGAGTGGACTTTCCTACTTGTATATAAAAATTATAGCTAAGTGGGGGGTTTTTGCGGATTTTCTAGGTCCTGGTGAAAATGAGTAACATGTTGAAGTATACGTTACTGATTACAGGACGAATCCGAAGAGACAATAAAATTGATCACGTTCCTAAACTATTACTGGACGGATGGATATCTGCAATGGGACGTGGCCGTGGACCCAGTGAACGCGATGGTGGTGCCGGCGAGTGAGCTGTGGAGGCCTGACGTTGTTTGTACATCATGGTAAATTGTGGTTTGTATCGAGATTTACTTACAATTAGCGCCGAGGTATCCGGCATTCTGGATGATAAACGTGTGGAAGTGCCGCCGAGCGGCTACATCGGATTTGGGTTTCCTGAAGTGATGATATCACGATGTCCGCTGAATATTCGGGCTTTCCCTTTCGATACGCAGGTATGGTATTATTTTTTTAAGGAATGTAGGTATCGTATTTTTAAAGTGGTGTATTCAACGTTAACGCGGTAGCCGACGACAAAGAGCTCCGCAATCGTTTCCTAGATTTGTGCACTCCCGAGGGGAATGCGTTCCAAAATTTGTTCGAGACACTGTTGGTAGGTCTCGGGGTTAATGCTAACCTCAAACTTGGGTAATTAAACCGAAGCTGTGGTGGGGTGGGTGCTTTTCTCAACTAGCCAAGGCTCAGATGGGGGTCTTTTGACGGGCAACCATACAACGAGCGATCTCTCGTTGCCTCCGTCTCATGGAGTGTCGCGTACACTGAGCAATGGGGTGAGAGAGACTGGGGGACGGAGGAGACGCAGAGCGGAAAGGGTGAGCGTTGTTGGGAGTACCTTCTCTACATGAGACGCCGACGACGAGAGCTCGCTCGCTGTGTGGTTGCCCGTCAAAAGACCCCCATCTGTGCATTGGATAGTTGAGAAAGGCACCAACCCCACCACGGCTTCGGTTTAATTACCCAAGTTTGAGGTTAGCATTAACCCCGAGACCTACCAACAGTGTCTCGAACAAATTTTGGAACGCATTCCCTCGGGAGTGCACAAATCTAAAAAAAAAACAAAGGATCTTTGTCGTCCGGTTCTCTTTAAAGCGGCTCTGGCAGCACACCGATTACGGCATTTTGGGGACCGGGCAGAGACGCAGAGTTCTGTCTGCGTCTCTCCTCTGGGCGCGCTCTTTCTCTCCCTGCCGCGACGCACCCGACCGCGACGCTTCCACGAATCGTGGAAAAACGAGCCTGCTGCCAGAGCCCCTTTAAGCCCTTTAATTCCCCCTTAATTCCGTGCCGAAAATGTCTAAATTGGTCACATCTTTGGGAGCCTGGGCAAATTCGGTATTTTCAAATGAAGTTTTGAATCTTCACGAAAGTACGTAACTTGACTTTAGACATGCCAATTGACGCTCCAAGTGATGAGCTACGATGCTAGTCAGGTAGTACTGAAACCCGGTGAAGGGTTTTTAGGCGAAGATGTGCGGGTGAGCGATCGTTTTTGGGATTAATGACGGCTAAATATCCCAGGGCACCACCGAGTGGGACCTGGGGAACGTGACGGCGGCGTGGAGAGTGGATAGCGTGCGGGGTACCGGCTATATGCAGATTGAGCTCGTTATTAAACGGTATGCATCTTTAGGCTATTAAAAACCTTAATCTCTAGAAACTCGACATGCTACGTGTGGGTGTTGATGGTGCCGACGTTTATCGCGTGCAACCTCGCCGTGATGGGCACATTTTTGCCGTCCGTCAACACGGGAACGCGGTTTAGTAAGGTCTCATCTTGGGTGTTGGGCAGGCAGGACGGGGTAGAAAAGTTATATAGCATATCTAGCAAGACTTTTAGAGTAGTATACCGTATTTTTATAGTGTTTTTAACAGTTTGTGATTAGTAAAAAGTAACAAAAACCGTTTGAAATATTTTGAAAATGGAAATTTTCGACAATTTTCATAGATTTTTGATCAAAATCAGAAACGTTTTAAACAGTTTAGTATTTTTCTGACTTTCTATACTTAAAAAGTAAACAAAGGTTATCATGATAATAATAAATACGAATATTTTATAGTTTTAGGTAGTCTATTCGAAGTTTTAGGTGCTGCTGAACGTTTGCGTGTTGTTGACGATGATGGTGTTGCTTGACATTGCCGCCCAGGACATACCAAAGACATCGATACTTCCGCAACTAGGTTAAACCTAAAACAAGCTTTTTATCAAAGCCTAGACCATAACTACATCATATTTTCAGCGTGGTACATCTTCATCGAGATGCTCATCTGTTTTATAGCGGGTCTGATCTCGATCGTAATCTTGCTAACCCATCATTTCGCCACGTTGTTCGATTTGACGCCTCCATCCTGGTAAAAAAAACAGTAATTGACGTATTAGTAACTTGTCAGAAGGAGCTCGTAGTATCCAAAAAGAATGTTTTATTTTAGCTTGACCTGCTTGGTTTGCGAAGCGCCAGCGAAACAGAACGATGATGACGTCAAGAAAGAGCCGCGCTCCACGAGCGCCTTGCTCTCACAGCTCGGGTACGCGTTTCCAGGATGTATTTTAAACGGATAGTATCTCTTTTAATAGTGTTTTATTAAAATGAACTAGGTTTCAAGTGGTAAAACTTAGAAAATTTTCTTAGTTGCAATTTTGGTCGAATATCGGCGATTTTTCGTCAAACTCGATATACTTTGTATTTTTTTTTATACAAATTTAAATTTTTTGCGCTTGGGGATCATAAAACGCGGTTTTGGAACATTCCCTCCATTTATTTATGTTAGAAGAATTGGATGCTAAAGAAAAAAAAAGTTTATTTTCCCTGATAACCCCCTGATAATGCATAGGTACCATTGCACGAGATACCATAATTTTTAGTGCAATTCGCGGCGCGATTCGGCAGCGCGAAAGGTCTGCGGAGCGCCGCCTTCAGTGGATCCGGATTCTCGACCGTGTTGACATCTTCTTGCTCATCATTTTCATCGTGGTGAATAGTCTGATTTTTATGGGGAGTGTCATTAAATGGTAGACAACGGTAATTCTTAAAAAAAGTACAAATTCATGGAAACTAACAGCGATATTCCTCCAGAACGATTTATTAAAGCCGCAAACCGCCGTAGAATATCAAAGCACAAAAATCCCGTAAAATAACGTTGCATTAATGGCGATCGGTTCAGCAACTGTATGAGCTGGCGGCGGGGTAGTCGTGCTCGCTCTTGTCGCTCACACCCTGAAACATGGGGTGCTAGCCGAGATTGTGGCTAAACTATAGTTTTAGCCCAGCGCACGAACCACATTTAATTTCCCGCCGGCGCGACACGGATCGTGCTCGTAGACGATGTACACCTTGCACTTGTTGCCGAACGTCACCTTCTTTGGGATACTGTAAAACGGGCACGATTTAAGGATGAAAGGAATCATAAGAGACCCTGCTGTCCTGCCACAAAGTTCTTACTCAGTCTTCGGCGGTAGGGTTCCGTGGAAGTCGACGTGTCGCACCGGGCCTCCGTTGAAGCGTTCGAGTGCGTCCTGGAAAAGTTGTAAATTTTGGTGCTTTTGCATGAGCGGGAGGAACCAAATTTTTCCTGAAGTCCAGAAATACTTAGTAGCTGGACAGTAAATATTTCAATATTCGAAATTTACGTGGAAAAACAAGCAAAAATATGCTAAAAAATTTTAAGGTTAGATTTTTTTCGAAAATTGGCTTTTTGTCGAAAAATCGGTATTTTTTCTATTTAGGATCAAAAGTTGTAAAGTTTTTACCCTTAGGAATAGCAAGAAATAGTTCAAAAGCTCTTTTTATATGAGAAAAACTTGAACCGACCCCACAATTCCCCTCGGTCAACGTCTCCTCGATCGTGATCTGGGGCAACCAGGTTTGCTGGAAAATGAGTTACATCCTACTATATATAAAAAAGTAGTGTCTGTGTGTGTGTGTGTGTCGATTTGCATGCAACTTCCGTCCCTATGTCCGGAGGATAACTCAATAGGGGATGTATCTTAGGGTACTTATGATACATCATTAGGCGCGTAATGGCGTTGCGATGGCTGCACACTTCTCAGAATTATCGAAACAAGCTATTTTCGATATTAAAAATAAGTTTTTCTAAAATTTTCGGGCACCCTCTTTGTTAGGAAAAAATTAGCATACACCGGAAGTAGAAGGAGCCTATATAAAGGGATGGAAGGAAATCTTTTCATTTTTTGGTAGCTTGATTGAGGCGGAATTATGCAAAGTTTACAATTTCATTTGTCCAGACCAGGGTTGGTCACAATGATCGGGCGTCCGCTATGCAAATTACGGACGCGGACGGACGGGTCCGGACGCGGACGGACGCGTCCGGACGCGGACGCAACGGACGCTACAGAGTCCGCCGGACGCCGGAAGGTCCGCGATGCAAAGCACAAAAGCGGATGCTAATTACAGGTGTCCCTGGTTTAGGAAAGCGTAGGATCATAATCTGACTTGCATCCTTGACGTTGACTTAGAATAAAACACAAAAATTACTGTCACTTTCCAAGGGAAAGCGCCAAAAAAAGTTTGAGCAAACGAAAAGCTTTGAGATTTTAGTGCAATGTTCCATTGTTCTTGAGGTTTAGTACTAGTTTCTTCGTTTCCGACTTGCTTTTGTGTGACTATTTGGACAACTGAGAATTATTGTTTGTCATGATCCAAGTCAACACGAATATTCAAATTAGGTCTGTGGTGATGCGCCTTCCTAAGCCGCAGTCTATTGAATTAACATGGTGATCTGCAATTTGCATCGCGGACCTTCCGGCGTCCGGCGGACGCTGTAGCGTCCGCTGCGTCCGCGTCCGGACGCGTCCGTCCGGGTCCGGACGCGTCCGTCCGCGTCTGCAATTTGCATACGGGTCCGGACGCGTCCGTCCGCGGACGGACGCGGACGGACTTTCGATCATCATGACCAACCCTGGTCCAGACGGGGCCAGGGTTGACATTAAAAACCTTGAGTTTATTCATATTATCGTTGTCATCAAAAATTTCACCGTAAAAACCATAATTTTAAATGCGTACATTTTCATATCGAAGCAATCTCTCCAGCTGGTCACGATCAGGCGGGATATCGATTTCCTTAAAACAACTGAGTATTAACGGTGATTTCAAAGTGATTAACCTCAAGATTTGTCAGAGACAGCCGCTTGACGGAGGGCACCTCCAGATTGTCGAGCGTCATCCTCTAAACGAAAGACATTAATTAATTCGACCTCACATTCCTCTCTCTCCCTCTCTCTGTCTATCTCTCTCTCTCTCTCTCTCTCTCTCTCTCTCTCTCTCTCTCTCTCTCTCTCTCTCTCTCTATCTTTCACTACAGGATTATATTCTCCAAATACGCTAGAATTTTTAACCCGCCTTTGGTGTGCGGTTGCAGATAAAAACCGTCGCCAGCAGTCCGAGCACGAAGATGAGATCTATGAAAAAGTACAGAAAAGAAAAAGATACTACCACATAGCTCCAGCATTTTGCGGAGAAACATTCAGATTTCACAAAGCTACCAGAATTTCCGTGAAAAAAAAGTTTGAATTCCAATTGATTATGCAAATTAAAGGATTCAAGGGTATTTGGGGTCCTTTAAAAGTTAAAAAACTGCTTCAGGCGTCGCGATTTTCCGAAAAGTGGCGACCAAGCTTAAGCCTACTTGAAACCTAGGCCTAAGCTTCAAGGCTAATCCAAAGCTTCAAAGCTTCAGGATGAAAGCGTAATTTAGACCAAAACTTAAGCAAGGCAAAGACAGGTAGCCTAAGCCTAATTGTAAGCCTAGAGCTGAGCCCAAGCCTACATCCGAGCATAAGCTTAGAACCGAACCCAAGCCTAGAACCATGCCCAAGCCTAAGCTTAAACCTAAACGTAAGCCTAAGCCTACTTCAAGCCTGAGCCTGAGCACAACCGAAGCTTCAAGCGAGAGCATAGTCCTAAGCCTCAAGCTTCAAACCGAAGCCTACCGGACTAGCTTCGGACACACTCTTAAATTTTTTTTCTGATGATTAGATGTATTAAAAACACGCTTTTAAACCGGTTGTCATGATCCTTCAAAAATATCGATCAATTTTTCAGATTTTTCTACGAAATCTCACCCTTCGGGTTCGGTCACGAACTGACAAACTGTATGCACTTGATATGGTCACTATTTTGAAGCGAACATTGCTCATCGTCTCCGAAAATATTTTCACGCTTTCCCGGTATTTCGGAACGGTTTATTTGTTGTCGGGAGTGAGGGGAGGGGGGATGGGTTAGTGTATCGGCTGTGGGGGAGATGGCACGAGGTGTTTGAATATCTCAGGTCGTGTCCACGGATTTAACCCTGAATCATCCCCCTACTCCCGCATCGGGGGGCGTTGATTCAGATACCCCGGGCACTTTCCTGGGGGGCTTCATACTTCGCCTTTATTCCCTGCTGCTTTCTACGAAATGTTCCCCTCTCTACTATCTACCGTATTCGCCGCTACCGTAACCCTGCTCGCACTTGTCGAGGGTCAACAGATTAATCGATGCTATTCGGTAAGGAGTAGATGATAGTTGTCACCAATTTGGTATCATAATATCGAAATTGTATACTGTCGAAATATTGAAAGATCGACATTTTCCGTAAAAAATCTGTCAGGGTTTTGAAATGCCGACAATTGCAAATTTTGACAGCAGGCAATGTCGGCATTTTGCAAGAAACCCGGTGCCTACACCATTCTAAATTGGCCGGGGGGGGGGGGGGAACTGTATTCCCCCCAGACAAATCCTTACTGTCACGCTCGCTTTAAATCGGAAATGGCTGTGTTTTTATATGCTTTACCGAAATTTCGAACATTCTGATATTTCGGTATTACCCCGATTCGGAATTATCTAAATACGAGAAGTAGCAAACCGTAATTCGATTTGAAATTGCTGCAAATTAGACTTTTAGTGCGCAACGGGTAGCCTGAACCGACGATGGGCCATCACACAGCTCCGCTCTTCCAAGAATATCGTTTTCGACACGACACAACAGGTTTGGAAAGCGGGGGAGGCTAGCATAAAGCCTTCGGGAATCAAAGAGAGACTTACTAGCCCATTAGAGAGACATTGCGACGTTAAATCCACTGAGCTTTGCCTTCACAATCCCTTTAAACTCCCGAAATTCCAGAAAAAGTGCAGCAGCCTGAACGAGGAAGACGTCTATCTCGTCAATTGCACGAGCCCTTGTATGGACCTGGTATTCGAAGACCCGGATGCCACTACACAGGGCGGTAAGCTTGGAATTCACTTTGGCTGGATTTGGAGCACGTTTTAGACAACGGCGAAACGTTGTTGTACGTGCGTGGGTGTCACAGCGAGTTGACCGGCGTGTCGAACGCAAATGTACAGTCGCCCGATTATCAGGATGGACAGTTTTGCGAGGTGAGAATTTGAGTACCCGATAGTCTCCTCTAGGGGTTTACCTTACCCCTCAATTAAATTTAATTTATGGCCGTTCTCTTTCTCTCTAGCTCTTCTCTCTTTCGCTCGCTCTCTCTCGCTCTATCTCTCTCCAGCTCTCGCTCTCTAACTCTCGATCTCTAGTTCGCTCTCTCTCTCTCTCTCTCTCTCTCTCTCTCTCTCTCTCTCTCTAATAAAAATAAATAGCAGCATGCAATCAAGACCCGTTTTCAAAAGTGCATTTTCTTGATTTTCGCCATAGCACTTCTATATTCCACGCTTTTGAGATGTAACAAAAACTCATGAGATATTTTCTGATGCTCTATCGAGGGACGTCAAAAAATTCGGAGAAATATCGAAAATTTTAGGCCTGTGGGCCGGTAAAACGGGTCTAAAATGCCCTTAATAACGTAACTACAGTAGCGTGCAGAAAAGAAGGCAACACCCAGGAAGCTCTTCTAACTCGGCTGCCTCGTTATATTTTGCACCAAACGGAATGTCTCCTAGTGTTTTCGATGCTGTAGAATTCGATGAGCAGGGTCCCAAGCCGCTAAAATGACGTTTAGTAGCTTAAATATTGAATTTAAAATAGCTCCAAAAAATCGACTTTTTCTAAAGGCATTTTTTCGCTTCAAAAACATCACGATCGTGTTCAGCATGGTCGATTTACCCAAAGTCAACGTTTCTGGTTGCTTAGGACGGCTTCAGTCGGCTAGGAAGCTGCGATTAATAGGGGTCGCCATCGGTCTGATGGGGGCGCCTGCAATACCTTTCCCCCAGGCGAACCCACTTCTTGACCCGTTTCGCGCAAAGAAAACGCGGCTTCCCGGCTAAGCCAAGTCAAACCCGATCACAAACGACACTGACTTTGGGTAAATCGACCATGCTGAACACGATGGTGATGTTTTTGAAACGGAAAAATGCCTTTAGAAAAAGTAGATTTTTTGGAGCTATTTTAAATTCGATATTTAAGCTACTAAACGTCATTTTCGCGGCTTCGGACCCTGCTCATCGAATTCTACAGCATCGAAAACACTAGAAGACATTCCGTTTGGTGCAAAATATAACGAGGCAGCCGAGTTACAAGAGCTTCCTGGGTGTTGCCTTCTTTTTGCACGCTACTGTATCTGATCTCGCCCATTACAGTACGACGACTCGTGGAACACGTTCAAGTGTGACGGCTCGATGGCGACGATCAAGGCCAATTTCCGGTTGTGCACCGGAAATAAGTGCAACAACCACAAAGGCGTCGACGGCACCGGGATTTGCGCCCATGCCACCGGTAATTTTGGCTCTTTTTAGGGCATGAACGTGCTAGAGATACTGCGTCTATAGTAGTGTAGTGTAGTGCATCAAGAAAATCCATAATTTAGTAAACGACCGCCAATGTTTCGAGTGCGAGAAGGTGAATGGGGAATGCCGAAACAAGAACCGCGATCCGGCCACCAGAAAAGCCAAGCGCTACTGCACAAAGACACATGCAAAAATTGATGGTAGATTACAATTCGATAACGTTCAGCTTACTCTTGATTTCCAGGCACTCACACCTATTACGTGACCCAATCGAACTCGGACATCAACCTCTTCCGTATCCCCAACTACTGCAGCACGGCCCGGCAGACAACCACACCAATTGGTAAGACCTTTTAATAACCCTTTTCTTGTTTTTGCTCGCATCAGTTACCTGCTATGATCCGCGAGCTATTAATGCGTCCAAAATCTCAACTTCAGATCATTTCAGGTGGTCTCGCCTCGGCCCATGCTCAGGTGACACAATGCGTCTGCTCCGACCAGGATCGCTGCAACTCGGCCGGGATTTTGTCTTTCATTTTTGTTCTGTTCGCTCCGATGCTCTCACTGATTATCTAAATAATAAATATTTATATAAGCTTGTAGTCGAGCGCAGGCGTACATATCCAAAGCCTGAACCTGGACGTCAAATCAAGCCAGAAGTAAGAGGAAAATGGGATTTGTCGGGTTTACCCAGGCGCCAGCCGACCCCGACTGCCGTATCTCAGCACTTCAGGGTCCTACGAAGCTGTCAAGTAGATCAAAATACTCGCCAGAGCAAGACGAAAATTTTCGTATACTTTACATCCCGGCAGCTTACCAAGGAGCCCAGATACTGTAGGCGGTTCTGAACCCCTACCAAGAAAAAAAAAGTATCTCCGACAAGACTAACCGGAAGTATTTTTTGATATACTCCCACATCGATAAATCATAAAGTAGCGGCCATTTAATACAAATGACAACGCAAATCTCAATTGTTCAAATTACGTCTCGACTTTATAAAAAATTTATCGCCGAATCCTTTCCTAATGGCAGGGAGGGTGGCGTTTGAGATTTCTTCAGTTAGGTCACCATTTACAACAGAAAATATAATAGGGGGCGGGGGTGTTGTGTGGAGCGTAAAGTGAAACGAAATGGAAATTGGGAAAAGTATAAGCGGGGTGTTGGAAATGGAGAGAAGTCGTTGGAACAACACAGAGAACACGAGGAGGATCAGCACAGAATTTTTGCACGGTGGAATAGTAAGGGGATGGCCGGAAAAAAGAGTAGATTCGGCCACACGCTGCACATACCAGAAAGGCACTGCCAAAAAATCATAATAAAAAAGGAAATTATGAGTGGTGGGCTGTGGTTGGGGTTGGTAACGTTAATTTTTTGGGCTTGGCACTGGACTGTTAGCGAGGGGAGGAAGAACCGATTTTTTTTCCTATTCCGTACAGCCTTATAACGTAGCCTTACAACGTTTTTAAAGGGCGTTTAAACAGGTTTTAGATCCAAAAATACTTTTAAAAAATTGCAAAGCTCGAAAATTTTGGTTTTTCCTCAAAAATGTATGAAAAACGACCAAAAACGGTCAAAATTTCAAAATTTTCGATATTTAATAGCCTTCTGGGTCTCAAAAACTGCTAAAAGCACTACAAAAATATACTACTATACTACCACAAAAATAAAAATATACTGTATATATATTCATTAGCAGCTAGGTTATAGGCGGAAAATTAGAATTAAGCCCCCCCCCCGCTAACAGTCCAGTACCAAAAAAATAACCTCACCAACCCCAAGAGCCCATTATTACGCTATGAGGAGCAAGGAAAAAAATTGGGCTATGGCGAACTAGGATCGGAATCGGATTTTGACGCATTTCGGGGTGGGGCAAGACGAGTAAATGCCAGTTTTTCTTTGAAAAAGCAAAAACGCAAAAAATTGTAGAAAATCTGCTTAAAGTCATGGCCGGAGTGGGGTAGGGTAGCTCAAAATTATACGGGCGATTGTTAGGCTTGGGCAAGATTCATTTTAAGGAGAAATTGGGGGGTAAAACGACTAAACACCAAAAGCTATTGGAATAGAAATTAAAAAAAGAAAAGCATAAAACGTGAAAAACTTTAATCCGCTTTCTGGACCCGGCGCCGGGTGACCCGCTTCGACTCGTCGGTGGGGGTAGTAGGCGTTTCCTGGAAAGGTATTTCGAATTTTATAGCATTTTAGTAAGTGGAATATAACTAAAATTTAACTATAAAACCAATTTCAAAACTAACAAAAAATTTTTAAAAGTCAAAGTCTGTTAAAAAATCGTCCATTTTTGTCTAAAAATCGACATTTTTTATTTTTCAAATTTTCAAATAGAAAAACCCGTTTAGAAACACTCCCTTTATTTATTTATGCTAGAAGAATTGGATAATAAAGAAAAGATCACCCCCCCGATAACACGTAAGCTCCAAATTTTCCACTGGATCAAGCGGGACGAACTTACTTTGTGCACGCCATTGCTCTTCCCATTGGCGTGTCCATTGGCGTGTTTCGTAGTGTCCTCCTCGATTTGCTTTTTGTCGGCGGTCTCCTGGCCCTTGCCGAGCCGAGCGTATCGGTTGTCCTTCTTCAGGTAGGTGTGGTAGAAGAAGTTGCAGAAGAGCAAGAAGTACGAGAAGTAGATGCCGAAGCAGAACCCGATGTTTTCCCATGTTTGTTGGCAGTCACGGCTGGCCGTCTGGAAGCGGGGGGTCTAATCGTGAGAAAATGGTACATACCTTGATCGAGTATACACGGATGCCAATGTAGACACCCATGACCATCTGCAGAATTTGAAGGCAGGTGATGGTCATCGCGGCAATTTTGGGGGTCCGGATACGTGCAGCGCGGAGCGCGTAGTAGGAATACATAAACGCGTGCACCCCGTAGTTCATCCAGATGAACCAGCGGCCTTAAAAAATGGGTCAAACCGACGTTTCACTCTCGTTCTGCAGTAAACACGGTTAGCCGAAATCCATTACGTAGAAGCTCATTACACCGAAATTTACTACATATCAATTTAAATTCGTCGAAATACCGAGGTTGTTCTCATTTCGTTGTGCGGTTTTGTCGGTATTTTTATTTTTTGGCGTTTTCACGGATTACTGATTAAAAAAACTAAAAAATAGGGCCTTGAAACTTACCAGAAGCCGTGTGATCCTTGTAGGCATGCCACGTATACGCGAGAACCGTAATATGATGATACCAGTGAAGGAACAGCAGCGGCTTTTTCCGCAACACGATGAAGGCCGTGTCGAAGAGTTCAGCAACCTAATTCAACCTCCATAACTTTTTTTTGGAGGGTCCGCTACCTTGCTGTGAGCAAACTTCTCGGTCCAGAACCCGGTCACGCCCTGCGCGTACGAGGCGACGCAGATGCTGTACTCGAAGGAATTGTCGTTCCATGACCTATACGTAGTAGCTTGACGTACAGATTCAAATGCTGGTAATTACCATATCCACTCAGGGGTCATTCTGAGGAAGCCGATTATGGAGAAGATGGCCAACAACGCGTTCCACGCCACCAGCGGCCAGTCCAACGCGTATGGCTTTCGGGATTCCATTAACTAGAAATAAAAATCTTTTTTTTTGCTTTAATTAGGCAATTATATACAGTTTCAACAGTTATTGAACAAAAATATCGGTATTTATAGCAAATACCAACCTTTCTACCCCCAAAAATTGCCATCACATATACGGCAGAAAACGTGGCCGCATGCTTCCAATTATTTTGCATCCATAGCTAAAAACATCATCGGTAAAAAGTCTCTATTTTTTTTTCTTACTGTGGAGTGGATCGAGTCGAACGAATCCTCGAGCGGCAACACGAAGCTGTAATTCTCGAGGCCATACCGGGGCCAGTAGTCGTACCGAGCCATCACTGGCCTGCAAATGAATCGTTTTTGGGGGGCCAGTGCAGAGAATGATTCATAGGACGAAGGCGGAGCATGATTCAGCAATTCTTGCAAGGGAATTCGCAGGGATGGCTTCTTGAAAAGGCCGAAAAAATGGGTAGAAACGAGGACAAGCCTTGACTTTTCACGAGATGTCGAAAACGGATAAATAAAAACTTAAAATAGCCATAATTTTTGCCGAAGGATCTAGAAGGATGGCTTGCCTTTAAAATAGAGTAAAAACGGCTAGAAACCAGAATAAACCCATTTTTTCAGACATAAGGGGGACAGATAATAAATGCGAATTTTTTGTATAATTCCAGAAACGTCTGGTGACATAAAAGAAGTGTATTAATTGATCAAACTTACTTTTATTTCAAGTAGTCAACCTAGGAACTGAAAAAAATTTCTAAATTCGAGATTTTTTTGTCGAAAATCGGCCAATTTCTCGAAAAATTTTTCCTTAATTTGTATTTGAAAAATTGGATAGCCTAGAAAAAAGTTGGTTTGCCCCCTGTCCCCCCCCCCCCGATAATGCGAAAGAACCGTTCTGGAGTTAAGATCTAAATAACTTCAGATATTAATCCAGAACTATATTGATCTTTTCGGCTCAGGAATCGAGCAAAACCCCAGTCCCAAATCGCACATAATCCTTCGATTTTTGGCCAAAAAATCACTTTTTCCGGGCACGCCACCGGCGAGAGAGTGTAGAGCGGATGGAAGCCGGATGGGGTGATATGGTTTTGGATAGGATGGCAAGCCTGGGGAGGGGGAGATCTGCCACTCCAGCTCCCTACGGCGGGCTCACGGTCACTTGGTCAGGGTTTTCCTGTTTTCCCCTCCAGCAGCACAGCCACAATCCACCCCGCACCGCTTGCCACTTGCCTTCTACGGGTGTGAGAGGGGGGAAAGTCCTGTGCCCTGATTGCTCCCCTAAATCGGGCTTCTACCCCCCTGACCGGCTGTGGCTTGCCATTGGCATCCGCCGTGGGAAAGTGGATATGGATTGCGGGTTTTTAAAGGGGCTGAGAAGCCTGGTCCACCCAGCTCGGCGTTGATTCCTGGCAAACTATAAAAAAAAACGCAGCAACGCGACACGTTTTTCGCGGCTTGTTCGGGCGCGAAAACGCGTGAATTTGCGAATTCTGCTTCAACTTCTGGAACCCTTAAACGATTTTACTCATCCTAGCCGTTAAAAACTATAAAATGGACGCTGAAACCCCAGGGATCGTTAAATTGGGAGCCGAATTACGCCATGTAATGCCCCGGATAGCAAAAATTAAATTTTGCTCCCAATGTTCACTTCAGAGTCATTTTAAAGGAGCACACAAGTCTAGCTTGGCAAAATAGTTATCGAGTCTCCAGTCCGAAATTGCTCTCAATTTTGGCAAATGGGAGAAACCAAGAGTACTTTCAAGACCATGAAATCGACTATTTATCATGAAATCATACCACCTGCCCCCCTACCGTATCCAAAGCAATCCGTGCTAAATCCAAATCACAAATTCCCATGTGCAGGTGGCAATTAGGAACAGCATTTGCGGCCCTTTTTCTGCTTGTAGCCAATTTGGAAAGTTTGAAAATGATGCTGGAGCGGGTTATAGTTGTGGGAAACTATGAGAAAATCTTGCCGGAATTTCAAACATATTTTGGAAGCTGAAAATCTTGAATGTGAAAGCAGTGTGGGGTGAGGGATGGGGTCTCCATGGTTACCCCGAAAATTTACGGAGGTTAGCTGAAGGAAAAAGGACGGGGGCAAAGCAAGCGCGAAATGGCAAATTTGGAATAACATTTTCTCTCAGAGGTACACAGTTTTTTTTTGATTGTTAGAGTTTTACGGCGCACATTTTACATTTCATAAATTTAACTTTTTAAAAATAAAAGGAATTTAATGCGACCTCTGAGCTATAGAAAGTACGCGAATTAAAGTTTCTAACTATAAATAATCTTTATCGTAGAGATTTTATCATAATATTTATGATGGAGAATCAAGGTTTAACGGGCGGACGAAAGTCAATTTTCAAAACGCCATTCCTAAAGTAAAAAAAATATATGCTAAGAATTATTGTAGAACTCGTAAAAAAAAACATATTTAGTAGTTTTATTCGCCTCGCGCGACCCGGCCTACGTGTACCGATCTTCAAATCCCCACGAAAATCCTGAACGCTAGATCGCCGTTTTTGCGATCAAATGACGAGTGGTCTGGTTTTGTCGACTGATTCCAGAAAAGTGAGCAGTGAGGGGCATCCTGGACGCTAAGTTCTGGAGTGGCATACAGTGGCTGTAGCTGCCATCCCGGCCACACTATCACCACCCCCGGATTGCCCGGAAAGCGCCATGGGTGACGACGGCACGCAATTAGCCATGTGTGGCGGATGGGGGAATCTGGCAGGCATTTTTAGGGAGGGGTGAAGACGGAGCAGTCGGTGATCATGGCAAGGGCATAATTTGTGCGGGGAATTGGATGGCAGGAGACTAAAACTTGTAAAGTACATTTTTTTCAAAATCCTAGAAAGCCTACTACTATCGTAAGAAAATTTTTCGCGCATGAAAAGATGCGGTGTTTCAAGCGCTACAAAGCCTTTTTCTTGAGTTTAACAGACAGAAAATCAAATAAAAACGAGGTAATCCCCAAAAAGAGGCGGCTTTTTTGAGACATATGCCTTTTTACAGTCCGGTTTTACGTTACACCGAAAACCACCCGTTTTCGGATCAATGACATCGCCTACAAAATGATGTGTGCTGGAAACACCGATGAATAACGCGGGCGCGCTTTACAGTGCAAAAGCCCTGGATCCACGAAAAAGATAAGCCATGAATGGCGCCACGGCTAATGGCCAATGACTCATCCGAAAAGACGCGAAAACGTGGACCAAATAGTGACCAACTGCCAGCAAGAAATTTCTTTCGAAATCAAGACGCGAATATTAGCGCGCGGAATGACAAATGATAATAGGTGTTTAACAGTCTTAAACTTCATCAAAATAAGTTTCTTAGTTTTTTAACGTTTAAGGTGCATTGTCTGCAAAAGAGGTATCGAATCGAGAAAAATGTAACCTGCGCAAGGTAATAAAAGTATACCGAGCAGCAAGTAACCCTCAATTTTTTCAAAAAACAGCGTGGAAATCGGCGCGTTATAAGCGTTGATCTCCTAATTTTCGCAACGCACCCTCTTTTCAGACAATGAAACATGAAAAATTGTTATTTTGATCAAATTTTAATCGCATAAACCAACAAAATCCCAACGTCAAAAATCCAATTCCTGGGGTCAAGGCCAGCCGGGCGAGGTGCGAAATGGCGGCGCGAAAATGAGCCAGGCGATAAGGGCGCCCCCCTGAAACTGAAATACGAATGCTACCGTAGGCCGACAGGGCGGAGGGCGAACCTTATCGCCGCTGCGGGGCACTTTTTATCCGGAGAAAACTGGGGGAATGAGGAGCGGAGGCAACTGGCTGTCTCGAGCACGCCATGCCGAGGCACGACGGGGGGTTCAGCCGATAAGAATGTTGCCAGATTGCCCCCGCCGATTAGGACCTCCGCATCGCCGAAGCCGAGCTTCCGGTCAGCTGTTCCAGCGTTCTCAAGGCTTTTTTTAGGGGATTCTCGTTGAACCCAAGAAAAAAAATGGAATCCCCGCAATTGGCAACATTTCTGAAACGCGCCTGATCGCGCGCGGGAAGATTTCAATCGCAGAGCATAGGTTCAAATTCCTCAAAAAGAGCTCGAAATTTTGGTAGGCAGGAGTAAAGCCAAAGGAGGGATTTTATAAAAATTTAATTTTTGTGTGGAGGCTTCTCCTCGGGGCAGAAGCCGCTTTTATGCAAAATTGCCCTCGAATCGCACTGGCAGAGTGCCTGGCTGCGACCCCCGAGAAATGGCGGTTTACGGTGGCTGGGGTGCGGTGTAGGGTGCGAGGTTGACCACCAAGTACCCCAATTTGCTACTGACGATCGATCTTACCAAATTTTTCCTATATCAGGTAACAATTGGCTATGTAAATTTATTAAAAACGCCGTAGGCATGAATAACGGTATAAAATCAGCATGTTAAATTTTAACAGGACGATTCAGCGGTTATAAACGCAGGTCAAGCCTATTCGTTCATAGGTGGGCGCCGGAACCCAATTTAGCCGCGCCGTACTCGACAACTAACAAGCTTGTAAACCCTGTGATTCAGCCAATTACACTGCGTTCGTTCGGTGGTTGGGATCAAATTTATTGGTCAAGCTTCCACGCCTTTTGCACGTATTTCCAGACGGGTCGCTGGTGGAGAATCTGAAACTTAAGTGTTGTCAGAAGTGTTAGAAATTGATTATTATAAAAAAATGTCATACCTTATTGTAATATTCATTGAGCAGTGAAAATTCGGCTAACACTTCCGCATCGGCATCCTGTAGTCGATAGAGAAAATATATAAACACCAGATCTGCGTAGGTAAGCTGAAAATCAGTTTTTGGACCAAAAACCTAGATAAAACTATTTGAAAATATCCGGATCTATAAAGTACAAAATTATCATATTTAAAGTCATTAAAAAGATACTTAACACTACATAAAAAAGTGTGCGGCCAGCTGTGCTCATGAAAAAGATCAAACCAACCTCATCCCCCACGATCACCTTCCCCCCATTTTTGCGCAACATTTTCTGGAAAACGGCGAGCTTTTGCGGGCGAGCCTTGTCCCATTCCTCCTTTTTCTGGGCCTAAAAAGAAAGAGAAATATAATTAAAGTAGAAAATCGTTAAAATGATTAAGCAAAAACCAACAGCGATTTCCGGGGTGGGCGCGAACCGTTCGGCCAGTGCTTGGGCAAACATGTCCCAGATCGTGTCGATCACCATATCACATTTTGCGGCATCAACGCGGGTCTTTCCGGCGAATCCTACAGAGATTTAGTGCTTTAAACCAATTTTAATGGAGGCTGAAATAGCCAGATAAATTTGGGACTTTTGGGATTGGGAATTTTTTTAAAAATTGCAACCATTTTTGAAGTTTTTATTGTATTCAGCGTGAAAAATATTTCTAGCGAAATATGCTACCTTAACCTAAATATAAAATTATACCTGGCTTGAACGATTTGGCAATGTATCTAAGGATGGCACTGGTTTGGCATAACGTCGTCTTCCCGCCGTCCACCTCCAAGTAGGGGAGCTGGCCGAAAGGGGCGTCTAAAAGGGCAATACAGATAGCATTTCAAAGTCTGCATAAACTCAGTATGCCCACCAAAACCTCACCCTTCTTGTAATCGTCCGTCATTTTCAACCTGACATCCTCAAAATCCACGTCGAAATAGTGAAACAAGAGTCGTATCGGCTCTCCACGGCCTTCGGCGTCAAAATACACGAGGCGATAACTGTGCTTTTGTGTCATAGGCGCCGCGCGAAAAGGGCGTGAAATTAATAATGGGATTTTGGGGTGGGTGAGGGCAAGAACCAGCGGACAGCGCGTTACCAGGGAGAAGCGAGCGCTTCAGAGGGCACATAGGACACGCTAATTAATTTCCACGCCTTGAAGAAGGAAAGGAAAATGAGAATGCTATTGTTCATTATGTTTTGGATGGTTCATTTTATTAAAAAAGGTGAAATGTGAAAAATGTAGCGACAAACCGTGCTAAAAACGGAAATACAAAGTGCGCATAGCGTACGCGTGTTCAAGGCAGCTCAACGTAGTCTAAATTAGGACGACGTAACGCTCCATTGTACAGGCTTATTCACTTAACTTTAAAAAATAAAGATGTTTCTTATTCTTTCACTTTTTATGTATTTTTGTTGTGTTTTATCAAAACCTCAGATTTTCGTGTCCATTTTGCCTTTTGCTCTACGTGTTGATACATCCCATAGCAGCGGATAATCTCAATATTTTGAGATATCCCAGCAACTCTACGCTGGCTGCCGTTCCATCCACTGGGTGCTTTTCCCAGCCGGCGAAGGCGACGAGGGCAAAAAATGGTGGCGAACAGGAGGACGAGGCTCGACTCCCTCAATTTCTCGAATCAGCCAGAGTCGATTGTCTCGAAGGGTTTTTGCGAGGGTGCTCTCGGCACGCGTTGAAAAGTGTGTTCCCGATTATATATAAGGGGTTCGTGTCGACGACTCGAGTTTCGCCCGCATGGATTTGGACCGTAAGATCGCCGCCTATCGGCTGATCGGCTATTTGGCTGTGGCGCTCGCTACCGCGTCGACGATCAGGTGAATTGATTGCGTTTTTGTATACAAACAATGATTTTTAATAGTGGTAATGTTTTTTGTCTTTAAAAACTTAAAAATGCCCTAGGCAGCTGCGACCGCATCTACGATCGGAACGTAGCGTACGAACGTTTCTTTTGTCGTTTGTTCTTTTTCTAGCAATAATTGAACACAGCGAGGGTAGGCCTCTTTCTCCAAGCTCTGATTTTCAGCATCTGCATCACCATCCCAATCCTCTACAGCCAAGTCGCCAGAGCCCGTGAACGCAGCCACGAAGAGCTCGACTTTTGCCAAGTTGAGCCCGCCGTACCCGATAATCAAACATTCAGCATTCCATCATCTCCGTCAGCAGCCAACTACGCCGTAATGACGACGCGGGCGGCAACCGCACCGTGAGACACGCTTACGCAACGGTACCCCCACCACCGCCAGATACGTATGCGGAGGTACGCTCACTTCGACATACAAAAACCAACGACAAACAACGGAATCGCTTTTGTCGTTTAGAGATTTGTGCACTCCCGAGGGAATGCGTTCCAAAATTTGTTCGAGACACTGTTGGTAGGTCTCGGGGTTAATGCTAACCTCAAACTTGGGTAATTAAACCGAAGCTGTGGAGGGGTGGGTGCTTTTCTCAACTATCCAATGCACAGCTGAGGGTCTTTTGACGGGCAACCACACAGCGAGCGATCTCTCGCCGTCTGCGTCTCTTAGAGTCTCGCGTACACGCGCTATTTGGGGGGAGAGTGACTGGGGAGAGTGGAGACGTAGAACGGGAAGGGAGGGCGTTGTTGGGAGTGGCCTCTCTCCTCGAGACACAGACAACGATGATTGTGTGGTTGTGTGGTTGCCCGTCAAAACATCTCCACCTCTGCCTTGGATAGTTGAGAAAAGCACCCACCCCTACACAGCTTCGGTTTAATTACCCAAGTTTGAGGTTAGCATTAACCCCGAGACCTACCAACAGTGTCTCGAACAAATTTTGGAACGCATTCCCTCGGGAGTGCACAAATCTCTAAAACGACACCGTATTGAGTTCTCCGCCGTCACGGTTACGTCGTTACCAGGGTTGTTCATTTTGCGTCCGGTTGTGTCCGTCCGCGTCCGGGACGGGACGCGTCCCGTCCGTCTCATTCGCATAGAATTTTGCGGACGGACGCGGACGCGTCCCGGACGGACGGGACGGACGCATGGCGGACGGGGACGGGGAGCGTCCGCGCGTCCGAGATGCAAATTAATTCATGGTAATCTTAAAATGAAAACCAGAAAAATCGCAATAATTTTGCAGGTTTTGCGGTAAATTTGATTTTATTGGACAGTAGGTTACCATGTACAAGTATACATGCTAAAAACCAGGCCCTACCAAAGGTTTACGTCCAAAAATGAAAAACTAGGCGCTTCATTATGATTTGAATCTGTTTTTCTCATCTGCATCGCGGACGCAGTTACTTCCGGCGTCCGCCGTCCGTCCCGTCCGTCCGGGACGCGTCCCCGTCCGTCCGCAGAAATTTATGTAAATGAGGGGACGGGGACGCGTCCGCGTCCCGGACCGTCCGCGTCCGTCCGCGAACAACCCTGGTCGTTACCATTCAAACCGTGAAGCACTACTCTGCTTGAAATATTTAGAAGAGCTTCAAGATTTTTCCGTCGCAACTAGATTCCAAGGGACAGCCATTCCATCTAAACCACCTTTTTTCGCTGTTTTGGCATTTATTGGCATCATTTTCCAGCGATCCCAATGCGAGATCTGCTGTACCGAAGGCCCGCGTGGTCCTCCAGGAGCTGCAGGACGACAGGGTCGCCCAGGTCGTCCTGGTGTCGAAGGCCAACCCGGAAACCCGGGAAAACCCGCGTCAAAATGCCAACTTCCACCCCCTCCACCATGCCCTCAATGTGAAGCCGGTCCTTCGGGAGATGACGGTCCACCCGGGGCCGAGGGTCAACCGGGGCCTCCGGGTAGTCCGGGTCCCCGAGGGCCGCCTGGGGATGATGGGCTCGATGGGATGCCGGGAACGATTGGTGCTCCAGGTAATTATTACAAGTCAGGGTTGGCTGGTAACATCATCAGCTTCTATGTACCTTATCTATAGCGCCAAGGAACAACCTCAGCTTGTTTTTAAAAGTATTTGTGCACTCCCGAGGGAATGCGTTCCAAAATTTGTTCGAGACACTGTTGGTAGGTCTCGGGGTTAATGCTAACCTCAAACTTGGGTAATTAAACCGAAGCTGTGGTGGGGTGGGTGCTTTTCTCAACTATCCAATGCACAGATGGGGGTCTTTTGACGGGCAACCACACAACGAGCGATCTCTCGTTGTCTGCGTCGCGTGGAGAGATATCCCGCCCAACACCGCTCCCCGTCCCGCTCTGCGTCCCCTCTCTACTCAGTCTCACTCGCGCCAACGTCCGGTGTACGCGAGACTCTAAGAGACGCAGACGGCGAGAGATCGCTCGCTGTGTGGTTGCCCGTCAAAAGACCCTCAGCTGTGCATTGGATAGTTGAGAAAAGCACCCACCCCTCCACAGCTTCGGTTTAATTACCCAAGTTTGAGGTTAGCATTAACCCCGAGACCTACCAACAGTGTCTCGAACAAATTTTGGAACGCATTCCCTCGGGAGTGCACAAATCTCTAAACGACAAAAGTGAATTTGTTCTGCGTCGTTGATTTTATCTACGAATGTTGTATGTCCCGATCTACGTACCTGTTGCTGTATACTGTTGCGTAGACGTTTCCGTATTTCCATTACCGACATTCCCATAATAAAATAAAATAGGTTTTTTTCGGTTCAGTGTGTGAGTACAGCGGGGTTTGCATTAGTGATGTGTTTTTATTCGTATATAAAAATTTTTACTGAAAATTCCAGGAATCGCGGGTGAACCTGGCGCGCCAGGAGCACCGGGTGAAGACGCGGTGGGGAATAAGCCGAAGCCAGGCGGGCCTGGGCCAGTTGGTCTCCTCGGGATGATGGGCGCGATGGGCCAACCGGGAGAAGCAGGAGAATCTGGCGAAGCTGGGCGTCCCGGTCCGAAGGGTGCCTCCGGGATTCCAGGGTTTCCGGGGCCACGTGGGCGTCAGGGTCACCCAGGTGCACCTGGGCCTCAGGGACCTCCAGGAGAGAAGGGACTCTGCCCCACGTATTGTGCACGAGATGGTGGCAGCTTCTATGAGGATGGCACGAGGCGATGAGGTGGTTTTCGACGTTTTTTCACTAAAACGTCTTCTTGATTGAGTAAAAATGCGTAGTGCAGCTCTTACTGGGCCTTTTGCAAAAACTACGGTGCGCTTCTTTGCACACAGCGTGCTTTCTCTATGAGCTACCTTAAATTTATTGCCTCCAAAATTAAAGGCAACAAATTTTCAGGCTGGCTACGAACGGTCGCGGTGACGATTGGACAAGTGTTCGCCGATAGATCACCCTAATTGACAGCCGGGCTGCATGTGTGTGCCCTGCCTTCTCGTGCTCCTCCTCTTCCTCCCCTCCCCTCCCTACCGTTGCAATAAATTATCATCTTGGCCCCATTAAGAGTCGGAACGCTTGGCCACGAAGCTGCGTTATTTTAGCTTTTTCGCATTTTTCATCATGATGCACTTTATGTTGTTCTATGCTACCATTGAATTTGTATAAAGCTTTCTCTAGCTTTCAAATTTTACATAGGAAAACGCGGAACGTATGGAAAAATGCTATTTTTGGGGTTACGTGAGCTTGAAAAGAGAAGAGCAGATTCGCGCACATAGTATAGGTGTGGATAGGAGCGCTACGTAATTGATACTTGAAGATACGGTTAATTTGAAAACAAAAGATGAAAATTAGTAGTGTTGTAGCTTCGGAAGCTCTTTATAATCTTCTATGAATTTTATGACGAGGGTTATGGGCTCGGCGCCACAATAGGATGCTCAAGCTCGGACGATAAAAGGCTTATCCTTAGCGCCTCGCTTTGTATATGTGCGAGAACGTGGTGAGCTGAAAAGAAAAGCTTCCCACCCCCTTCCGGCCATCACCTGTGTCCAGTTTTTGATGGGTATGCGGACAGGGCCCGTTTTGACCCTCATCGCAAAGGGCTTAGGGCCCAGCTAGGGCCCAGCTAGGGGCCCATACACCGGCTGCTGTCCTGAGTACGGGGTTGTACTCTATCTCTGCCTGCACTCGCACACCTGGGCAGATCGCCACCACTGCCAGGTATTATTGGAAATTTTACTTGATAATTAGTTTTATACCTTTGTCGCTAGTTCCAAAATGATCTCTGCTAGTTTTCCCGGTACTTCCTAAAGTCTCGCTGCTAGTTTGCCTAGTCTAAAAATTATCGCTGATTTTTCAGGAGCCTCAAGGAAGCCTCGGTTTTCCTTTTATGCTGCCAACCCTGCGGCCAAGCATCCGGGTCCCGCAGGGAACGAAAAGTTGGTTGACTTTACAGCCATTAACTTACCTTATAGTTAGGTTATTTCCCAAACGCTGCGCTTGCCAGACTTTTTAAAGGGGCTGGTAGGTGCGAGAATCTACCCTCGAATTCGGCTAGGTATCAACAGCTACTCCTAGATCCAAATAACGTTTGAAAGACATCTGTTTTTCGCCAGAAATTTGAGTAATAACGCGATTTAGCCGTGGCAAGGAGCTGTCGAGACCTAGCCAATAGAGAGGTTGATTCTGAGGCTCTTTGTTACTTTTAAAGGGATGGGCAAGGCATACTGAGATTTTGAGGATTGAGGGTGCCGATAAATGCCTTGTCAGCCCCTTTAAAACGCATCCCCTCTCCAGAAACTTTGTTGCAGTCACCAGCTCGCCAAAAGTGTCGAGCCCGGGGGCGCCGATTCTAAAGCGCAATGCGAGTTTCCGGGAGAATTCGGGCGAACGAATCGCGCGACACGACCACCACGCGTCCCCGGTTCCCGGCAGAAGGTGCGAAGTTTTTTTTTCTCGGCTCGTTGCAAGCACAAAAATGGAGTGAGTGCGAAAATGGCGAAAATGTCCTAGAAGTTAGCATAAAGCGCTGTTTTAAGTTTTTTTATTAAAATTTAACATGCTCGACGTTATAATACGGAAGCCCTTTTTGTTCGGTCTATATTTACAAAGTAAATTTAATTTATTTAGTAAAGAAATTAGTCTACAACGCTGATTGTGAGTTGTTTACATTAAAAAATTTGTTGAAAAACAAAAAAAGGGCCCCCGATTACGATAGATACGAGAGTACGATAGCTAAAGATTTTTTCAGGGTACCTGTATTAATTAGAGCTATTTAAAAGCATATATTAGATGAGGGGAACCTACTTAATACGGAAAATATATTTTAAAAAATTAAACCTGATCATTCTAACCTTGGCTACGATAATTAAAGAAACGCTTTACCTAAAAGCCTATTGTAAGGATATTTCTATGTAAAATATATGTTAGGAAAACTACTAAAAAATTTAATATTATAACAATCACCAAGAAACTAAAAACATACCCAAAACAAAAGCGGTAACTCCAAGGCAAGGCCGCCGGGAGCCCCCGAGCTCTTGACCCGGTCCTCCAGCCCCTCCCCACTCGCCCTCTTTGGCTCTTTGGTAGGGTGTCAGCCCCTTGGCCCGCAAGGCCCGGGTTCGGCCCCCCGCCACGGCATGCGAGATGCGTTCTTGCTCCCCATATAGCAAGCGCGGTGACTACCATGCCAACACTAACACCGCGAATACGTCATATTGTCCGGGTAGTGTCGGGTGATTATCAATGACGCGGGACACCGCTTTTTTCGGTTTTGTCGATCGTTGTTGGTTGTATTTTGCAGGTTTGAAACGGCGTTCGTTTTGTCGTTTTTGGCGGGCAGATATCCGTAAGCTCCGTAAGGTTTCGCAAGGATTCTCTGCTAGCTGGCCTGCCCAAAAAATCAATTTCAATGGGAGTTTAAAGGAATTTTTAGGATAAGTTTGACCTCCTAGGCGCTTGTAATCCCTTTACTTACCTGCCGGGTAGTGAAATTTGCTAATGGATTCGCTACGGACGATATGTAGCCAACTTCCTAGCCTCTTTAAGTTTCGTAATCGATTACTGTAATCCATTTTCGACGGGTTTTCAGCGTTCCCCGGCGCCGGTAATCAAGTTTTTTTAGATAGCTTAGTCTAGAGCCTATTTTCTGGCATTGTCAGTTTCTATTCGATCTTTTGGACGGTAAGTTCAGAATGAGTGCGAGAGAGAGAGTGAGAGAGAGAGACCAGAGACAGCCAGAGAGAGTCCAAAAGACTGAAAGTGCGAGAAAGTCGTCCAAGAAGAAGAATAAGAGTGTGAGGGGATGATGCCAAGAGTGGTGGTGGGTCCTCCCCCCTTCGTTTAGAGGCTCAAATTTCACTAGTATTCGGAGGGCGAGAATGGGCCATCCGACAGAGGAGGAGGGGGGGCAATGGAGGTCTTAATCGCCTCCCTCTTTTCGTGTGACTCCTCTCAACACTCAACTTTGCCCCCGCCACCACCACCAATCCTCCTCAATATTCAGCCCCACTCCATTTTGGCGGCGCTCTAAATTGGCAGCTAAAAGTTGCCCTTAATTTTCTACCGTAATCTGAACTATCTGGGCGACGGTAATGTTCAGCGGAATCCCGGAATGTGCCCTCGAGGCCGACGATGGCCCATTGATGGTCTATGAGCAACGGTGAGAGCGACTTTAAAGGGGCTGGGAAGTCGTGATTTTTTTCGTACCCGCGATACGCAACGCGCACGCACGCGATGGAATTTCGTAATCGTGAACTTCGACACCCGTAACTTTAAAGGGATAACGACACCCGTTTTTTGATCATAGTTGAAAGGGACAGAGACAACCCTATGCGCAATTTCTGGGGCAAGCTGGCGGCGTTCCTTAGTGAAAATGGCTATCCAAAGCCAAATCATAAAAATTAAATAAAAGCTATAGTTAAGGCTTGATATAAATTTTACCTGGGGATGCTTTGGCTATCGGGGGGTGGTTTTCCTCCAGTTACACAGTTTTTTATAAAGGATGTTTGGAACTGCTTTTTACTATTCTTAATTATCCGCTGGTTTGTATTATAAAAAAAAACAAAGAATAAGATTTCCTACAAAAAAATGGCCGGTTTCGATCAATAATTTTGCATCTTTAAAGTTTTATTTGGGGTTTTTAGATATTTCTGCCACTTTAAAGTATAGCTACATTTTACTAAAAACACTATTCAAGCCTTGCTATTACGGTCAATAGGAATTTCTGGAATTATATAAAAATTCTGGTTACTCCTCAGATAATCGTCCCCACCGATAATGCGAAAGCTCCGAGAAAGGGTTAGGCCTTACGATCCGGCTTAGGATTAACTTCAAGCCTTTTGAAAAAATTGGGTCCTTACAAAATGTCCAAGGGCCCAGTGGCCCAGCCTAACCACCAGGAAGGCCCCAAGGAGAGGGCCCAAATTTTATTGCCACCACCCGGGGGGTGGGGATAATGCTCGCCGGTTTTTTTAATGTCTCGAGGCGTCAATTCGAAGCTTCCCGCTTACCCAAACCAGCCGATTGATTTTTGCCAGACTATTCCCCTGCCTCACCCCCTCGTCATGTATCCAAAGAGGAGGTCTGTGCTTTTTCTCGTCTACGTCCAATTTTGGGGCTCGAGTGCCCTAGGGAGAAGCTGGGCGGTCGTTATTGGCGTCCACCGCCACAATGTTGCTTAGGTTTTAGGCTTGGGCTTTGGCTTGGGCTTAAGGCTAGATTTTGGCTTAGGCTATGATTAGGCCTAGGGTTAGGGCTAGGATAGGCTTAGGTTTTGGCTTAGGCTCAGGCGTGGGCTTAAAGACTACCAGAACGATGGAACGCGCACTGTCACCCCGAGGGTGCTGCCCCCAAGAACGCGCAGAGAGAGTCGTCATTAGTGGTGTCCCGTATTGGGCAAAGACCCTCCGGGGTTTGGGGCTCCTCTGACTCCCTTCCCTACTTGGCCCTGTGGTATAGTGGCTAGCGCCTCGGACTGTGGAGCGAACCATCGCGGGTTCTACCCCCGCCCGGTGCGGAACTTTCTTGCTCTAACCGAAATTTCATCGTTCTGACGGTCTTTAAGCTTAAGCTTTGGTTTAGGCTTAGGAGGCTTAGGTATAGGCCTAGGTTTTGGCCTAGGTTTTGGCTTGGGCCAAGCCTCCGGCTTCGGTTAACTTAACTTCGTCTTGGGCTTGGATGTACGTTTTTTGAAACATAAGCTTCGACACAAGCTAGCTTAAGCTCA